GACAAAGCTATAAATTTGGTCCATGGACATAGTGGTTTAGTAGTGAAGTCATTGCTATTTGTTCATAATCTCAGTCCACTTTTGGGATTGGCGATGGTGGAATTCCATATTTCCAATTCAATGAAGACCAATACCAAATTTTTTCAGCAGCTCAAGTCTGAGAGAGTTTGCTTTCCTGCTTTATTGTAGTTGTGCTTAGAAGTCTGATTTTTTTTTTTTTCATAATTTTTTTTTTTTTTTGTCTGTTTCACTTTAAATTTTCCACAATATTGCAACCATAATCAACTGGTCCATGTTTCTGTTGCACTAAACCAGAAAATCCTTCTGCTGGAACCCTAAGCCATCTCACCTTCAGCTACTACCCAGTTCCCCTGACACTGGGGATAATGTTTTCATTCCAACTAGGCCAGCCAGTAGCTTCATGGTTTTGTCTTGAATTTCTGGGAGCATATTACTGAACTGGAAACCATCCAAGTGGAGTCTTCACTATCCCAGTTTGAATCAATGACCCTAGGTCTAAATGTTCGACCTTACGCCATGAGATCACAAAGTTATATATTACATTTATATCTTTAAATGTGATCGTGATTGAATAGTTGGACCACTTGAACTCTGATCAATTGTCTGTTTCTGAACCACTTTTATTAGTATTATTTATTATTAAGTTGCTGCTGGCGAAGATGCTAAATCATGAAAAAGGTGTCTATACAGGGAACTAATGTATTTTTGTATTATATATTTTTCAGCATTACTAAAAAGTATTGGATTGCGAGCTGATGGGAGAATAGATGATCGTGCCTTTTGGATTAATCGTGTTTCCTCTCTTTCTTTACCTTTGACAATTTCACTGCTGTTCCCCAGGATGGTGCCTATTCATGAACTTAATCCAAAGGTATGGACTATCTGGCTGGGTTATATTTGATATTGTTTTCTTTGTTACTGTCCTAACAAGCATGACTACTTTTCTGCTTGATTGACAGGAGGAGAATGAATCTCTTATTCCTCCTAAAATTCCGCTTACTAGTGAGAATTTGAGTGATGAGGGAATTTATCTTCTTGAGAATGGCGAGGATTGTTTAATATATATTGGGAACTTAGTGGATTCAGATACCTTGCAACAACTTTTTGGCATTTCCTCAGTTGATAAAATTCCTACCCAGGTAGTCTCATTTTAATCCTTTTGAAGAACATAAAATCTGCCTGAGATTCTATATTAACTGGTAAGGAACTTGTAGTCCAAAACCTGAAGTGTTGGGCAAATGAGCTTGAGCTTTGGGCCACAGTTCAGTTTTGTATCTGACTCAAGATTAGATTTTGAACTTTTTTGTAGATACTTTTATAACATTTTCATTTTTCCTATTCCTTCTTAAATTTCCACATAAAAAAAGTATAATCTGACATTCATTATTTTAAAATTGGGGTATGTAATATATAGTTCTTTATATACATAAGGATGCCTAGATTCATTTCCCTTTTTTTTTAAATCAAGAACAAATAGGATTTGTATTATTAATGAATATGAGATGAAGTTAACAAAAGTGGACTAGATGACCACTATAAGAAGTAAAACCCTAAGGATGGGTTACCATTTTGTACAAGGGCAAATTAAATGCATATCTATAAAAATACACTATCTCAGTTCGATGTATAGAAAAAGAATCTTCAAGCTTCCTTGCAACTGAAGCCTAAAGTGACACATAAAGCGAAACTAGACCCCACATACTACTATGTTATTAATTCAGTAGTTAAAACGTTCGTTGGTAATTTTGGTTATAAGATTGTTTGGTTTGTGGAAAACAAGTGCTTTAGTAAATGATGTATAGCAGCTGAATATGCTAAGCTGAGATTCATTTCCAACTTTTTGAATTTTCAATGCATAACATATGCTTCTCTGTGATCAGTTTATGCTGCAGCAGTATGACNTTGGTAATTTTGGTTATAAGATTGTTTGGTTTGTGGAAAACAAGTGCTTTAGTAAATGATGTATAGCAGCTGAATATACTAAGCTGAGATTCATTTCCAACTTTTTGAATTTTCAATGCATAACATATGCTTCTCTGTGATCAGTTTATGCTGCAGCAGTATAACAATCCACTATCAAAGAAGTTCAATGATGTCATAAATGAGATACAGCACCAAAGATGTTCTTACCTGCGGTATGCTTTATTTTTTTGTTGGTTTTTCTTTTATCTCCAGAGAAAGGTTTGACAACATCTTTCTGATTGTAAATATGAATTCTCAAATTGATGCATTTTTTATCTTTTTACTTACGTGCAGCTTGAAGTTATGCAAGAAAGGAGATGCTTCAGGTCAGGGCATAATAACCCTTTAATGCAAACTAGAGATTTAACTATATCTACTGCTAGACAAGTAATTGTGTGAAATATTTATATGCAGCATATCATATTATACGCATCTTTTGTTATTCTTTTTCCTTTATCCCCTCTTGATGTAATCTGATTTCTCTTTCACATAAGTTTAGTAATATATAAATATTGGGAGGGAGAAGGATGCCATGTTAGTATGACAATTGTTTAAATATTGGGGACAAAGGAGCTATTAGTAGGTTAGTAAGATAAATGCTTGCATGCAGAGTTGAACGGGTGCATAGCTATTACCTTTTAGCCACCATACACGTATTGATAAAAATATCTTAATACCTTCTCTCCTGGATCATGATTCTACATCCTGCAATTTCTTTAAAATTTTTTACTTTCAAATGAGAAGAAATTTATCTGTTTCAGCTAGCATTTCAACTTGCTTTTTATCATTATTGCCATGTTGGTGTCTGCTGATTGATGCATATATCAACCTTCGAGTTTTTCATGGACACATTACTCTTAAAAAAAAAAAAAAAAAAAAAAAATAAAAAAAATAAAATAATTAGAACCTTATTTTTGCGTGAGAATTAATACATAAATCATACTGAGAGCATGAGTGGTGAATTATGTTCCCTTGTACTTGCAGCCAGATTGTTGCTTCAGTGTTGTCCGTTCTATCAATTTCTTGGGTCTGAGAGAATTTTTTCTTTTCTTAGAATACAAATTAGTTTTTATTAGATTTGAAATAATAATAAGATATCTTTGATTATTATTATGCCTTCAGGATTGCTGTTCCTTTCATATCTGGTAGAAGATAAGAATTCTAGAGGCCCCTCCTATGTTGAGTTTCTTGTACAGATCCATCGGGACATCCAATTGAAAATATCATCTTAAATTACACTGTCAGCAAACGTCACATTAGATGGCTTTGCCTAGGATGAAACTGAAAAGAAGATTAGGGAGCAAGAATCTGACTGTTATGTTAGTTGGAGTTTCTTGTACATAATATGCAGCAAATNAGAATTAATACATAAATCATACTGAGAGCATGAGTGGTGAATTATGTTCCCTTGTACTTGCAGCCAGATTGTTGCTTCAGTGTTGTCCGTTCTATCAATTGCTTGGGTCTGAGAGAAATTTTTCTTTTCTTAGTTTTTATTAGATTTGAAATAATAATAAGATATCTTTGATTATTATTATGCCTTCAGGATTGCTGTTCCTTTCATATCTGGTAGAAGATAAGAATTCTAGAGGCCCCTCCTATGTTGAGTTTCTTGTACAGATCCATCGGGACATCCAATTGAAAATATCATCTTAAATTACACTGTCAGCAAACGTCACATTAGATGGCTTTGCCTAGGATGAAACTGAAAAGAAGATTAGGGAGCAAGAATCTGACTGTTATGTTAGTTGGAGTTTCTTGTACATAATATGCAGCAAATCCAAGTGAAATTTTCAGTATGTGTTACAAATTTTGATCATTTTTATGTTGGGATGTGGCTGGAGATCAAAGCGAAGAAGTCACTTGTATGTGTTCAACATATGCAACTCTAGGAATTGTCCCATCCATTATTTTATTTGTGGACAAGAAGTAAGCTAAGTTTTACTTGAGAGTTTCATAGTGTTATCACAGTACCATCCATATTTTTTGTCTATTGGGACCGTTGGTCTCATTCCTCATAAAATATGCCTTTTTTTTTTTTTTTTTTTCTGGGCTAATTATAAGCATTCCTCATGTGCTGTAAATCAACTCCTTGACCAAGAAAATATGACTAAACTGGAAAAATAATCAGTAAAGAATTTGATTGTTAATTGAATGCAATATTTGTGTTCCTTTAAATGGATGAAAAAACAGTGTATTGGGCAATACCGAATTAACTTGTGTTACTATAACTGATCCGGAAAAGGCTTATATATTTTTTTCATGCCAGTATTCATAGTTTGAATTGAAATTGCAGAGCATTTTTATTTTTTTGTGTATAAATAGTTTTTTCGTAAATCATGTTTCTGAAGGGAGATTAAGCATTAAATTGGGTATTCAAATTTCAAGGATGATCAAAGCAATCGAACCTTGAATTTATTTCCGTCAAGATGTGTGTGCATAGTGGTGAAATGGAATCAATCATGGAAAAACTGTGAGATTTATCATACAAGTTTTTACTAATCCCTGTCTCTGTGACCGTTGATCATCCAAGATTGTTTTGGATAAGCAATCGTAGATAAACTCGGCAGTAATTCAAAGTGATGACATATTTTTACCACCGTAATCTTCATATTACACGATCTTATAAGTGAAAAATAATAATGATATTCTCTCTCCAAAATCCCTTTAAGAGATTTGTTTTATAAGACGCGTATTCTATACAAACATGTAATTGATACTAAATTGTATCCATAAATAATTACGTTAGCAATGTTAATCAAATTAGAATTCTATCTGATGAGCATATCTTCTTGTAACCAATCAAAAACAAAGAAATAAACGTATCAAGTAGTGCACAAACAGAAACAAGAAACCAATCTGAATTAGGAAATTCGTATCAAGTAGTGTCCATATAGAAACAAAAAGCTAATCTGAATTAGGAAATAAACTTCTGCATAACTACATATCCTTATAAATTAAGATCAAATCTTCCCACTCCATTATTTCTAATTCATTCTCTTGTTCAGAACTTTGATATGGCCAACTTTCCCTACTCAATTCAACCCTACATCGATACCACCTTAAACAACAACTTTATCACTTCCATCTTCCCCACTAACGTTTTCAGAATCCACTTGGTGTTTTCTCGGACTTCCGATTCGCATAACTGGCTGGAGTGTCAATGCCTTGTTTGGCCTCGTCAATCTTTGTTATCCGATCATCTAGGTCCAACAATCGTTTCACGAATACTCGCTTCCACAGGACTCTCTCCTCAAGATATTGAATCAATCACAACTCTGTTTATGAGCCTTGCAAGAGAGATGGAAACCGACCCTATCAATAGGGATGCTAGAGTTTTAACTATCCGTGTATTCGTTTTAGTTGCTACGACGAACTCTGATGATCAAAGGATACGTGAAGACTCGTTCATGCAAGCTGTTCCGAGGAGTATTCCCGCCAGTAAAGAAGCTATTCAGAAGTTGGAAAAAGTGAGGGTTGAAGATTGTTTAGAGTTGATGAAGGAGTGCACCGTTTGTTCCGAAGAGTTTCAGTTTGATCTTGAGAATTTGCGATTACCGTGTGGACATGTTTATCATAAAGATTGCATCGTCAAGTGGCTGGAGATTAGTCATATGTGTCCTTTGTGCCGGTACCAGTTGCCGTGTTCCAATAATTAGGGCAAACTACAAGCTTGGTTTCAAATTATTTCATTTCTTTTGAGTTTTAGGGTTTTAGTTAGTGTACGGAGTTCTTCTTTTGTAATGGTAGTTAGATAAATAATACTTCTATATATTATAAGAATTTGATGAAATTTTGATGTCAAGTTTTCGTTTATTTTTTCGGTTCAAATTGCACGTCAATGGTGGTCACAAAAGCTATTAATTTAATTCCTCTCCATGTGATTACATGAAGACAATTTTGATACCATACCGGCCGATATGTATGAACACAAAATCGAAAGGTTTCAATTTACCAGGATAGCACTCCAAATCAGTCTAGCAGTCACGCTAGGTTTTCTGGCTTAACATACATTATTTTAACAATTAATAATAAAAGGGAAATATTTATATATAAATTTCAAAAAATTAAATTTTACGTTAAACCATGAGATCATACTAGGAGTGTTCAAAACCGGTTAATTGGTCTGAATACTCTTTTTTTTTTTTTAACCAAACCAATTTTTTAGTTCAGGGATTTCTCTTAACCTAAATTGAACCGATTATGGAAGAAAACTGGTTTTTGAACCGAGCTGTTTTTCCGGTTAATCGGTTCCTAAAAACCGATTAACCGTTTTTGAACCAGTTTCCCCCAAGCAGTGTAAAAATGTATACCAAAACTTTAAAAAAATTTACTAGACCAGTTAACTGGTTTTGAACCTTTTATCCCTTTTGGGTTTTTTAATTTTTATTCCAAAACCGATTTCAGTTAATCGGTTCTCATAATCCACTAAACCGATAATCGAATCAGAAAATTGGTTCAGAAAAATTCTTGAACCAAAACCGAATTAGTTTCATCAAAAAATCGGTTTTTCGATTCAATTTACGAATTTTTTTGAACTGCCGTAGATCATACAGAATGCTGGTAATTAATCACTGTTGTTTAAGTCGTGTAAAGGTGAAATTTCTATTAAACTTGTCCATTTGTGTCATAATTTTCAAACGTGATTATTTCTGTACTGTACTTCTTGCTAAATTTTCTCTCAAACATAATTATATTCGTTACTAAATTATTTATCATATTTTTTAAAAGGTAATCTAGTACGAAGTATAGATCACAAAAGGTAAGAGAAAATCTGATCAACAGATTTCGAGCAGGTTTTATATCCTTTATTAAATGTCGTTAACCTTATTAAAAGGTAAGAGAAAAAAGAGTTAACAGGTAAATTTTCATTAATTAGTAATGTATACCAAACAAAATTCGAACAGAATTCGTCTCCTTGTAAAACTCCATAAACCGTACGTGTTATGTTAGGAGAATCTAACCTGTCTTCATTAGAAAATTTAATATCTTTATCTTATACACATAAAATACAAAATAATTAAAGGGTAGATTTTAAGTTAGCCGATCTGAATTAGGAAATTAAACAACAATGTAAATCATATTAGAATTATACCTGATGATCTTGTAATCAAAATAAGGAAATTAACTTGCGTATCAAGTAGTTTCCAAATAGAAACAAGAAGCCAATCTGAATTAGGAGATTAATTACTTACCTACTTCATATCCATATAAACTAAGACCAAATCTTCCCACTCCAGTACATCTAATTCATTCACTTGTTCAAAAACAGAGCCCTTCAGCTTGTGGACTCAACGCCATGTGTTCTCGTCAATATTTATTATTGGATCAGCTAGGTCCAGCAATCGTTTCAAGAATACTTGCTCCCACAGGGCTCTCTCCCGAAGATATTGAATCAATCACATCTCCGTTTATGAACCTTGCAAGAGAGATGGAGACCGAGCCTATAAGTAGTGATGAAGAAATTGAATCAATCGCATATCCGTTTATGAGTCTTGAAAGAGAGATGGAGACCGACCCTATCGATAGTGATGCTACAGTTTTAACCATCGGTGTTTTCGTTTTAGTTTCGGCAACGTACTCTGAGGATCAAACGGGACAGTCATTCATGCAAAGTGTTCCGAGGAGTACTCCCGCCAGCAAGGAAGCGATTCAGAAGTTGGAGACGGTGAGGCCTGAAGATTGTCTAAAGTTGATGAGGGAGTGCACCGTTTGTTCCGAAGAGTTTCAGTTTCATCTTGAGAATTTGCGGTTGCCGTGTGGTCATGTTTATCATAAAGAATGCATCGTCAAGTGGCTGGAGATTAGTCATATGTGCCCCTTGTGCCGTTACCAGTTGCCGTGTTATGAGAATTAGGGCAAACTTCAAGCTTGGTTTCAAATTATTTCCGTTCTTTTGAGTTTTAGGGTTTTAGTTACTGGGTAGTTCTTGTTTTTTGTAAATACTGTTGATTAATAATACTATTATTATAAGAATTTCGACAAAGTTTTCGTTTATTTTTTGGTTCAAATTATAATATCAACAGAGGTCAAGAAAGAGATTAATATAATTAATCCTCTCCACATATATGATTCCATCATGTTGATACCAGACCAGTTTGTTCACAGAAATAAAAGGTTCTAATTTACCAGAATAGCGGTTTGGCTATAAATTGGATTGAAATGTTAATAATATAATATCAATTATATATAAAGTTTATATTTTACAAATGTTAAGTAAAAAGATCAATTAAACTGATATTCTCATAATTGTATTTATATCTTTTCAACATAATTTGAAATACAGGTTTTATACATATTAAATATCATAAACCTTATTAAAGGGTAAGAGAAAAGTAAACAGGATAAGTTTTCATTAACTACTAATGTACCAAATACATATAATTGGAGCATAATTCATCTTCTTGTAAAATTCCATAAACCGTAAGTGTTATATTAGTAATAGAAGAATCTAACCTTTCTTTATTTGGAAACTTATTTACCACTCTTTCTATATAAACATTCATAATTCAATTGATTCATTCCTCATATTCAACAACGAATTTTCAAATCTTAATTTCTGTATGGCCAAATCTCCTTACAGTAACACTTTCAATATCCACCCATCTTTTGTTATTACCTCGCCCACGCCCACGCCGAATACTGTTTTCCAAATCAAAATTTACTTCTGCCATTGTCTTGAATTCCCTTACCCTTGGAATACAATGACACACCATCACTTAGAGTTAAACTTTTAGGTTAACTCATAAACAGTTACTATTGTTATAAAAGCTGGGCTATTACGGTATTTCAAAATACCAATTTTTTAATTAAATTTTTAGACTGTTATGATTTGAATGTGATTAAAATTTTGGACTGTTATGACTCGAATGCAATTGCAATTGCTTCGGTTACTTTACAATTCAAATCATGGTTGGACAGTTTCATTTTTTTAATTAAAAATGGTTGTTATAAAAGCTGGACAATTTCAATATTAATAATTAAAAAAATGGTTGTTACATGTAAGAGGCAAGTATAAAAAGGGGTGTTTTATTCTCTTTTATGCAGTGACAATTTTCCTACTTGAGAGAATTCATTTTGCCTCTACATTTTTATTTTTTCCAGCTCTCCTTCACCACTTCTATTTTATCTTATATTGTTCCAAGCTTTTGTTAAAGAGTGCACTTTAAATAGAAGCTCGTCATTGTATCCTAGAGGTTGGTCCGCATCTGAGTCATTTGCATCCGGAAGATACTTTCAGTGGGGTAGAAATCTGATCTTAAGGATAGTGTTTTTGCACGCCTTGACGCTGTTGTTTCACTGCTATGTTTGTTGCTGTTGTTTCGCTGCTGTGTTCGTTGTTGTTTCACTGTTGTATCATTATTGTTTTGTTGTTGTCTCTCTGCTATTTTTCTTGTTGTTCTCCTGCTGTTTTTCTGCTATTTTACTGTTGTTCTTCTGCTGTTTTGTTACTGTTCTTCCACTGTTTTGCTACTAATTTGTATTAAATTTTAAGAATCTTAAGATCAGGATTTTTTGAGATGGACGCTGCAATTCTCACCGCCAAACCACTTCCTGACATCTCTAAAATTAAGCCTTTTTCCTGAGCTCATTTCAAGAGGTGAAAAGAAAAAGTATTCGACTCCTTGATGTGCTCGGTTTTGCAAAGTATCTCTCAACAGAAGAACCAAAACCTGAAGTGGATAATTTTGATAAAAAACTTGATACATGGAAGAAAGGAAATAAGGTATGTCGGCGTACTATCCGCAGTACATTATCGAATGAGCTTTATGATGTTATTGTGCTTATAAGACTGCACATGAGATATAGACAATCCTAAAAGAGAAATATGTTGTTGAGGATGCTGGATCACAAAAATATGCCATAGGAAACTTCCTAGATTTTAAAATGGTAGAAGAAAAAGAGGTATTCATGCAAGTCTATGACTATCATTTATTGATAAATGACTTGAAAAATAAAGAAATAATTCTTCCTGAAACTTTTGTGGCTGGTTGTTTAATTGAGAAACTTCCAGATTCATGGAGAGATTACAAGAATAGTATGAAACATAAGCGGAAGCAAATGAGCTTAGAAGATGTGATAGTATATATTAGGATTGAGGAGACGAATAGGCTTAGAGATAAAGCTGATAAGGCCAAGGGATTGACATCCAAGGCTAATGTTGTTGAAAACCAAGTGGCTCCTCCTCAATCTACGAACGAGAAACCGCAGAGTTTTAAGAACAATAACAAGAAATTGTTTAACAAAAACCCCAACACTTTCAAAAAGAAAGGACATAGTTTTGTGTGTGGGAAAATTGGGCATTTTGCTAGCCAATGCAGAAACAAAAAAACTGGAGGCAATAAATTAAAATCCTCCAAAAGCCAATCTGGCTGAGGGAGATGATGTTATTGTTGTTGTGGTTGTACAAGTGAACATGGTTGTTGAAAAGAAAGAATGAACAATTGATTTTGGGGCCACAAAGCATATTTGTGGAGATAGAAACTCTTTCTATGAATACATACCAATGAGGGATGGAGAAGAATGTATTTACCTTGATGATTCCCGTGCTACTACTATTTTGGGAAAGGGGAAAATTCTTCTCAAACTTACTTATGGGAAAACCCCTCTCACTGAGTAATGTTTTAAATGTTCTAAACATTTGATACAATCTTGCACATGTTTATGTATTGGGAAAGGCTGGAGTAAAAGTCTCTTTTGAGGGTGATAAAATTGTAATGTCCAAGAATGGGGCTTTTGTTGAGAAGGGGTATTGTTCTAGAGAGTTATTTAAACTCAATGTACTTAATATTATTATGAATGAAAATGCATCTTCTTTTGCTTATGTTATTGATTCAATATATTTATGGCATGGTAGATTAGGGTATGTGAATTATGGTTATCGGAAAAAGATGAAAGAATTTGGTTTATTATCAAATGTCAATATTTCAAATATTGATAAATGTGATTTGTGTGTGGAATCTAAATCCACTAAAAAGACTTGTAAACCAGTTTTAGAACGAGAAAATGAGCTTCTAAGTTTAATTCACAGTGATCTTAGAGATTTGAAACAGACCATGACTAGAGGAGGAAAAAAGTTTTATATAACTTTTATTGATGATTACTCTAGATATACTAGAGTATACTTATTGAAAAGTAAAGATGAAGCAATTAAAATGTTCTTAACTTATAAAAATGAAGTTGAAAATCAACTCAATAAGAAAATTAAAAGGTTAAGAACGGATAAAGGAGGCGAATATGAGTCAAATGACTTTGATTCCTTTGGTAGAGATCATGGTATTATACATGAGACTACACCTCCTTATTCTCCACAGTCTAATGGAGTTGCTGAGAGAAAAAAACAAAACTATAAAAGGAATGGTGAATACTATGTTGATTAGTTCTGGAGCACCTATTAATTTGTGGGGGGAAGTAATGTTTTCAGCTTGTTACATACAAAATAGATTTTCTTTTAAGAAAACAGGCAAAACACCATATGAACTCTGGAAATGTCATGTACCTAACCTAAAATATTTTAAAGTGTGGGGGTGTTTCACTAAAGTCCTAATTCCTGAACCTAAAAGGAAAAGGTTAGGATCCGGGATTGTTGATTGTATGTTTATAGGTTATGCTCAGATTAGTGCTGCTTATAGATTCATGGTATTAAAGCAAAAGGCTGGTTTGCATAATGCAAACACAATCATTGAATCTAAAAAAACAGATTTCTTTGAGAATGTTTTTCCTAAGAAAATCAATTGTGAAAAGACTTTACCTCAAAATGAAATTTTTGAGAGTACTCCTCAAAATGAAACTCTTCAGAATTTTTTTTAAAGTTTAGAGTTAGAATAAGAAGAAGTAAGAGAGTAAGAAAAGCCAAAAGTTTTAGTGATGATTACTATGTCTTTCTTACAGAGAATGATCCTCAGAATTATGAAGAAGCAATGACTTCCCGTGATGCATCCCTTTAGAAAGAGGCGGTAAATAATGAAATTGAGTCTATTATGAGTAATCATACATGGGAAGTAGTTAATTTGCCTCAAGAAACTAAACCAATAGGGTGTAAATGGATATTTAAAAAGAAATTAAAGACTGATGGATCAATTGATAAATACAAGGCAAGATTGGTTGTCAAAGGTTATACACAAAAGAAAGATATAGATTATTTTGACACTTATGCTCTTATAATAAGAATAGCATTAATTAGAATGTTAATTGTTTTAGTTGCAATTTACAAATTATATATACATCAAATGAATGTAAATATAGTTTTTCTTAATAAAGACCTGGATGAAGAAATTTATATGAAACAATCAGAGGGTTGTGTTATCCCAGGTAATGAGCATAAAGTGTGCAAATTGGTAAAGTCTCTTTATGGACTTAAACAGGCACCAAAATAATGGCATGAGAAGTTTGACCAAGTATTAGTCTCAAATGGTTATACAATTAATGGTTCAGATAAATGTATATATTCTAAATCAATTGAAGACAGCACTTATGTGATAATATGTCTCTATGTTGATGACATGTTAATATTTAGTGCTTATATGGATGTGATAATTAAGACTAAAGAGTTTCTTGCCCCAAATTCTTATATGAAAGACATGGGAGGGGCAAATGTTATTCTTAAGATTAAAACCATTAAGATAAGTGATGGTCTTAAGTTATCACAACAACACTATGTTGAAAATTTCTTAAGAAAAATTGGGTATTTAGACAGTAAACCCTTCTCAACTCCTTATGAGGGAAATACTCAACTTAAGAAAAATACACAACACAGTGTGAGTCAAAATAGATATGCCCAAATCATTGGTAGTCTTATGTACTTAATGAATAGTTCGAGGCTTGATATTACTTATGCTATCACTAGATTGAGTAGGTATACTCATAATCCTGATAAGAATCACTGGATAGCATTAGACAAAGTTGCTAGATATTTGAAGGGCACCATTGATTATAGACTAACGTTTGGAAGTACACCACCTATATTAGAAGGATATTTCGATGTCAATTGGATATTAGATTCAGATGAAATAAAATCCAAAAGTGGTTATATCCTTACACTTGGTGGAGGTGTTGTGTCATGGAAGTCTTCCAAACAAACTTGCATAGCTCGGTCTACCATGGAGTCTGAGCTTATCACCTTAGAAAATGTATGTTTCGAGCTGAGTGGTTAAGGAATCTCTTAGCAGATCTTCCCATTGAAACTCACCCTCCTGTTTCAATATCAATTCATTGTGATTGGTAGGCCGCAATAGCGAGAGCAAAGAGCAAATTTTATAACGGAAAAAGCAGAAATATTCGAATAAGACATACCATTATAAAGCAACTGCTAGAATCTAGGGTAGTGAGCATAGACTTTGTTATCTCAGAGTTAAACTTGGCCGATCCTCTGACTAAACCACTAAGTAAGAGGTTAGTGGAATACATGTCGAGGGGGATGGGACTTATGCCTAAAGCATAAGGTAGGAGTGATGATAACCCTACCTATGTGATTGGAGATCCCATGAAGTAGGTTCGTAAGGGTAATAACAAGTTACTTGTTGTCTTAATAAGTATTATTGAATTTTATCTATGGAAAGTCCTCCCTATGGCGAGATGATATTGATTGTTGTAAATAAGGTTGAGTAAAATTACTTTTCATGAAATCCATAGCTAACATAAATAGTGGTGTGAAAAACTGCAATTCACACCTTATGGAGATTCACCTATGTGAGTGTGGAATTGGGTCAATTCCTATGAGAGCTTAGGCAGGCATCTCTAGAGCATTCATGAAATCCAGGCTAGCAAAGGGCCATAAAGTGCTAAACTACATAACAGTATACAATGTACAGAATTTAGTGTGAGGAACTAATCCTTTGAATTACATAAAGAAATTTTTGGTTCATAGAAACTTATTTTGACCAAATTTCTATAACTTGCGTTTAGTTACTCAATGATTGGTTCATAGTCCGAAAGAAACAAATTCATAAATATTAAATTGTATAATTAGTGGTGATTGGTTATTTTGAAATATGTGAGGGATTGCTATAAAAGCTGGCTGTTATCGTATTTCAAAATACCAATTTTTTAATTAAATTTTTGGACTGTTATGATTTGAATGTAATTAGAATTTTGGATTGTTATGACTTGAATGCAATTGCAATTGCTTCGGTTACTTTACAATTCAAATCATGGCTAGGTAGTTTCATTTTTTTAATTAAAAATGGTTGTTATAAAAGTTGGATAGTTTCAATCTTAATAATTAAAAAAATGGTTGTTACATGTAAGAGGCAAGTATAAAATGAGGTGTTTTATTCTCTTTTATGTAGTGACAATTTTCCTACTTGAGAGAATTCATTTTGTCTCTACATTTTTATTTTTTCCAGCTCTCCTTCACCATTTTTATTTAATCTTATACTATTCTAAGCTTCTATTAAAAAGTGTACTTTAAATAAGAGCTCATCATTGTATCCTGGAGGTCAGTCCACATCTGAATCATTTGCATCGGGAAGATCCTTCCAGTGGGGCAGAAATCTGATCTTAAGGACAGTGTTTTGCACACCTTGATGCTGCTGTATCATTGCTGTTTTACTGCAATGTTCGTTGCTGTTTCGCTGCTATATTCGTTGCTATTTTGCTGCTGTATCATTGTTGCTTTGCTGCTCTCTCTGCTATTTTTCCTGCTGTTCTCCAGCTGTTTTCCTGCTGTTTTACTGCTATTCTTCTGCTGTTTTGCTGCTAATTTGTATTAAATTTCAACAACTATTGGATCCAGAAGGTCCAAAAATCATATCCGAAAAACTTTCTACAATGGCACTGCAGGAACCAGAAGTAATTGAATCGGGAATATCTAAAGTATTGAGCATAGCGAGAGAGATGACGAGAAACCATGATTGTGAAATTCTTACAATTAGGATAGAGCTGCACCTTTATTCGATCACAGACTTTGAAATACTCGAAGAATCAATACAAGATGTTCCAAGGCCTATTCCAACTAGTAAAGAAGCTATTCAGAAATTGGAAAAAGTGAGTTTTCAAACTTGTCCAGATTCAATTAGGGAGTGCACCATTTGTTATGAAAAGTTTCATCAGAATGGTCATCTTTATCAGATTGTGCGGTTGCCTTGTGGGCATTTTTATCACAAAGACTGCATCCTCAATTGGCTGGAAATTAGTCATATGTGCCCCTTGTACCGATACCAGTTGCCATGTTATGAGAATTAGGGCAAACTACAAGTTTTGCATGGTTCCAACTTATTTCAGTTGTTTTGAGTTTTGGGATTTTAGTTAGTGTGGGCAGTTCTTGTTTTGTGAATACCCGTTAGATTAATAATGCTACTATTATGAGAATTTGATGAAATTCTTATGTCAAAAGTTTTCGTACAAATTTAAAAGGTTTGATTTTAGGAGAATAACCTATATTAATTTAATAGTGATTTAAAAATATTATCCCTCAAATCATATGGCACTAGATTTTATGCACTAATTTATCCGGTTTAACACTAAATTATTTTAACAATTGCTATATAAGTGAATTATTTATATTTAAATTTCAACTAAAATTAAATTACACAGTAAACCACATGAGAATGCTGCTTTAAAACATATTAATATATCATCATTGTTCAAGTGGTATAGAGGAGAAATTAATATTAAATTAGTCTATTTGTGTCATAATTTTCAAACGTGGTTATTTCTTATATAATTAGATTACTTCTTGCTTACTTTCTTTAAACATAATTATACTGGTTACTAAATTAATTAATCATATTTGTATTTATACCTGATCAACACAATTCGAACAGGTTTTATATTCTTATTAAAAGGCAAGATAAAAGTAAACCGGATAAATTTTCATTAATTAACGTAGCAAATATAATTCGAACAGAATTCAACTCTTTGCAAAATTCCATAAACCGTACGAGTCATATTGGGAATAGGAGTTGTATTCCTATTCTATTTGGGAGAGCTATGGACAATTATATATATGTGCACTCTACACCTCTAATTCTCATTCTAAAATTTTAGGTTTCCATTGTAGCTTATTCCTGTAATATGATCTTTAGTTTCTTTTTCTCTCTTCTCAGAAAGATGACTACTTACTTTCTCATATTAGCTCTCATTTTTGCTTCGTCTATCTCCTCCTCGTCCGCTCAATCTCAAACATGCAACACCTACTCTTTCTCCAACAATCACAACTCCTATCGTGCATGCAACGATCTTCAAGCTCTCAACTCTTATCTTCACTGGAACTATCACCAGGACACCAACACTCTCGACTTAGCTTTTCGTCGGTCAGGAACTGACCCAACGAGATGGGTTGCTTGGGCTATAAACCCGACTGGGAAAGGCATGGTTGGCTCACAGGCTCTTGTAGCCTACACAAACCCTAATGGAATCTTGCGGGCTTATACTTCTCCAATCACAAGTTACAGTACGCAATTGCAAGAGGGTTCTTTGAGTGGTCTTGAGATGCAAAAGATTTCAGCAGAGTTTGCCGATAATGAGATGATTATTTATGCAACGATTGTGCTTCCAAAGAACATGACGACGGTGAACCATGTATGGCAAGAAGGTCCGATTGATGGAGATAGTCTTGGCATGCATCCTGTAAGCGGCGAGAACGTTAAATCAATGGGAACTGTGGATCTTCTTTCAGGAAAAGTTGTGGCCACAAAAGGAGGAGGGAGCTCGAGTCTTGTATTCAAGAAGGTCCATGGAGCAGTTAACATGGTGAGTTGGGGCATTCTGATGCCAATAGGAGTAATGACTGCTCGGTACATGAAAGTATTCAAAGATCCAGCATGGTTTTATGCTCATATCATATGCCAGTGTTTAGCCTATACAATAGGACTCGGTGCAGCGGCGACTGGCATTTATCTTGGGAACAAATCTCATGGCATTCAGTTTAATGCTCATAGATATATCGGCATACTACTTTTCATTCTGGGCTTCCTTCAAGTTCTTGCGTTGAAATTGAGGCCAAACAAAGATCACAAATACAGATTATACTGGAACATCTACCACCATTCCGTTGGATATGCTATCATTATTTTGAGCATTGTTAACATTTTCCAAGGCATCAGCATTTTGGAGTCGAAGATTTGGAAGTGGACATACATTGGCATTCTCACGTTTCTGGGCTCTATAGCTGCTGTGTTGGAAGCCATAACCTGGTGCATCATTATCAGGACAAAGAAAGAGACTGCCCCGGTTCTTGCATAAAGCAAATGCATGTTCGGCTACGACGGAATTTCACAGTTTACGTTTTATTTTGATTGTTTATAGATTATTGGTAGTATAGATGGAACTCTTTATTTTTTAAATCTGTAACGGTAGACAATATATTTCTTTTTATTAATAAATATAAGCACTTCGTTTTTGAAGGGATTGTATCTCCTTATTTTCCATAACCGATCTTAAGAATATCTGTCTTCAAATCCTTTTATAGTTTTACTTCTGCAGAAGACTAATTTGTTAAGAGAGAGTTATTATTTGATTGCTTTGCAAATATGTTTTATTTGTAAATTAAATTGGTAACTCTGGACGCAGTGATGCTATTGCTCTTTGGACAATTTTTTTTTACCATGTCTTCTCTGAATAAAGCTAAGCCAACTTAGGGGGAACAAAATTATAGAGATGGTTTGTGTAGTACTGTATAATCACATTATGGATGTTGTTTTCTTACAAGTTTTTTATTATTGAATAAATAATTAAAAGAACTAATTGGGTTAATTAATTAATATTCTACCTGTATACCAAATGCACAAGTTGCTAATTAATTTCAAGATAAAATTTGCCCAATAAAACAAAAAGAAAAAAAGATACTATATCTTATGTATCTTATTTTACAATAAGAATTTAATTTCATGTATTTGTTTTGAGGGTTTTGAGTTTTGAGGATAATTATGATGATAAAGTATCCCTTTTGTATTTTTTGTTTGAAAAAATTTGCGTTTTCTTTTTATATAAAATTTATAAATCTTAAGAAAAGGTTATTGATTATTTTCTATAATTCTAAGAGGTGTTACTTATGAATATTAAATCAATCCCAAACTTAAGAGATGCAAACAAGTTGTTCCCCTCAAAAGTCAAAATAAGAGTTTTTATCTCTTAAATTCCCTTAAGTTAAGGAAATATACATTATCAAAACTCATTAAATCATCACCTACTTCCCTTTAGCCATGAAATCTAAAGGTCAAAATAAATATGATCAGGGCAGATAAGAGATAATTTTATAAAAATATGAGGGGAGAAAGCTGATGATTTCTAATACATATGGGCTCTGAATAATACTGCCTTAAACATTAGGCGTGATAAGGATAATAAGCCCTTAAAAGTTAAAATAATTAAATCACGAACCAATGAACATAAATGTTAAGTGGCCTTTAATATTTAACCGCCATATTTCTAAGAAAAAAATGTATTCCTATAATTCACCTTTAAAACGACACTAAAATACTGCGCAGAAGCCAGAGAAAAACCCAGAACCGTCTCAGAGTCTCAACTCCAACCTCTTATATACAATTCACCCACCACCGAAAGCCTTAAACAAATTTCCAAAATTAAAAATGTTCTTCTTCTTCGTGGGAGGAGTGAACCAACAGGTGAGTCAGGTGCTAAAATCAGGCGCGGGTCGGTGCATAAACTGCGGGTCAAGAGCCGATCTTGTTGAATATGAGAAAGTTTTAAAGGTGTTCTTTGTTCCAGTGTGGAAATGGCCCGGCAAAGAGCCTCTAATGCATTGTAATAACTGTAATCTCTTTTTTCCTCCTGCTCTTTCTAAGTCTGTTGAGTCTGAGTCGGTGTTACCGAGTGTCGTTTCCGATGATGTCAGATGTCGTTTTTGTGACCGGGCTGTGGATCCTGAGTTCAGGTTCTGCCCCTTTTGTGGCTCTGCTCTGTAATTCTAATTGTCCTCCTTTTATTTTTCGGTCTCGGTGAAGTTATGACTTAGTGTAAATGAAGTTTGAGACTATAATTTATGAGTGGAGTCATTTTTTAATTAAAAATGGTTGGTACATGTAAGAGGCAAGTAAAAAGGGGGTGTTTTATCTCTTTTATGCAGTGACAATTTCCTACTTGAGAGAACATTTTGCCTCTACATTTTATTTTTTTCAGCTTCCTTCAGCAAATCTATCTTTCTTATATTGTTTAAGCTTCTGTTAAAGAGTGTACTTTAAATAAAAGCTCGTCATTGTATCCTGGAGGTCGGTCCACATCTGAGTCATTTGCATCGGGAAGATCCTTCCAGTGGGGTGGAAATCTGATCTTAAGAATAGTGCTTTTGCATGCCTTGATGCTGCTGTATCGTTGATTTCGCTGCTGTTTTACTGCTATATTGTTACTGTTTGCTGCTGTCTCTCTGCTACTTTCTGCTGTTCTTCTGCTGTTTTGTTGCTGTTCTTCCACTGTTTTGCTGCTAATTTATAAATTTCAACAACTATTGGATCCAGAAGGTCCAAGAATCATATCCGAAAAACTTTCTAAAATGGCACTGCAGGAACCAGAAGTAATTGAATCGGAATATCTCAAGTTGAGCATAGCAGAGAGATGGCGAGAAACAATGGTTGTGAAATTCTTACATTAGGATAGAGCGCACCTTTATTCGATCACAGACTGAAATACTCGAAGAATCAATACAGATGTTCCAAGGCCTATTCCAACTAGTAAAGAAGTTATTCAGAAATTGGAAAAAGTGAGTTTTCAAACTTGTCCAGATTCAATAGGAGTGACAGTTTGAAATTCATCAGAATGTCATCTTTATCAGATTGTGCGGTTGCCTTGTGGGCATTTTTATCACAAAGACTGCATCCTCAAGTGGCTGGAAATTAGTCATATGTGCCCCTTGTTCCGATACCAGTTGCCATGTTATGAGAATTAGGGCAAACTACAAGTTTTGCATGGTTCAACTTATTTCAGTTGTTTTGAGTTTTGGGATTTTAGTTAGTGTGGGCAGTTCTTGTTTCGTGAATACCGTTAGATTAATAACTACTATAGAATTTGATGAAATTCTTATGTCAAAAGTTTTCGTACAATTTAAAAGGTTTGATTTTAGGAGAATAACCTATTAATTTAATAGTGATTTAAAATATTATCCCTCAAATCATATGGCACTAGATTTTATGCACTAATTTATCGGTTTAACACTAAATTATTTTAACAGTTGCTATATAAGTGGATTATTATATTTAAATTTCAACTAATTAAAACACAGTAAACCACATGAGAATGTGCTTTAAAACATATAATATATCATTATTGTTCAAGTGGTATAGAGGAGAAATTAATATAAATTAGTCTATTTGTGTCATAATTTTCAAACGTGGTTATTTCTTATATAATTAGATTACTTCTTGCTATTTCTTTAAAATAAATACTGGTTACTAAATAATTAATCATATTTGTATTTATACCTGATCAACACAATTGAACAGGTTTTATATCTTATTAAAAGGTAAGAGAAAATAAAGGATAAATTTTCATTAATTAGTAACATAGCAAAATAATTCGAACAGAATTCAACTCTTTGCAAAATTCCATAAACCGTACGAGTCATATTGGGAATAGGAGTTGTATTCTATTCTATTGGGAGAGCTATGGACAATTATATATATGTGCACTCTACACCTCTAATTCTCATTCTAAAATTTGAGTTTCCATTTAGTTATTCCTGTAATTGATCTTTAGTTTCTTTTTCTCTCTTCTCAGAAAGATGACTACTTACTTTCTCATATTAGCTCTCTTTTTGCTTCGTCGATCTCCTCCTCGTCGCCTCAATCTCAAACATGCAACACCTACTCTTTCTCCAACAATCACAACTCCTCCGTGCATGCAACGATCTTCAAGCTCTCAACTCTTATCTTCACTGGAACTATCACCAGGACACCAACACTCTCGACTTAGCTTTTCGTCGGTCAGGAACTGACCCAACGAGATGGGTTGCTTGGGCTATAAACCGACTGGGAAAGGCATGGTTGGCTCACAGGCTCTGTAGCCTACACAAACCCTAATGGAATCTGCGGGCTTATACTTCTCCAATCACAAGTTACAGTACGCAATTGCAAGAGGGTTTCTTTGAGTGGTCTGAGGTGCAAAGATTTCAGCAGAGTCATATGTGCCCCTTGTGCCGTTACCAGTTGCCGTGTTATGAGAATGAGGGCAAACTTCAAGCTTGGTTTCAAATTATTTCCGTTCTTTTGAGTTTTAGGGTTTTAGTTACTGGGTAGTTCTTGTTTTTTGTAAATACTGTTGATTAATAATACTATTATTATAAGAATTTCGACAAAGTTTTCGTTTATTTTTTGGTTCAAATTATAATATCAACAGAGGTTAAGAAAAAGATTAATAATTAATCCTCTCCACATATATGATTCCATCATGTTGATACCAGACCAATTTGTTCACAGAAATAAAAGGTTCTAATTTACCCGAATAGCGATTTGGCTATAAATTGGATTGAAATGTTAATAATATATTATCAATTATATATAAAGTTTATATTTTACAAATGTTAAGTAAAAAGATCAATTAAACTGATATTCTCATAATTGTATTTATATCTTTTCAACATAATTTGAAATACAGGTTTTATACATATTAAATATCATAAACCTTATTAAAAGGAAAGAGAAAAGTAAACAGGATAAGTTTTCATTAACTACTAATGTACCAAATACATATAATTGGAGCATAATTCATCTTCTTGTAAAATTCCATAAACCGTAAGTGTTATATTAGTAATAGAAGAATCTAACCTTTCTTTATTTGGAAACTTATTTACCACTCTTTCTATATAAACATTCATAATTCAATTGATTCATTCCTCATATTCAACAACGAATTTTCAAATCTTAATTTCCGTATGGCCAACTCCCCTTACAGTAACACTTCCGATTCCACCCATCTTTTGTTATTACCACGCCCACGCCCACGCCCAATACTGTTTCCAAATCAAAATTTACTTTTGCCATTGTCTTGAATTCCCTTACCCTTGGAATACAATGACACACCATCACCTAGAGTTAAACCAAACTTTTAGGTTAACTCATAAACAGTTACTATTGTTATAAAAGTTGGGCTTTTATGGTATTTCAAAATACCAATTTTTTAATTAAATTTTTGGACTGTTATGATTTGAATGTAATTAAAATTTTAGACTGTTATGACTTGAATGCAATTTCAATTGCTTCGGTTACTTTACAATTCAAATCATGGTTCCAATATTAATAATTAAAAAAATGGTTGTTACATGGAAGAGGCAAGTAAAAAAAGGGGTGTTTTATTCTCTTTTATGCCGTGACAATTTTCCTACTTGAGAGAATTCATTTTGCCTCAACATTTTTATTTTTTCTAGCTCTCTTTCAACACTTCTATTTTATCTTATATTGTTCTAAGCTTCTGTTAAATAGTGCACTTTAAATAGAAGCTCGTCATTGTATCCTAGGGGTCAGTCCGCATCTGAGTCATTTGCATCGGGAAGATGCTTTCAGTGGAATAGAAATCTAATCTTAAGGATAGTGCTTTTGCACGTCTTGATGCTACTGTATCGTTGTGTTCGTTGTTGTTTTACTGCTATATCATTGATGTTTTGTTGCTGTCTCTCTGCTATTTTTCCTACTGTCCTTCTGCTGTTTTGTTGCTTTTCTTTCACTGTTTTACTGCTAATTTGTATTAAATTTCAACAATCTTAAGATTAGAATTTTTGGAGATGAACGCTGCAATTCTCACTGCCAAATCACTTCTTGACATCTCTAAAATTGAGCATTATTCCAGAGCTCATTTTAAGAGGTGGCAAGAAAAAGTATTCAACTCCCTGGACATGCTCGGTTTTGCAGATTATCTCTCAATAGAAGAACCAAAGCCTGAAGTGGACAATTTTGACAAAAAAACTTGATACATGGAAGAAAGGAAATAAGGTATGTTGCCATACTATCCTCAGTACATTATTGAATAAGTTTTATGATGTTATTGCGCTTATAAGACTGCGCATGAGATATAGACAACCCTGAAAAAGAAATATGTTGTTGAGGATGCTGGATCACAAAAATATGTCATAGGAAACTTCCTAGATTTTAAAATGGTAGAAGAAAAAGAGGTATCCATACAAGTCCATGATTATCATTTATTGATAAATGACTTGAAAAATGAAGTGGGTCGATTCCTATGAGAGCTTAGGCAGGCATCTCTAGAACACTCATAAAATCCAGGCTAGCACAAGGTCATAAAGTGCTAAACTGTAGAACAGTATACAATGTAGAGAATTTAGTATGAGGAACTAATCCTCTGAATTACATAAAGAAATGTTTGGTTCATAGAAACTTAGTTTCACTAAATTTCTATAACTTGCGTTTAGTTACTCTATGATTGGTTCATAGTCCAAAAGACACCAACTCATAAACATTAAATTCTATAATCAGTAGTGATTGGTTATGTTGAAATATGTGAGGGATTATTATAAAAGCTGGGCTGTTATGGTATTTCAAAATACCAATTTTTTAATTAAATTTTTGGACTGTTATGATTTGAAAGTAATTAAAATTTTGGACTGTAATGACTTGAGTGCAATTGCAATTGCAATTGCTTCAATTACTTTACAATTCAAATCATAGTTGGATAGTTTCATTTTTTTAATTAAAAATGGTTGTTACATGTAAGAGGCAAGTAAAAAGGGGGTGTTTTATTCTCTTTTATGCAGTGACAATTTTCCTACTTGAGAGAATTCATTTTGCCTCTACATTTTTATTTTTTTCAGCTCTCCTTCAGCACCTCTATCTTATCTTATATTGTTCTAAGCTTCTGTTAAAGAGTGTACTTTAAATAAAAGCTCGTCATTGTATCCTGGAGGTCGGTCCACATCTGAGTCATTTGCATCGGGAAGATCCTTCCAGTGGGGTGGAAATCTGATCTTAAGAATAGTGCTTTTGCATGCCTTGATGCTGCTGTATCGTTGATGTTTCGCTGCTGTTTTACTGCTATATTGTTACTGTTTTGCTGCTGTCTCTCTGCTACTTTTCCTGCTGTTCTTCTGCTGTTTTGTTGCTGTTCTTCCACTGTTTTGCTGCTAATTTATATTAAATTTCAACAACTATTGGATCCAGAAGGTCCAAGAATCATATCCGAAAAACTTTCTAAAATGGCACTGCAGGAACCAGAAGTAATTGAATCGGAAATATCTCAAGTTCTGAGCATAGCAAGAGAGATGGCGAGAAACAATGGTTGTGAAATTCTTACAATTAGGATAGAGCTACACCTTTATTCGATCACAGACTCTGAAATACTCGAAGAATCAATACAAGATGTTCCAAGGCCTATTCCAACTAGTAAAGAAGTTATTCAGAAATTGGAAAAAGTGAGTTTTCAAACTTGTCCAGATTCAATTAGGGAGTGCACCATTTGTTATGAAAAGTTTCATCAGAATGGTCATCTTTATCAGATTGTGCGGTTGCCTTGTGGGCATTTTTATCACAAAGACTGCATCCTCAATTGGCTGGAAATTAGTCATATGTGCCCCTTGTTCCGATACCAGTTGCCATGTTATGAGAATTAGGGCAAACTACAAGTTTTGCATGGTTCCAACTTATTTCAGTTGTTTTGAGTTTTGGGATTTTAGTTAGTGTGGGCAGTTCTTGTTTTGTGAATACCCGTTAGATTAATAATGCTACTATTATGAGAATTTGATGAAATTCTTATGTCAAAAGTTTTCGTACAAATTTAAAAGGTTTGATTTTAGGAGAATAACCTATATTAATTTAATAGTGATTTAAAAATATTATCCCTCAAATCATATGGCACTAGATTTTATGCACTAATTTATCCGGTTTAACACTAAATTATTTTAACAATTGCTATATAAGTGAATTATTTATATTTAAATTTCAACTAAAATTAAATTACACAGTAAACCACATGAGAATGCTGCTTTAAAACATATTAATATATCATCATTGTTCAAGTGGTATAGAGGAGAAATTAATATTAAATTAGTCTATTTGTGTCATAATTTTCAAACGTGGTTATTTCTTATATAATTAGATTACTTCTTGCTTACTTTCTTTAAACATAATTATACTGGTTACTAAATTAATTAATCATATTTGTATTTATACCTGATCAACACAATTCGAACAGGTTTTATATTCTTATTAAAAGGCAAGATAAAAGTAAACCGGATAAATTTTCATTAATTAACGTAGCAAATATAATTCGAACAGAATTCAACTCTTTGCAAAATTCCATAAACCGTACGAGTCATATTGGGAATAGGAGTTGTATTTCTATTCTATTTGGGAGAGCTATGGACAATTATATATATGTGCACTCTATACCTCTAATTCTCATTCTAAAATTTTGAGTTTCCATTCTAGTTTATTCCTGTAATTTGATCTTTAGTTTCTTTTTCTCTCTTCTCAGAAAGATGACTACTTACTTTCTCATATTAGCTCTCCTTTTTGCTTCGTCGATCTCCTCCTCGTCCGCTCAATCTCAAACATGCAACACCTACTCTTTCTCCAACAATCACAACTCCTACCGTGCATGCAACGATCTTCAAGCTCTCAACTCTTATCTTCACTGGAACTATCACCAGGACACCAACACTCTCGACTTAGCTTTTCGTCGGTCAGGAACTGACCCAACGAGATGGGTTGCTTGGGCTATAAACCCGACTGGGAAAGGCATGGTTGGCTCACAGGCTCTAGTAGCCTACACAAACCCTAATGGAATCCTGCGGGCTTATACTTCTCCAATCACAAGTTACAGTACGCAATTGCAAGAGGGTTCTTTGAGTGGTCTTGAGGTGCCAAAGATTTCAGCAGAGTTTGCCGATAATGAGATGATTATTTATGCAACGATTGTGCTTCCAAAGAACATGACGACGGTGAACCATGTATGGCAAGAAGGTCCGATTGATGGAGATAGTCTTGGCATGCATCCTGTAAGCGGCGAGAACGTTATATCAATGGGATCTGTGGATCTTCTTTCAGGAAAAGTTGTGGCCACAAAAGGAGGCGGGAGCTCGAGTCTTGTATTCAAGAAGATCCATGGAGCAGTTAACATGGTGAGTTGGGGCATTCTGATGCCAATAGGAGTAATGACTGCTCGGTACATGAAAGTATTCAAAGATCCAGCATGGTTTTATGCTCATATCATATGCCAGTGTTTAGCCTATACAATAGGACTCGGTGGAGCGGCGACTGGCATTTATCTTGGGAACAAATCTCATGGCATTCAGTTTAATGCTCATAGATATATCGGCATACTACTTTTCATTCTGGGCTTCCTTCAAGTTCTTGCGTTGAAATTGAGGCCAAACAAAGATCACAAATACAGATTATACTGGAACATCTACCACCATTCCGTTGGATATGCTATCATTATTTTGAGCATTGTTAACATTTTCCAAGGCATCAGCATTTTGGAGTCGAAGATTTGGAAGTGGACATACATTGGCATTCTCACGTTTCTGGGCTCTATAGCTGCTGTGTTGGAAGCCATAACCTGGTGCATCATTATCAGGACAAAGAAAGAGACTGCCCCGGTTCTTGCATAAAGCAAATGCATGTTCGGCTACGACGGAATTTCACAGTTTACGTTTTATTTTGATTGTTTATAGATTATTGGTAGTATAGATGGAACTCTTTATTTTTTAAATCTGTAACGGTAGACAATATATTTCTTTTTATTAATAAATATAAGCACTTCGTTTTTGAAGGGATTGTATCTCCTTATTTTCCATAACCGATCTTAAGAATATCTGTCTTCAAATCCTTTTATAGTTTTACTTCTGCAGAAGACTAATTTGTTAAGAGAGAGTTATTATTTGATTGCTTTGCAAATATGTTTTATTTGTAAATTAAATTGGTAACTCTGGACGCAGTGATGCTATTGCTCTTTGGACAATTTTTTTTTACCATGTCTTCTCTGAATAAAGCTAAGCCAACTTAGGGGGAACAAAATTATAGAGATGGTTTGTGTAGTACTGTATAATCACATTATGGATGTTGTTTTCTTACAAGTTTTTTATTATTGAATAAATAATTAAAAGAACTAATTGGGTTAATTAATTAATATTCTACCTGTATACCAAATGCACAAGTTGCTAATTAATTTCAAGATAAAATTTGCCCAATAAAACAAAAAGAAAAAAAGATACTATATCTTATGTATCTTATTTTACAATAAGAATTTAATTTCATGTATTTGTTTTGAGGGTTTTGAGTTTTGAGGATAATTATGATGATAAAGTATCCCTTTTGTATTTTTTGTTTGAAAAAATTTGCGTTTTCTTTTTATATAAAATTTATAAATCTTAAGAAAAGGTTATTGATTATTTTCTATAATTCTAAGAGGTGTTACTTATGAATATTAAATCAATCCCAAACTTAAGAGATGCAAACAAGTTGTTCCCCTCAAAAGTCAAAATAAGAGTTTTTATCTCTTAAATTCCCTTAAGTTAAGGAAATATACATTATCAAAACTCATTAAATCATCACCTACTTCCCTTTAGCCATGAAATCTAAAGGTCAAAATAAATATGATCAGGGCAGATAAGAGATAATTTTATAAAAATATGAGGGGAGAAAGCTGATGATTTCTAATACATATGGGCTCTGAATAATACTGCCTTAAACATTAGGCGTGATAAGGATAATAAGCCCTTAAAAGTTAAAATAATTAAATCACGAACCAATGAACATAAATGTTAAGTGGCCTTTAATATTTAACCGCCATATTTCTAAGAAAAAAATGTATTCCTATAATTCACCTTTAAAACGACACTAAAATACTGCGCAGAAGCCAGAGAAAAACCCAGAACCGTCTCAGAGTCTCAACTCCAACCTCTTATATACAATTCACCCACCACCGAAAGCCTTAAACAAATTTCCAAAATTAAAAATGTTCTTCTTCTTCGTGGGAGGAGTGAACCAACAGGTGAGTCAGGTGCTAAAATCAGGCGCGGGTCGGTGCATAAACTGCGGGTCAAGAGCCGATCTTGTTGAATATGAGAAAGTTTTAAAGGTGTTCTTTGTTCCAGTGTGGAAATGGCCCGGCAAAGAGCCTCTAATGCATTGTAATAACTGTAATCTCTTTTTTCCTCCTGCTCTTTCTAAGTCTGTTGAGTCTGAGTCGGTGTTACCGAGTGTCGTTTCCGATGATGTCAGATGTCGTTTTTGTGACCGGGCTGTGGATCCTGAGTTCAGGTTCTGCCCCTTTTGTGGCTCTGCTCTGTAATTCTAATTGTCCTCCTTTTATTTTTCGGTCTCGGTGAAGTTATGACTTAGTGTAAATGAAGTTTGAGACTATAATTTATGGTCAATAAAATGATTTTTTTTTTAATTAAATATTTAAATTTCTATTGCTGTTGCGCTAGCTTCCCTCAAACCTCTGTAACGAAGTTGGGTCAGAAATTGGAATTTTTGTTGAGACTTACAATTTTAAGGAATTCATGGGAAACTTTAGAGCGAAACTGAACTAGAATTTCATAGCTTTAGATATTTATGCTTGAGTTTAGAAATTGTATAATACAAAAGTAGTAGCAATTCTTGGATTTTCACTGAACATAAATGTTAATGATGCTTATGATAAAACAGAGATCAAAGACCCTCACTGCATCTGCCAATAAAATAAATTTAAAAAAAAAAAAAAAAGCACTGTACACCAAAACAATCAACACAAGAGCTTTGCATGTGGAGACCATCACTTCTCTGCCTCAGAAAAATTCACAGTTTCCGGGATATCTCCTGGGTAATTCTCCGAGAGCACTAATCCAATCCAAACTGCACAATGTTGTAAGCTACTGTGGTGTGGTTGTTTATTTGCAAGTCTGCCTGAGAGTGCAGTTGAGACTAGGAGTTTGATTGCATCTGAGCATCTTTAGATAAGTCAATCGATCGTAAAATTTAATTTTACATTGGTTTGCTGAAGGGTAATTTCTTAGCTCCTCGCTCCAAAGCATCTCTCCACAACCTGTACCTTACCCCTAGTTTGTCATAGCCTACTGGCAAATTCCAAATGTTTGCCCCATTTATCATTCGCTCTTGCTGCCCAATGACAAGCCTTAGATCCTCATTTAACACCTGTGTTGGCCACATATCAAGAAATAAGGCAAGAATTTGTTAAGGAAAACAATACTGTGAGTGAGTTTTTTTTCTTGTTAAACCAACCCAGAACCCGCCCGCGAGTGACGGGAAAGGCTACAGAAAACAACTTTTTACCTGTTCTGCAAAATGCCTCCACACGTATTGCATGAAAGGGATGTGCTTCAACACAGGAGCAAAGTCTAATGACATTCTATATAACAACCTTGTTTTCTTTGTTGATGAAGGTAAGCAGACGTGAAGTTGATGAAGATGTGTCGAACACTGTCTGGTACTCTGTCCTTCCAATTTTCCAGGCTTTGAAATCCCAATGGTTGATAACACCATACATGGAGGTCGAAATTCCATATCTATTGGATAAGGGTCCCAGTATCCTTGGAGGCCAGATGCAGGCGTCAAAAACTTCACCAAGCTGAAAATGCATGCCAATGCCACGGATGGCATAAATGCAAGAAATTAAGTTCAATAATATTATCTCCAGATAAAATATGAAGTATGCTTCCTAACATTTTCCTCTTGCTAAAATATATACAGATCAGTTGAGAGATTTAAAATTCAAATTACTTGTTTCTATACCATTTGAAAATATAGACAGATCATCAAACACAGAAAGCAGAAAACTGGCATCTTGGAAATTATTTTTTGGTTCTTACTCAATATTTTGTTTGCTCTCGTCATATGCAGTCTTTTCAAACATTCCACCCAAAAAAGAAATTGAGATTTACCAACATGTGTATATATATATATATATATGAATCAATAAACTTTTGACTTTTTACAATTTATAAGTTATATTGAAGATCATTAAATTTAAATTTGCAAGAACGAACCTGGGAACACTCCATCCCTTGGCAAACGTAGAAGTGTGGGTAAATGGAGCATGAGCTAGATCTAAAAGGTTATCCAGAAGTAGCCCGTGTTCAATTGGAAGTTCCATAACAATCTGTCATTTATGAGAAGATACAAACTTTTTCAAAATATGATGCAAGCATGGTTGATGTGTTTCTTGTTTCACAATTTATGAAACAATTTTAATGCCTTTAACGCATACCTCAGCATGGATTTCAAATCCTGAAGGAGGCAATAAAGAAGGAAGGGTGGCTTTAGGAGGATCGTCACCAGGCCAAATCCATATCATTCCCTCTTGCTCAAAACATGGCACTGATTTTATCTTCACATTAAGCAATCTTGTAGATGGCATTTTTTCACATTTTCCATCTGTCGTGTATTCCCACCCTGATATTTATCAGCAAAACATTTTTCAAGAGTCAACAGTGTTCATTCTCTTATCTGTATCAGTCACTATAGACTCTTAAATTCAATATCAAAAACTATGCATAATCTTCAAGTATTTCCTATAATTTTTACTAACCATGGTATGGGCATTGGATGCGACCCTCATTTACTGAACCAAGGTGAAGAGGGCATGCTCTATGCGCACATGTATTCTGAACACATCCAGGTTTCCCATCTTTGCCACGAAAGATGACCCATGGTTCCTCAAAGCATTCAATTGGAATCTGAAACACAGATGGTAAGATACACGTAAGAATCCACAGGTAAAAGATTTTGGACAATATATCACAGTATCACACCCACCCTCCTTCCACTCAGAGGCATCAACCATGTAATTTGTTAAAGCACATCAATCTATTTGATAGTGCAGTAACACGGCTATTATAAAAAAGAATAATAATTAAGTAAGATAAAGACAGTGGAACCCCAGGTATTAACTTGTTTCAGTTTACTAGAAGACAATCTTGGTAGTTTTAAGGCATGACATTTGCAGATCAGAAGTATTTGATTCACTTGAAATCAAGATTAGAAGGACTTACCATAGTATCATCCTTGAGATCGGAGGAGAAAGCAACTGGGTACCAGAAGTTTTTCAATCGGGGATGATAAGATTGAACTGGACCAGAGACATTCAAGCTTTTCCGGGGCAACTTTCCTTTAATGGTATCCAGAGATTGTGTAGAAGTACTAGGTGAAGAGTACATTTGATCAGATTCTGAGGTGTTTCTATCTTGTAACAGCCTATCATTAACCAATGCTTCCATGTGAGCTAGTTTATCTAAAGCAGTGGCAACCCTCGCTTCAGATATATGAACCTGTTTTTGTTCATGGTAAATTGGCTATGAGATAGAAGTTGGAAATTCCATAAATATTAGGCGTCTTTCAGCTTTTAGTTGTTGCATATAGGTCTTGATTAAGAAATGGAAAGAAATTCAATCTACCCAAGTCACAGAATTTAGATTAATAAAAAGAGTTTGAGTCACAGGGTATATCATCAATTGCTGACTTTCCAGACCTGATTATGAGCTTGAGATAGTTCTTCTTGCAATTCAGCAAGCTCTTTCCTCATTGTGCCAATGGACTTGTATTCGCGTGCCAGGGGATTTAGAACTTCAACAACCTACATAATTGTCAATGAAAGTGAATATTATCTTAAGGAAGCAATCAGAACTCCCTAATTTTCATTATGGTGCCGAGACAAAATCAGTCTGGCTATCTCTTTTCATTCTCGTTCTGAGAATATGCTGCTTTTGTTTTTCTGGATCATTCAGACGTAATGATCATATCCATAATTTATAAAGATACAGAAATAAAAGACCAGCACAATGTTAAGTATCAAACATAAGTAGAAAAACTCTAATTAGTCAAGAAAGGCCAGGAATAGCTGATACCTTTTCATGGAGGAGCATAATTGTGAGCACATCTTGTCGAGCCTTCCAATCACAGTACTGAATATCATATCTAGCTACTTCAAGCGCTTGGTTCACATCCAAAAACTTTCCTTTACATTGAGGGGCTTTAGACCTCGGATCCTCCACATCGAAGAGTGTGCTCCATCCGTTCTTCTTATCTACTAAGCCACCTTCCTCCCCAAATACAGCTAACACCCTGAATCCTCCTCGAACGCCCTAAAAACCCACACACCAATTTAAATATAAGCAAACAAAAAAAAATTATTTCCAATAACCCCAGATGAACTCTATCAGCTAATGTACTAATCCTATCATGTTATTCTTGACGACTTTAACTACATACGGATTTATCTTATTACAATAAACTTTAATGTAATAAAATTGTGAAAGCACCTTGTTTCTTGTTGATAAATGCATGATTTGCTAAAAAGAACAAGCAGCACATTTTTCTTTAGACCTTGCAATTATGCAGATAAATTTTTAGGGGGAAAAAAAAAAAAAAAAAAAAGCTCAAAAATTAGCTAAACAAATTTATAAGTCAGTCAACCAAATAAAATTGTTCCTCTCTTTTCCAAGACATATCTGACAGTAAAAGTTTCAAAAGGAAAGATCATAAGTTTTCCAATGGTGTGCCACTTCTAAGCCACAATTGAAACAACAATTCAATATGCTTAACCTTGGTCCATATTAAACAAATGGCCAAATCAAAACCAGCAAGTAAACCTATCAAGACCGCATTATACTATGATCAAGCTCTATTCCAACAAATTTAGCAGCAACCTAGACAAGCCAAACATCTAAACAAATCAAAATTCAAATATTTTGACTTTCAACACCTCAAAGCAAGCAGCAAATTCAACTATCATATTGACTACCCAAACTAAGTTCTTCTCCAAAAACAAAAACTGCCCAGATGAACAAACAAATTTATCAGCAAGCCACAAACTGAGCACAGAAACAAACAAAAAAAAAAAACACGTCTTTTACCGTTGAACGCCTCAAAACAAGCAGCAAATTCAACTAACAAATGAACCACTTAAACTAAGTTCTTCTCCAAAAATAGGAACTACCCAGATAACAAACCACGCAAAAAAGCCAACAGTAAAAACCTTTTTAGTGTTATTCTTGGATGGTCTACACAGAGAGATTGGAAGAGACAGAGCAGCAGCAGTAGCAACGGTGTTCATGGCGTTTGAACTTCACGCAGTGTGAAGAGAGAGGGAGAGAGAAAGAAAATGTGAGCCGGTTTAGTGAGTGAGATTTATTGCCGGGATTTGTTGATAAGAGGTTGGTGTTGCCCGCGATCTCAGTTGGCCTGCCAACGTATGCCATGTGGACAAGCGTGGACACTTCAGTCGCACACGTGGCTTGTCCGACATCCACATGCTTTCTTGGTCTGAGAGAGAGTATGGCCAAACCTGCGGGCTCCGGATATCTGAATAGTTGCCACCTCGGATTGTTGAGATATCTTTCTCTATCTTACTATCTGCTTTGTTGGATTTTGAAACGAAAGTGTTGAGTAGAATTTTGTTTTCAGATGGAAAAAATCTTATCCGTCCATTAAAATTTTGATCAAAGTGTTGATTGTGATTGTGATTGTGAATGTTATTGATGGCTTAAATTACAGTAGGTTAGATATGACTTGGAATATGCTTAGATACTACATTTAATTTGTGTATGATATCAATTGTTTCTAAAATATTTGGCCACATGTTATAATGCCACGTAATATATCAAATATGTTTCCCTTTTTTAGTTTTTTCTGTTTCTATTCTTTATTGTATCTTGTGTAATATTTGTTCATTTAATTTTTTATTTCTATAGCAGAAAATATGGAAAATAACTATTTTTTTTTAATGACCAGGGATTTTTGGGCTAACTTATACGTACCTCAACTAATCTTTTAAAACCCTAAAACCACCAACCAAGTAAAATTTTCAGTGGCTATCCTTAATCCCTATTAATACTCGAAAAATGATTTGAACTTAGAATCTCTTGAATAAAGGCATCTTCAACCTTGCGCAAATTTCAACTTCAATCCGATGCCATTTGTTGCACCAATTTGGTGCCCCGCTACAGTGTCACGCCAAATTTGGTATAGCACTGTTCATGCACACTAATTTAGCGTGACACTGTTCAAACAGTAAAACAAATATATATTTTTTTTATTTGTATTTAAGTTAATTTGACTATTTTTTATAATAATAAATTCATAATAATTATATAATTCAAAAAATGATGAAAAATTAAAAATAAAACTTTATTCAATGCAAATATTAAACTACAATAACCCAAAATAAAAATTAACACTAATTTAAAAACACCAAAATTAAAAGCTTGAATGGACAATACATCCTTTTGAATAATCTACAACTCTCAAAAGCTTGAATGAACAATACATCTTTTGAATAATTTACAAATCTTAAAAGCTTGAATGGACAATACATTTTTTTTTGAATAAGCTACAAATCTCAAAGATTGAATGAACAATACAACTTTTTGAATAAGCCACAAATCTCAAAAGCTTGAATGGACAATACATCTTTTTGAATAAGTCACAAATCTCAAAAACTTGAATAGACAATACATCTTTTTGTATTATTATTTTTTTATCTAGAATAATATTTTCTTCAACTATAAAAGCTCACACCAAATCAACTTCCAAATCATTCAACTAATATATCTACAAAGATGAATTTCAATTTTGGAGGTCCATCTTATTTATCGTCTTCTAATTCGTCATCATTTTCTGACAATGAAATTGATGACGAAGAATTGATGAATGATCTTGAAGCGATTGATGCAGAGCAAGAAGCAATCATTCACATGAGAGCTAACAACAACCTCCTCCTCCTTCACTATCTCAATCAACAAAACAACCAGGTGATCCGTAGAGGATTAATTCCTGGTCATAGAGTCATCAATCGCAACCGGAAAACTGCTGATCGCAATCCTCCCGCTCATTATATCATTCAAGGAAAAGAGTATAATATGGGTTATTATTTAGTTGATGGTATATACCCAAAGTGGTCTACTCTCGTACAAACTATTCACGATCCACGTGGTGCCAAGAAAAAATTATTTGCATGATATAATGACTGCGTGTATTATTATGCACAACATGATAATCAAGGATGATTGTAATGTTGATGCATCGATTGAGAATAAGATGGAAGCGTCAACTCTCGAAGTTGAAATTGTCAAGTGAAATGTCCGTTTCAAATTTTCTTGCTCAACATAAACAAATAAATGATACAGAGGCTCACCATGCTCTTTGAATACATTAATTGATCATTTTGAGAAGAATATAATTCAGAAAATTAAATTACTGTCAATATAAAATTTTTTTTTGTGTTGTTGTTGTTTTTTGTTTTTTGTTTTTTTTTTTTTTTTTTTATTCATTTATATTAAATGTAATGCTTAATTTTATTTAATTAGTATAATTTTCAAAGTAATTATTATTATAAAAATATCATTCATAATATTTAATTAATATATACAAAAATATGAATGAAATAGATTAAATGTTGATTATTCAAAAAATAAAAAGAAAAAAAATATTCTAAGAAATATTCTAAAGAATATTTTTTTTGTGTAATATTTGGTACAATGAATTAGAGATGTAATAATATTTTAACATCAAAATTACACCAATTCGATGTGAAACTTGCACCAATTTGGTGCAATGGGTTGGAGATGGTCTAATACACCTAATAGTGTTATTGATGGCTAAATTACAGTAGGTTAGATATGAATTGGAATATGCTTAGAACTACATTTATTTGTGTATGATATCAATTGTTCTAAAATATTTGGCCACGTGTTTAATGCCACGTAATATTTAAAATTTCCCTTTTTTTATTTTTTTCTGTTTCTATTTTATTTTATCTTGTGTAATATTTGTTCATTTATATTTTTTTTTTTTATAGCAGAAAATATGGAAAATAACTTTTTTTTGTATGATCAAGGATTTTTGGGTTAACTTATAATATCTCAATTAATCTTTGAAACCCTAAATACTAACCGAATAAAATTTTTAGTGTTATCCCTACTCTATTAATACCCAAAAAATAATTTAAACTTAGAATATTTTGAATAATACATTTATTATATTAATGATAAAGTGTATTATCAAAGTAAAATATGCAATGAATGTCACCTGATATTTCCTTCAGCCCTCTTACAAATTAGCTGCAAGAAAAGAATCAACTAATATTATTTTTTGAGTCATGCCTTCCTAAGCAATCAAATTTTCTCGCACCAAAACGGATACTCATGTATTCGGGTCATCTCATGATTCATGGGTGGGTATAACTTTACGGGTGAGAAACACACCAATGACCAAACTCCAAAGGTCAAAAGCAGGGGGAAAAAAACAAAAAATCTCTCTGACAACGCTCGTCTTCTCACGAATAAAAGCCATAACTAACTAAACTACTAAGCGCCCCCTCGCTTTATTTTGGTTAGATTAGAGAGGCTTTTCAATGGCAAGAACGAGCTATAATCAAAGTCACAAAAACAAGGCTGGTGTATTCTTTTTGGCCACTCTGCTTCTGTGGATGGTCTCCGTTTTGTTCGAAATAGTGTTCAACAAGCGCAAAGAGCTGCTATGGATCGCCTATGGTGCTTGCTTTTTCCAATTAGCCAACTGGGTCGTCCGATTTGCGGTCTCTCGGGACCCTCTCTTTGTTAATACCGCTGTCTCTCTTCTTCACTCTACTGTCACTTCCGTTTCAGGTTCCAATGTTACTTTTGCTTTTCAATATAGCATATATTTTTATGTTTTTGTTTTGTTTCCTGAAATGGTTGTGTTGATAAAAAATAGAGGTTGCTTAAGTTAGAAAGATGTGGCTGTTATTGGTTATTTAATTGGTCATTGTGGAAATAAAGTTATTTTGTGGCAGAGGGAAATGTGAATTTTTGTCAATTCTGGGCTTTGTTATTGGTGATAATGTTGTACTACTTGATATTCTTGTTGTTATTATTGACATGATGTTGAGCGTTGAACTATTTGATGTTATAGTAGGGAAGATTTAGTCAATCTGTATGAGCTTGTGAACCTTTGTGTTTGAAATTATACTTGAGAAGAACTTGACAAGCAGATGGTGGTGCTGATCTAATCGAATGAGAAGATGTTGTTATATTTAAATCGGTTTTGATGTACAATGAATTTGTAAACCAAGTGCATGATTTTTGAATGAAATTTTGCCAATTTAAGGATAAAAGCATGGCATTAAAGGGAAAAAAACAAAAACAAAAAAAGATCCTTCATATTTTATAACCTTGGGCACTTTAATGACAATTATTAAGGTTGTTTAAGTGAATGGTTTGATTATTAATTTCTTTGAAGGCCGGCTCAAATCTTTTACTCTTATCTATTTTTTGTGAAGTAGTTCATCTCAACTCTTTTTGCCTGTTGTAAATTCAAAAATGTTTCCATTTCCTCTGCAGTGGTATTAATTTTGGTTAATCAATGGGTAAGAAATGGTTCAAATGGAATGTTTGAGCACTCACAGTTGGTTGGTGGTACTTGGCCATGGGCATACCCGGCTTTATGCTTCTCATGTGGTTACTTTGCATATGATCAGTGGGATATGCTGCACTACCGGTTATACAGTGGTTTGATTCCTTCCATCCTTGTGCATCATCTGTTGCTACTGGTTTGCTTTACTCTTGCTTTATACCGAAATATTACCATCAACTACCTTATTCTTACTCTCAGTTGTGAGGTACGTTTCAGTGTCTTCCCAAAAGTTATTTCCCATTTCTACAGTTTCATCTATTCCCCTTTCCAAAACCCTCTTTCTGCTTGTATAAATCCCTCTTTCTGTTCTTGCTTCATCTGCCATTTATGTGTTATATTGAGTCATTGACGATGAAACTCGTTTCGTTGATACAGCTGCATTCCATATTTTTACATGTGAGGAAAGTAAGACGGATGGCTGGGATTCGTGATGCCAAGAGTAAAATTGTAATGGTGGAGTGGATTCTGAATTGGACCATGTTTGTTCTTGCGAGGTTTGCATCTCATGTTCTGATCACTGTCAAGCTGATTAAAGATGCTTCCAAGTTTGAAAAGGGAATTGAGTTGCCACTTGCCTTATTTGGGATGGTTGGAATGAACATACTTAATTTTTTCCTTGGCATTGATCTCTTCAAGGCTTTCAGGAAGGAGAAAACACCCTCACAGATGAATAACCATCATGCCGAATGACTGATACAATGAAGGCCGAAAAAAGAGTTAGTATTGTATCTTAGAGATTTCATTTGTTTCATTGTTTTTGTACAGGAAGAATACTTTTGGTGAAAGGAGTAGCTCTGCAACCTAACACGAAAAAACTGTCTTGACAACAAAATTGTGTTATTTAAGCTCACACAGCTGATTGCTGGCTTTTGACCGTTAGATTACAAACCATCTTATCCCTTTTTTTCTCTTTCAAGCAAAATTCTTAGCAGGTAGTTGCTATCTGGGATCCTTGGAGGATGCAACAATCCTCTACCTAGTCTACTAATAATGTTATCACTGCTCTTAGGTTTCCCTCTATCTTGTAATGGTAACCAATTCTGAGGTTCAGGGTGGATTCATTGTTTAGGGCATAGTAATAAAAATGGCCAAAAAGGTTCAGGATGGATTCATTGTTTAGGCATTGTAGTAGAAATGGCCAGAAAGGTTCAGGGTGGATTCATTTTAGGTATAGTAATAGAAATGGCCAAGAAAAAAGTCTTTTGTAGTTTAGAGTGGAGGTCCCACCGGGAGTCGAAACGAAGTCGCTGGATTCAAAGTCTAGAGTAATAACCACTGTATCATGGAACCTGCTAGGTGAAAAGAATGTCAGATGGAAATAATAATAGTACACCCATAATCATCTATTCTCACATAATTTACGGAGAAAATTTGTATGAAAAGATTGTGGGTATAGTATTACTGCTAATGCCTAATCTAACAACTAAAATAGTTATCCTACCCTTTTCCCCTTAACCCCCTTTGAGGGATAGCTATTAAAACCCCCCTGGCGTTAGTAAAAAGTTAGAATTTCATCCGAGTAATTGTTTTATGTATTTTTTTTGTTATAAAATTGAAAATTTTAAAAGTTGATAGACTTATATAAGTTGTCCCTTGGGCCTGGGGGTAAACGAAATAGGCCCAATTATTCTATCGTCTTTCGATTCTTTTATATTTGGGTTGGGATATCAACTGCTATCTCAATTCTCATATATGTTAGATTATAATAAATCAATAACCATCAATTTATGTTTAAATTTAAGTTGAAATATCTTATTTTACGTTATAATGAAATTAGATTAAAGGAATGAACTTTTTTAAGAATAAAACTTGGGCAGTATGAAACTACTGTAATAACTATCCTGCTCCTGCATTGATACTTCCCTTAGCAATTTTGAAATCACAGCTCATAAATATGATATTGATATTGATGCCCCACTTTCAACAAGATCTCAGTATGTATAAAATCAAATATCCCGCATTAGTTTTCGTTAACTAAAAATATAAAAATGACTTTGTGATTCTCTTGAGAATAAGAAAAATAACTGCTTCTATTATAGAATAATAAATGTTTAATCGTAGACACCAAATGGGGTGGTGGCGCAGTTGGCTAGCGCGTAGGTCTCATAGCTATTACGAGTTATCCTGAGGTCGAGAGTTCGAGCCTCTCTCACCCCATTATTTTTTCGGTTTTGGTTTCTATTTCTAACCTGCTAATAAACCTGGAATGAGCATGTGGCCGGTTGCCTCTTTGGGTCATTGGAATGAGAGCTTCCATACTTGAATCAAACATAAGCTTTGTATTTTTGTAGATGTAGATCAAGTTACCCATTCCAAGAAAGATAACCACTACCGTTTTGGATTTCACTTTCAAATTTCAAATGGGAATTAAGAATTCAAAAGCTTCGTGTTAACGCAACCCAGTTTGCAGTATCCAGAGACATCACCAACTCAAAACCAACATCATTTCATCTTCAGATCCTCTTTGGGCCAATGAATTTTGATTAATGTTAGAAAATCAACTAATCAAATTAAGCTCTATTAAAGAATCTCTTAAAGAAAATAAACTAAAGAAATTCGTCGGAGTTACATAGAGAAAAATACCCTGTGCCGGAAATCTGAACTCTGCTTGAAAAATTTTGCTTTATAGACCAGTGTTCGCGTATAAATGAAGAAAATAAAAAAGAAACAATATCTGCTGACTAAAAAGTATTTAATCAGCATATCTAAATGACACAAATTCTCTGGTTTACAGTTGAGAAATCAATATATTTTTCTACGTGGCTAAAGTTCTAGCTGTATTCCATTCTTAGTCCGAGAGAAGAACTTGGCAAAGCCATTCCGGTTCTTCTCAGGATTGACATGATTTGATGACACAGCAGATGAAGTAGATGATGATGCAGACAATGGTGTTTTTCCACCATTCTTGTTTACTGAAGGACCAGTGCTCTCGCCGGCTATACTTGTGGCACTCAACTCTCTTTTGGGTGAATATGTTTCATTCGAATGTAACTTCCATGGTTCTCCACTAGCTTTAGGAATCGATAATCCTTCCCTAGGAAATTCAGGTATGCTTGCTGTGTCAATCAGGAAGTCTTCCAATGTTGCCAGAGACTTTAGCTGCTTCCCAAGAGATGCTATCGTTTTCTGGCACTCAGCAAGTTTTCCAGAGGCCATGTCTAGATCCTCCTGCCATAGGAAAAATCATTTGATCATTTATATTTAGTGTACAATTTCAGATCCTTAGTAAAATACTAAAATGTGCATCAATAAATAGTGTAGATAAATTCCCTGATGACCTACCGGTTTTATCTTTACTTCAGCATTCAACTTTGCAACTTGTTGGAGCTCGACTTCCTGTTTCGTTCTCCACAGCTCTTCTTCCAATTTCTGACACTTTACTGTAATCTGTGCTGATAGAGCCCTCTCTTTTTCAACCTCATTTTCTAATGAGTCAATCTTTGCTGACATTGTTTGAACCTCCACTTCCGTGCTGATGAATTTAGACTCAACAACCTGCATCGATTCATTTGCCAAATTTAGCTGTCTTTCAAGCTCCTCCAACTTCATTTTAGCCTCCCTCAACTGAAGCTCTGATGCCGCAACACAATCTTCACTTTTGGTTAGAGACAATTCCAGTTCAGCTTTCTCTACTTCCATTCTTTCTATTTGCTCTTCCAGTTCACATTTCTCGGATTCCATCTTTTCCTTCACATCTTCCAGTTCACTTTTCTCTGCTCCCATCTTTTCCATTTCTTCTCTCAGTTCACTTTTCTCTGCTTCCATCTTTTCCATTTCTTCTCTCAGTTCACCTTTCTCTGCTTCCATCTTTTCCATTTCTTCTATCAGTTCACATTTCTCTGCTTCCGTCTTTTCTATTTCTTCTTCCAGCTCACCTTTCTCTGCTTCCATCTTTTCCACTTTTTCTTCCAGTTCACATTTCTCCGCTTCCATCTTTTCCACTTTTTCTTCCAGTTCATCTTTCTCCGCTTCCATCTTTTCAAATTTTTCTTCCAGTTCACCTTTCTCCACTTCCAACTTTTCAATTTTTTCTTGCAGTTCTCCTTTCTCCGCCTTCATCTTTTCAATTTTTTCTTCCAGTTCAGCGGTCCGATGAATCATAGCTTCAAGCTCAGCTCTTAATGAACTTTCTGCACCAATAGATTGCTTGGTAACAGCTTTTGATTCGATATTATTTCCACTTCCACTATTAGGCATTGCAGCAAGCTGCTCCATCTCAAGAAAATCATCCATTAGATCAATTTCAATTGACGAGGCAGGGAGATTTCTACTACTAGCCTTTTCGTTTTTGAACTGATCAAGCTCCACAATTAGGGCTGATGCCCACGAGTCAGAACAACTTAGCTCAGACTTACTTAGTTCAGAGCCATTCATTTTGTGGATATCAATCTCCACTGCATTTAGCCGTTCCCCACTGTCTGATTGACTATCCACAAGCGATTCAACATAAATTGAGGAGGCAGTACCAGATTTAAGGTCATTAATTGATGAAGATCTACAAGCCATTGCTTTTAACTTCCTGCATTCAGCCTCAAGCTTGGCCACCTTCTTTATGCTCTCTAAATGTTGCTTGCTGGCTGTTTCAGCTGCTTGAGCACTCAAGTCTCTTTCAATTGCCCTGATTTCTAACTCCTCGGTTTGAGAAAGGAGTTCATTCTTGAGGGCTGAGTTCTCTTTTTTAAAAAGTTCAAGCTTGTGGCAAAGATCAGGATCAATCTGAACAGGAGGTTCAGATTTAACAGCTTCTGCTTTGCTCTGGAGTTCAAGAACTTGGGTCTCAAGTTCAAGTTTTGTGGCCTCCCACTCACGGGTTTTCTTCTCCACAGCTTCTTGGATCATTTGCTCCTGCTTCTCTCTGCCTTGTCTTAGCTGCCTAACACATTCCTTGAGGGCCCCATCAAGATGGCTCACCCTAGCTTCCAGTGTCGAGTTCTGCTGTACTGCAGCCTCAAGTTTTTGCTTTAAGACACCCACTTCATTTTCAGCCTTTTCCCAGCCTAAAAATTAAGTGATGACAATTTTTAGGATACAATGAGATTAGGAATATGATTAAAAAGCAACATCATTAAGGGCGTTAGCAATCCTTAAGTGTAAACAATAGTCCACTATTAACCAATATGACAACTTGAAAAGTAGCAGAGATCTCTGCCCAAGTTACTACATGCCTAATACCTGCAATAGCTTCTTCAGCAACTTTGGCATGCTGCTTTACCAAGTCCTCTTTGGCACTAACATTCACCAGAGCAGCAGATAATTTTTCTGTTAGAGTCCTAACGCTATCATTAATATCTTCTCCATTGGATACAGCTTTTGATGTCACTTCAGGAGATTGAGCACTGTGATTAGGAGATGCCTTCAAGGCTTCCTGCTTCAACAATTAGAAAATGGACAAAATTGATGCAACTAACATAGCTATAAATTCATGAAATTAGAAAACTGACAAGATCATGAGGGGACAAAACTATTCAACCACGATTCAACTATGTCTTAATGGAGAAGTGGTGAGATTATAGGCAGGAAAAGCAGGAATATAACTAAAAGTTAGAGAAAAAGATTTTTTGAGATATTTTGAAATAATGGTGTCCATGGGAAATCCATTATGAATTCTCTTCCTCTTGTGAAGGGGTTAGACAATGTAATTAGGCATCCACAGAAAACAAACATCTTCATTTTTCAATGGAAAGACTCCCTTTCAAACATAGATTTCTCAAGAAAGTTTCAATACATTCTATGATATATGAGTGTTCTTCTCTTTTCTCTTTGCACTCATGTAATAGGCAACCTAATTCACTAAGAGAAAGGGAAAGAGCCAGGAAGGGAAACTTTCAAACAGGAATTGCAACTCAAATAACATAAACCTCGTCCATAAAATTTTATTGCAGACATATTGAGATTCAAACAAAACTCTCATTAAATCAAAACACTAAAACTTTGTTTTTGCGGAAAAAAAAAATTAACCAGTTCCTGGCTTAAGGTGAAATAACCGAAAAACGTTAGGATGACCAAGCAACCGATCATGAGAGTTCAGTGAAGAAGGATACTGAAAGATTTAAAAGACCTCCAAATTCATTCGAGAAGGGTGATTATGCATGAGAAATAAAGGAATAAATGTTAAACTCTAAAGTTTGTTTGAAATTTAAAGCTTTTTAAAGGAAAATTACGGCAATCTCAGAGGGTATCATGACAGTCTCGGGTAGTTTAACTGAAGTCTTGGAGAACAACAATTCAATTTTTTTTGCAGAAAATAAATTGGGAATGGAGAGGTGTCAATTACTCACCTGGTCATCAGAATATCTCTCCGAATGTGAAGAAATTGATCCTGAACTCTCTGTTTCGCCAGGACTTCTCTCAGAAGACTTCCTCTTCCATAACCATTTTCGCTTTTCCATTTCAAAGTCTAGTATTCCAACAACAATTAGCACATCACAGATTGTTCATCTGCCAAAGAATCTGCAAACCATTACTCCACTAGTAACCCATCTTAAATGAACTTCAAAGTTGCAGAAGTGAAGCAACGAATTTTTTTCACTTATATAAAGCAGAAGCACAGATCCTCTTCAACAATCACAAACATTAAACAAAAAGATGACTTGGCTTATCATTTTCTCAGCTTTGCTTCAAATCTAAAACATTAACTAACCAACTCAACAACAACAGATGGTCCTTTCACAGAGCCAAATATAGCAACTAAGAAAAGAACAAAGCGCAAAAAGATATCAACAGCACGCGTATTTTAAGGCAAAACAAGGGATCTCAAGCTCCAATAACATAACAAATACCATCAAAATCTACCTGAAACAACATTCAGCTTTGAAATCACAAGATACCCATTACTTGAATCACAACATGGGAACTACCCATTTCATTTAAAAAACTCGAATCCAATCTTTCAAAACAATAAATCAAAGTCTATGAAACAGTAGCAGAATATTAATATAAGAACCCCAGATATGGGTGACCCATCAAAGCCATAAAGCTCAAAACTTTCTAAACTTCATTAAAAAAATTAAAAAAACCAGAAATATAAAATAAAAAAACAAAAGGGAAGATACAGGACTCTTAGACCCAGATCAAATACCTTTGACTGGAGACCAAAACAAGCCCAGAGATGAGATGGGGAAGCAGAAATAAATGAAAACAAAAGATGTCTTCAGATTCAAAAATTGTAATAAATAACAACAACAACAATATAATAAGTCTGCAAGTATCTGTGGAATGTCAGGTGATGTATAATCAGATAATGTGGGTTCTATTTCTTGTATTTTTCTCTACTTTTGTTAATGCTCCTGTAGTTTTTCAAAGATATTAAAAGAGGGAACAGCATGTGACTCTCTGTTGAATGTGAAGCTGTGAACTCAAAGAGAATGAGCCTTGAAAAACAACTTTTCAGCTTTTTGTCGCTTAAAATATCATAATTACTTTTACCATTTCTTTTGTATAATTTTTTTTTTTTTCCCAAGTATTTTGAAATTGAAAATAATTTGATTGTTCTTATTCCCGCCCATGCATGGTGATGGAGAATTGAGATCACTAATCACTGTGCCACCATTAATGGTATTGCCGTATTGGTTAATAAAAATTTTGAATTTTCAGAAAAAATGTGTCTCTCTCTTTCAGTGGTTGTCTCACTCTTACCTTTTTTTATTTGCCTTGACATAGTGGAGGAATCTTTTGATAAGGTTAAAGGCTCTGTTTGGCTGTTGGGTTTTATTATTCATGGGTACTGTGCCAATTCCTTCATCGAACGGCTCACAACGCATTGGATGCTCCCTGGCCGTATAAATCAAAATGAGTTTTTTTTTTTTTTTTTCCTTCCAAGATTATTATTATTATGAACAAAATGAATATAACACATCTAATGAGTTGTAAAAACAAAAAGATATATTATGGGTGTGGGATAGATATCTAAATTCAGCAATTAAAATGGTCTAATTTATTTCTATTTTTTAATAAATTTACATTAAATTAAATTGAAAAATCTCGTAGAAATATATTAAATAATTTTAAATTATGATTGGGAAATTATAGAAGTGAAATAGTTGACAAAACTTTAAGTCACGTGGAGGACAGCAAAAGTTGGTGGAGGCCCAAAGGAATATAAGCTATTTGTCATGTGGGAGGCCCTAATGACCTTATTGTCTTGCGGGCCCATCTATAACTCATAATTTCCCCTATTTTGTTTTGTTTTTTTAGAAAAAAAAAAAAACTCATTATTTATTTATTTATTCATCTATTCTCAAATAATTTATTTAAAATTAGTTTGGATGAGTGGTACAAGCGTTAGAAAATTTTAGGACCCAAAAGAAGTTAAAAAGGAAGAGACAAAGAGGAAATGAAAGGTTAAGTATGGTGAAATAGTGGATTTGAGCTGGACCCAGATATAAATTTTGTCTCTCCCAAAGTTAATTTGAGTTGCTATTGTTTTAATGATTGTGTTAAAAAATAGTAGATCCAAATTACGATAATTGAAAAGCCATTCGATGGTACTATGTTAAATTATATAATTAACAATTTAACATCTTTCCATCTAATCACATTAATGCACGTACGGTTAATAATTATTCTATTTTGCATGGGTAAGGTAATAGTAACAAGATATGATATACTGTAAAACTTTATTTTAAAATTTAAATCAATCAAATTCACATGTAAGAGACTTTAAACATGGTTATTTTTCTTTTCATACAAGCAAAATGACATATTGTTGATAATCATTTTTATCTAGAAGATTTATAGTAATCTCTTTCACGTAATGTTAATTATAAGAACTGACTTCATGAATGTGTCAAATGGATTGGTGATTAGTTGTAGTCAACTTTAAGTTAAACCGGTGCATATATTGCTTGCACCCAATCACTCCAGGCTTGCCACCAACCTACAATGAACCTACCTTCCTCTATTTTTTTTATCATATTTTTATTATTCAAAAATAAATTTAAGGCTCTTCCTACGAGTTTCTTATTAAAAAAGAAACCATGAATAAGATAACGTTTTAGGTAAGTAATTTGATATTTCTTATTTCAACGAATATTCTTAATTTACACCACAAAAATACATGAAACCTGACCCTAATATCAAAGAGATTGGTGTGCCCTTGATTAGAGACCAATGTTGCGGCATCCACGGTTGAGCCCAAGAATCTTTAAAATAAAAAAAACAAAAAAAAACCCTTGATAGCCTCACGGGAATCATACAGAAACTAGAGTAATTCGAAAATAAGACAGAATGTTGTCACCACAATTATTGGATTTGGAATATTTTATTTATTATCTGAACATAAATACATCTCACACGCTGCGTTTTGATATGATAGGCAACCATAATCAATGATCTGGAAACCAAAAAAAGTCAAAAGTGTGTTGGATTTCCCTTATTCTGAGGCCATTAATTGGGTTGAGAATGAGAGCGACCTTTGCCTCACTACTTTAATTTAATTAATTGTCGAATATTAATTGATTCGGTTGTTGCTATTAAGGAGCGGGCAATGGCATAGCCTTACCCTCTTTAAATTGAATTTTAAATCAAACATCCGTCTTACGCATTTTAACCGGTATTTTTAATGAGGAAGAGAAGAAGAATTAGGGGTGGAGATGGCCCAGAGTCCTTATTGGGTTTTGGTTTGTCTTGAGAAAGTAGCAGTCTACCCTTTAATCATTTATTCATTATTGAACCATATGTTGGCTGGTTGGGCCCTTTACTTAAAAGACAGTATTATTATTTTTTTCTTATTTTTTAATCATGAAAAGTGTTTGGGTCAATCTGTACACATCTCAATTAATTCTTCAAGGACTTGGAACTATCGGCCTAGTAAGAGGTCTTACGGCCACCCCAATTAATGTATGAGGGGACTCAAACTTAAGAGCTTATGAAGCTTTCTTTTGCTCTTTTACTGTTGAGTCACCCATTTTTTGTTTTTTATAGCTCAGGGTGTTTGGGTCACTTATGCACACTTTAACTAATCTCTCGAGACCCTGAAACTACCAGCCATATAAGAGCTTCAGTGGCTACCCCTATTAACAACCGAAGAGAAACTCGAACTCAGTACTTTTTTAATAATGCACACAAAAGTCATTATCCAACTACTTAGTCACCCATAAATAGTTCACTTAAAGACGTATCTTGCAACTCTACATTTTGCTAGGTGCTAATCAATAACAACAATAATATTGATGGTTTTCTAGTTTAATTAATTTATCTAATTATACTGGGATCGAACTCAATATATTTTAACAATTGAAAATCAATACATATAAATTAAATTAGATTGGAATTGATAAACCAAATTAACTTTATCCTCTAATTCATCAAAATTAATAATTTATATATATCGAATTGAATCGGATTTTAAACACCTTTATAAACTTTCCTATAACCCTTCTTTGTATTTATATTGAGCCTGCTGGAGCCCAATCCCACTGAAAGTCAGAAACAAGAGTGGGCTTGGGCTGATCCAAGTGAAAAGGGCATGTAATGTCTATGCAGAAAAATAACAAGTTCGTCCCTAAGGTTTTAGCTAACATTTAGTCCCTATCATAATATCATTACCAAAACATCACGAACAAATTCTACCAGACTAAAGTATTTTAACCAAATATCACTATATCAGGGACGATATTGTTATTACCCAAGTGGACGGTGGCAGTTGAGGTGTCAAATTATGACTTGTCAACTCAGATATCCTTATCACCAAGTTGTATTCTAGTTAAAAAAACTAGACACGTGTCATGATTCAAAACCGGAGTGACGACGAGTGAGTGAGTGAAGTCCTCGTTGGTTGGAGTGAGACCTAGGAGGAGGCTTGGATATTAGTTATTACGTGTGACAATTCCATTGCTCCTTCACCACAGATTCACTTCGCAACAGCCCCTACTCCATAACCTTAAACTTACCGGTGAATAATGCAAAATTAATCTTAGCTTAGACTGAAATTTAACTGTAAATAAAAATTATATAATCCTTTGTGCCTTTGTAAACCCTTTCATCTAAAAAATAATTAGGTTTTAAACAGTAAGATTTATTGCTAAATGCTGCTTTGAATTTGGATCATATATATAAAACTTTTAAGCTGAAAACATTATCTTGAGAATCACAAAGTACCAGAGAGACGTGGACGCTCTATATGCCCGTAATATTGTATCCACAGTACTTGTCATGTTTGATACTTCTCTTTAATTTCATTTCATGCACACAGTTCTTTCTGCTCAAAATAAACCATTAACAAAGACCTAGAGACTCAAAATCAGGCTTTAGAGTTTAGAATTCATACAGTTATGGCTCAAACTATGTTGCTCATGTCTGGTGTTTCCACTAGCCGTGTAGGGGACCTAAAGAGAGATCCTTTACTTGCATTCCAAACTCAGAGACTAAGGCCTAAACCATTCTCTCATCTTCTCTTTAACCCCCTTTCTAATAATGTTTCTGTTGCTTCTTCATCTAAACCATTTACTACTTTTGCTCTCTTCAAATCAAAAACCAAGGCCCCTCCCAAAAAGGTTAACGTTTTCTTGATTTATTTTTATTGTTTTTGTTTCTGCTTTTGTTATTAAGTTTCTGGTTTGATGGGATTTTAAATATTGTGTTTACAGGCTGTGCCGAAGCCAAAACCTCAGGTTGAAGATGGTATCTTTGGCACCTCTGGAGGAATTGGTTTCACTAAGCAAAATGAGCTCTTTGTGGGTCGAGTTGCCATGATTGGATTTGCTGTGAGTACTACGTACATAATAATTGTTCTTAATCTCTACTTTTTCTTGCAAATATATAGCCTTTAAACCTACTAAAATTACTACCATTGAACAACATTCTTTCCTTACTTATTTGTAGATTCTTTATAATTTAAATCTACTAATATAGATTGGAGAAGAACCAATTTAATTAATTTCCTAAAAATATACATCTTATGTACTATAATCTCGCAAGGTAAATAAAATGATTAAATGGTTTTCATGATGTAGCATTCTCTATGATTATAATAAGTATTTTAAGATTCTTGAAAGCTTAGTCGGATGATTAAACTTGTGGTTTGCTTCCACAATATTTGGGGTTAATTCAAACCCTGTAATAGATACTTGTATGGCCAAAAATGTATCAATTTACATTTTTTTTTTTTTTATTTGTGATTGGGAGTGTTTGGATCAATTTACACGCATCTCAATTAATCTGTTTGAGGCCTTGAAATTGATGACCGGGTAAATCCCTTAGTGATCATCTCTATTAGGGCCTGTGGAGACTCAAAGTCAGGAGCTCATGAAACCTCATTTTACTTTTTTACCATAAGATCATTTGCATTCTTACAAAAAATGTTAATGGAAATTGCAAATTTAAGTTTTTTTGTGTACATGTATCTCAGGCTTCTTTGTTGGGTGAGGGAATAACAGGAAAGGGAATTCTAACTCAATTAAATCTAGAGACTGGAATTCCAATCTATGAAGCTGAACCCCTTCTATTATTTTTCATCCTTTTCACCCTGCTTGGAGCCATTGGAGCCTTGGGAGACCGTGGTAAATTTGTTGATGAAGAACCTAACACTGGAGCTGTGATCGCTCCTGGCAAAGGCTTCAGGGCGGCATTGGGTCTTAAAGAAGGAGGTAAAAAAATCTTATTAATATTCAATCTCCTAGTTATATATTTGAAGTTGGTTTCATGCAGGGTGAAGTTATTTCGAGTCTGACATTGTTTTAATTATGTGGAACAAGGTCCGTTGTTCGGATTCACAAAGTCGAACGAGCTGTTTGTAGGAAGATTGGCTCAGTTGGGTATTGCATTTTCTTTGATCGGAGAAATCATAACGGGGAAGGGAGCTCTAGCGCAACTCAACATTGAGACTGGAATTCCCGTTAATGAAATTGAACCACTTGTGTTGTTCAACGTTATCTTCTTCTTCATTGCTGCATTGAATCCTGGAACTGGTAAATTTGTCACTGATGAAGAGGAAGACTAGATCGTCTTCAACCTGCTGCTTATGTTTACATAAACAAACTCGCATTTTAATTATGTAAAATTCAACTCTCTCTCTATTAAAGCCAGGAGCAAGTTTCATTTCACATCTATCCCTTGAGCATTAATTAAAAACTAACTCTATTTTGGGAAAATAAAATTAATAAAACAAACTATTTATTAAATTTACCTTTGTTTGTCGGTGTTAAAGGAATTGGTAAAAAACAAAATTTATAAACAACAGTCAATAAATATGTTCATTTTTTATCTGTCAATTTTACTTATAATTAGCATGCTTTTTCAGATGTATTACTAAAATGACAAGAAAAGAATCATATTCTGTCGGGTCAATTGCTATAATATAATGGTCGTCGGGCCTTCTTGCGTCAGTAAAATCTAATATAATAAAAACCAATTAGTTTTCATGATTCTACAAGATTTATTGAATCCTTATTTTGAAAATAAATAATTATATAGAGTAAACCACGTTTCCCAGCTAAGTAATAGTTTAAACTTTAACGATATTTTTTTATAATTTTAAAGTACCACTTTACTTAGAAAAATATCATTTTATTACCTAAATTTATATTCCATTTATGTTTTCAATATTGTTGTAATCTCACATCATCACTATTTTCTTCTTTTATCATCATTCATTAAAACTTCTCAAACTCAACTTCTGTCGACCTAATCAATTGCCGCCAATCAAATGATTAGAGTTTATATAATTACCCTTCCTAAGTTAAATTTTAATTAATCCCAACTACCAAAATCTAACACTCCATCATCAAATGACTTATCGATCTCCTCTTTTCAAATTCCAATAAATTCGCTTTCTTTTATGATCAATCTAATTACAAACTTTAACTGATTGGCCATACTCTTTGATTTGACTCCCCTTAATCATCCTAAAAACCCTTTAATTATTCAAATCAAACCAAATCACCTAACTAATGATACTCCTTTAAGCTTTTGCAAAGTCTGTATGATGGGCAAACAACCAACCCCATTAATAAAATAAAACAACATTATGTGTAAAAAAGACACAATACAATAAATAATATATGTATATATAAACCCCTTGATTTCCTCTTATATATATATAAACCCCTTGATTTCTTCTCACACTTTGCTAATGAATTATTATAAATAGTTTAAGTAATTAAGTACGACTTAATTAATCATTTAATTAATTAGAAACTTTCTTGTTTCCGTTATAGTCCATGTGAAATGATAAACAAAGGGACAGACAAGAGTTCTACCCGTAACATAACAGAAGCTCCTGCCCTTACCTTTAGCTTTTCCTTCTCTGCCAAGTTCTCTCTCTGAACTGAATCTTCCAACTGTTACAGTCTGGGATCCATCTAAGCCTTGAACTCGGGCGGTTTAAGCTACCCGATTCTGGCGGGACACGTTCGTCGTCAACCACTTAACCGTTGATACGAAAAGATAGTTTATTTATACTTTCGGTTCCGTCACCTTTTCAAATTCACTGTCTCAATCAGAGCCGTTGATTTCTGAGAAGTAATGGATAATTCATCGGCAATTGTTAATGGAAATCATCATCACTCCTTCTCCTCGTCGGCTTCTCAGAGACATGTTAGCTACAGGTTCTCCCTCTTTCTCTTTATGTATAATTTTTTTTTTTTTTTTTTTTTTTTAATTTTTAATTTTGGACTGAAATTGATGGTATTGATTTTTTTAATTGGGTGTAAATAGGAAAGATCGGAGATTAGCATAATTAAGTTATGCTTTAATTTTGGATTAGGTTAATGGAGCTAGCTGCTTTGGTTTTGGTTGCTGTGCGAAATTGATGATTTTTCTCAATGATTGTACTAATTGATTTATTAGCTGTAGGTAAACCATACTGAGTCGAGCATGGTGTTGATATAACTATCTTTTGTGGGTGAATTATGAAACTCTAATCAGTTTGATATATGTGGTTTTGGGATTCCATGAAATTTCTTAAGCTGAATTAACATTGAGGTTTGTTTGGATGATGAGGAGGAATTGAATGAAACTGAACTCATCCGTATGCTTTTTGTAAATTCAAGTTTGTTTTTTATCTGGAACCAATGCAAGAAATGGAAGCTACTCCTACTTTGTTGGTGAAAATTTGAAATGGGTGTTAGAAGATATCATTTAATCGATTCATAGAACAGAATCTGTGTTTTCTTAATTACCTATACATGAAGATATCATTTAATCGTTTCATAGAACGGAATATGTGTTTTCTCAATTACCTCTTTATACATGATGAAATGTATTATGCACATCTAATTGATGGTTGATCATGGCTTTTTTTCAGATTGGCCATACATGTATCATTGGCTTTTTTATTGCTTCAAAAGAGTGCCTATTTTCACAAATTGAAAACACATTATTAGAGTGCCTCTTTCACAAATTCTGAACATTTTTTTAGACCATTCTATTAATGAGTTTTGATCGGCTAGATTACATCTGACTCAGCAAAATTATTTTACATTTGGAGGTTAACATATTAGATACAATCCAGATCATTCAACGTAAACTAGTCTAATGGTTCCCAAGTTTTATCATCCTTTGTGTGAGATAAAAGGGGTTGTTGATTCAATCATTTAGGGAGGTATTTTGCATTTATCTGTCTTATTCAGCTCCAACTGGCTGGGTTAATAACTACATATAACACAATGGCAAGATTCAATGTTGGAAAAAATGTCTAGCCATAACATAAAATTGATGTTTTTTGTGAAATGCAGTGACTGCTGGCTAGGCTTTTTGCTAATTAGCCCTAAGGATATTGTTTTTCTCTTTTTAGCCAAACTGAGGACATTGGTTAAGATTTAGTAATGTCCGAACACGTCCTTTTTTCCTGTAAGAAGTCTTTAGTTTGAAAATGCTGATATTACTCTTTCTTAAATTGTTTCTCAAGTCTTCTATTGGAACTAATCTAGCAGAGTTGGTATTGGCATGTCTTTATCATATAATCCATATCATCAACTTGAGATGCCAAATTACTGGCCATTTTAATTGTGATTGACCAAAAAAATAAAAAATAAAAAAATAAAAAAACAGTAAACAAGTTGATCGTTCAAGCATTCAAATTATCTTGCTAATGTTTCCTGATCAGTGCAAGTTTTATCTCAAGATATCCATAAGTTCAAATGATTGATTCTTTTTTTCTTAAATGAGACCTATTACTTAAAAGGAAAAAAAGAAAAAGAAAAAAAAGTCATCTGCGTGTAATAAATGGGACCTATTACTTAATTTATGCTCTATTTCAATATATGTACAATGTTTTGTTATTCTTGGTTTTTCATCTTCCCCTTGTTGGATGTTATCAGCTGAGGGCAAATGGGAAAATAGGATCTTCTTGTCCAGTGGACTAGGGAAACTCATGGAATTGACCTCAGCTCATTGTCAGTTCCCTTGTATCTGAATGCACATACTTTTTTCTGTTTAAATTGGTGTCCTCAAATTCGATATTCTGACATTGATTATGAGGAAGGCAATAAATCAGAAATGTATCCTAAGTTTTCTTTTATTATCTCTAAACTCCTATTTTTATTTTGTCTTCCTTGTGATCATGATTCCTTCCTCAGTTAATATCTTATTGTGGAACAGATAAAAATGAGATCAGTTGCAATTCTTCATCTTGCTTTGAATGATTGATAGACTAAGCTACAAATTTCAAGAAGAATACAATGGTCTAATATAAGTTGTAGAAACAAATAATAGTGCGGGTAAAATTATTTTGGTATTCAAACATTGTGGGATTTCTTGTGTCTATATTCTTTTATCTTTGATTATGTTTCCGAAGATAGAACATGACAGTATCCTTTTGTGCAGCTGTGGTTCTTGTGGGTATGAACTAAACCTTAGCTCCTGTAATCGGAACATCTCGACTATTGGCTCAAAATATGGAAAATCTATGAAGCGAGGGATCATATCATTTGTAGACATAGATGCGAGCAGATTCACGCAGGTTGATGAGCTGCAATGCAATCCCTACTTTTCCAAAATCTCCTGGGGGTTTTTCCGCCACAGAACCAAACTTCTTTGCCGAAAGTGTGGTAACCATATTGGAAATGCTTATGATGTCAAAACCTTAGTTTACCCACCTGTGCCAGATGGATCTGATTCATCCTCAGGTAATTGTGGTTCTGGTCAGAGAAAATATAATGTTAGAATACGTGCCTTGCAGCCTTCATCTGTTGATGGATCTGGCACCCCACTGTTCTCATGATATAAAGGACTAGAGTGTGCGTCTTCGTCAGGTATGATATTTCAAATGTTGTCAGCAACAACTATACTAAGAGTTTTCTGTGTGATTATTTTTGTATAGGTGTTTCAAGTGTATTTAGTTTTGTCTTATGTATTTTTCTACAAGACTTGTATATGGAAGTATCAGAAACTGAATTGAAAGAAAAGGAGAGTGGAATTTTGAAGGGAGTTGAATGGTTGATCAAAGTCTAAAAATTTTCCAAATTTGAATGTAAGAAAGAGTGACATTTTCAGATTGAGTTGAATGCAACAATTAGCCTATGCAGCATTTTATGCTTCAACCTCTCTGGTCCTTTCCTTTTATTAACTAGACTGCTGCCGAACATATTACTAACTAGACTGCTACCAAACATACCGAAATACTAGGACGGCTCAACTGCTCAAGGTGTAGGCAAGTGCAATTGTTTCAAGTCAAATCTTGCATATGCCTCCCATTTTCATACTATTTAAGGCTTTAAGTTTCAAAGCGATACAAAGTCGCCTAACATTTACAAGAAAGTATGGTGCCGCGGAATTTTATGATAGTGATATCATAAGTTATATCTACATTATTCTACTCACATTTAACTTGAAAATATTACGATTTGTACAGAGAATAGAAATCATACTTTAAACTGATATATGCAATTTACGTTGTATTTATAGGAGGCTAATTCTTAATTTACTTTTAATCTCGTCAAGGCTCAAGGGTTGCCTTACCTCGTTTCAAGGGCGGCAATGGAGGTTACCCCCCCACCTTAACAAATTAATTCACAAGGAAAAGTCTACATTTCCCCGCTATATAAATCACACTTATGTCCATAATTTTCAATGTGCGTTAAAATTTTGGTTTTGATTTTGATTTTTTCTTAGTCCATTATGGAGCCTAGCATTAAGAATGTTGCCATTTATCTCTGCTTCTTCTTTTGTGTGTTGAGCCCTGCATTCGCTGTGAAAACTTGTGATGTCCCAGCAATATTTAACTTTGGTGACTCAAATTCGGATACTGGTGGACTGTCTGCTTCACTTTCTCTACGTACCAGCCCTTACGGTGAAACTTTCTTTCACATGCCTGCAGGGAGATACTCTGATGGACGACTGATTATCGATTTCATTGGTAAAAAATTTCACTTTAGAGAAAAGTAAAAATATTTTGATAGTTACTAATTGGCATTCAATGTGTTGGTGTTTCAACTACGGCAGCTGAGAGTTTCGGTCTGCCGTATCTCAGCACGTATCTTGATTCACTTGGCACCAACTTCACGCACGGTGCAAATTTTGCCACAGCAGCGTCCACCATTAGACTACCCATCAGCATGAAGCCGAATGGCCGCTCCAGCCCTTTCTACTTGTACCTCCAATACTTACAATTCCAGCAATTCAAATCTAGGTCACAAATAATCAGAAAACGAGGTTAGTCTAACCCTGCAATTAACATTAACATTGAATATCAATTACAAACACTATCAACAACTTCTTTAACTCAACTAGGCCTCTTTCTTTTTTGTAGGAGGAATATTTGCAAATTTAATGCCAAAAGAGGAATTCTTTTCCAAAGCTTTGTACACTTTTGATATTGGTCAGAATGATCTTGGTGTTGCATTCTTTCTTAACAAGTCCGTAAAAGAAGTCAATGCATCAGTCCCTGATATCGTCAAAAAGTTCTCCGCAACTATCAAGGTAAAATAATTCCAAATGTTACTAATCATAATTCTTTTCTGTATCAAAAGCAGTAAATTTAGTTGTTTTGAAGCAGGATATATACAATTTGGGAGGTCGATCATTTTGGATACACAATACAGGACCAATTGGGTGCCTGCCTTATATTTTGACGTATTTTCCCTCACCAAAAGACGGTGCCGGTTGTGCAAAGATTTACAATGAGTTAGCTCAGCATTTAATCTCAAGTTGAAGGAAGCTGCCGTTCAACTCAGGAAAGATTTTCCTTCGGCTGCATTTACATATGTTGACGTCTACTCTGTCAAGTACTCCATGTTTAAGGAACCACAAAAATGCGGTATTTAACTTGGCTAAAAGTTTTAAATCGGACACTTAACACTGTTTTGTAATTTGGAAACTAATTCTGGAAAACGATAAGAAAGTGCAGGATTTGAGCTTCCACTTGTATCTTGCTGTGGTTATGGCGGGAAGTACAGTTACAACAGTGATGCAGAATGTGAAGAAACGATTGTTGTTAATGGCACCAAAATATTTGTGGGTTCAAGTGGACGCCCCTCGGTTCGTGTAAATTATGATGGAATTCACTACACAGAGGCTGCTGCAAGGTTTGTTTTCGATCAAATCTCTACTGGAAATTTCTCGGATCCCCCTGTTCCATTAAAAATGGCATGTCACACCTCTTAATCATTCGATTTAAAACATAAGCCTCTGCATTATGAATACTTCAAACTGCAATTGTTATCTTAATGGCATAAATCCTGAAGGCCGAATGGGTGTTTGTGTTTTCATTCAAATCCTATTTCATCTCAGAAATTTGGATTACTTTGTGCCTTGAATGGGCAGGCCCAATTTTCATCAATAATCCGGCCTTTGTCGGTTAGGTGTGGTCCATACTCCATAGTGCTCACAAGAAATGGTAGTTGTCAGCTTTCTAATAGGTTAGTTGTTAATCTTAATAATGATATGATCCCTAAATCAGAAATTAGAAAGATGAAATCAAGATTAAATGATTGATCAAATCAAATTATTAGACACTAACTTTTCTGCAGAAATTGAATTAAAAATTATTAAACATCAGTATAATCCATAACCTAACATGTTTGTGGTCCAACTCCAACCCCTTGTAATCAAAATTTATTAGCAAATATTTATTCATAGGGATTTGAATTTTGAACACCTACACTCAAGAGGCCTGTTAACAGCTATTAACAATTAATTTTTTGTTAATCAAATGGGATCCACCTGTTAGCTTGAAAAGGGCATGTAGCAAAATAAAAATATGCTCATACTCATACAAAAAAGTTAATGCATTTAAAACTTAAAAAAAGTTAATGCATTTAAAACTTAAAAGAAGAATTATTAATTAATCTTTTACTTCGTTTTTCTCATCGTTTTGTGTAGGATTAGGATTGGGATTAAGGTAAAATAATTATTAAAGGAGGAACGGATAGTGTAAAAAGACAGTTCAAATCAAAGTCACTTCATCAATAAGTTAAAAAGAAGATGTTAGAGTCAAAGAAACAATGAGGAGGAACCTGTCTNAGCAAATATTTATTCATAGGGATTTGAATTTTGAACACCTACACTCAAGAGGCCTGTTAACAGCTATTAACAATTAATTTTTTGTTAATCAAATGGGATCCACCTGTTAGCTTGAAAAGGGCATGTAGCAAAATAAAAATATGCTCATACTCATACAAAAAAGTTAATGCATTTAAAACTTAAAAAAAGTTAATGCATTTAAAACTTAAAAGAAGAATTATTAATTAATCTTTTACTTCGTTTTTCTCATCGTTTTGTGTAGGATTAGGATTGGGATTAAGGTAAAATAATTATTAAAGGAGGAACGGATAGTGTAAAAAGACAGTTCAAATCAAAGTCACTTCATCAATAAGTTAAAAAGAAGATGTTAGAGTCAAAGAAACAATGAGGAGGAACCTGTCTTGTCCAGTTTCTTGCTTGTCCCATTTGTGTCGTCACTGTGCATACACATGAAGATGAAGAAGAAAGAGTTTCAAATTGGTTTAATTTTTGCATTTCGTTTAATCACATCAATAGAGGCCCAACCCCACTTCACCCACCTCTATTCAACACTATTTCTTCTTATCAAATTTTGTATTTTCGATTCTTTTTGGGTTTATTTTATTTTTCTCTTTGTGAAATTGTTTTGTATTATAAATCATCCGCTTCATTAAAAATATTAAAAATCTCTCTTAAAAAAACAAATACCCCTTTAAAAAATTATCAAAAAACTCTTTAAAAATATTAAAAAACCCCCTTAAAAATATTGAATACCCTTTTACAAAACTATCAAAAACCTATTGATAAAGGTATTTCATAGGAAGAATTCATTGGCGGATTCAATTTTTTTTTTAAATATTAATATGTACAATTTCTAGATTTTAGTCAACTTTAACAGAAATATTAATGGATAAAAACATTAATGTACAATTAGTTTTTATTTTAGTTTATCTTAACAGAAATTTTCGAATCCGTCCCCAAAGAAATGAAATAAACCGAATATTTTTGTTGAGATTAAAAGCATCTAGAAAATAGATAAGAGAAATATTTTTTGATTCTCAACAAGTGAATACAATATTCTTTTGAATAGGAAAACGGCAAAAGCAAAGATTCCTCAGAATAACAAGTAAAATGAAGGGATAAGAGAAATATGAATAAAAAAAAAATGAAAAAGCACATAAATTTCTCGGGTACAAATAAGAAAAAAAGTAGAGAGTTGGGAAATGTAATTCAATTATTAAAATGAAGAATTGAAAAAACGAAGAGCATGTTGTCATGTGGATTGTTTGTGAAATCAAAAGCAAGATGAGAAGATGAAGGAAAAAAGGAGAAAGTTTTAGCTGGCTTTGGGTATATAGGTATAGGCAGAACAGAGACCTACCAAAGTGCTTTAAAGTCTTAAATGCATCAATTTTTATGAATATTTCGGATAGAGTTTTTCTTTCTTTATGAGGTGTGAGATAGAAGAAAGTAATATGTCCTTAAAAGCCGGTTGACTTCATCGCCTTCAGCTTCCAAAAGAAGCACTTTTTTTTTTTTTATCTTACAACCAAAGCAAAAATAAAAGCTGCTACCCTTTATTGTTGTGACCAACTTATCTCAATTTTGGTGGATCAGAAGAGCCGGGGGTCCTCTCCTCCTATCTCAAACTACAATGATTCCATTACTCCAAATTTCTTATATATGCTTCCATACATACATTGGAATTGGATGCCCACATTATTTATCTTAAAATTTGGAGAGTTAATTAATGAGAACACTAGAAGAAAAGATGTAAAGTTTAAGCTACTTTAAATCAAGAGCTAATTGATGTAAAATTATATGCTAATCAATCAACTCATAATTAACTGCCTTGTTGACAAACTTACGCAAAACAAATTTGTTAGTTGACATATTTTTGTACATGTTTTCAAATTTGGGTTTGAGGTCAACTAGTATCTAATAAATTTCTAACGCAAGAGAACAAACATAGATATTTCATATAAAAAATTAGAGTAAACGACTTTTTTCCACCCATATATTGGCATTAAGCCACTTTCTCCGACTTTTAAAATATTGTTTTACTAATTAAATCTATATTCTGTTTCTGATTTTGACATCGTTGCTATCTTATATTACCACCATTTTCTTCCCCGATCATCACTCACTAAAGCCCTTCAAACCTTATTTCGGTCGACCTCATCAATCGCTGGCAATTGAGCGATTAGAGTTTGCTTAGCTGCCTCTCTCAAGTCAAATTCCTATCAATCCCAACTAACAAAATCTAACATTCCACAACCAAAATACTCATCGGTGTTTCCTTTTCAAAAGCCCTAAAGTCTAGATCGAGTTTGCTCTTTGTTTGCCTTCGAATATAAATTTGATTAATAAAGTGGTATTTTAAAAGTTTATAGGTGAAAAAGTGTCATTAGGTCATTATTTGTGTGGGAAAAAGTCTTTTACTCTGTTTTGAAATTTGGGTTTGGGGTCATCAATCTCTAATAAATTTCAAACTCATTATTCCCATTAGCTTATTGAAAATTCTTTGACGCAAGAGAACAAACATAGCTATTTCATATGAAAAAATTATACCTAAACCTTGAAAATTATAACTAAAGAAAGTCAAAAATCATTAAGAATGCAATCTAATTTTATATATATGAATTAATAACTCAAACGATGAATGTAGAATTGTTTATCCATTTAGTTTATATATGGGATTTTTTTTTTCTTTGTTGCAGTTATAATTTGATGGCAAAGAATTCAAATATAAGAACAATTATACTATTAAATGGACATATACTTTTCTTCTACAGAATTGTCTATTTGTTTTATCAAGTTTCATCATAGTCAATGGAAGCATATAACGTCCATTCTTCTATAACATGTTATTCTTGGGTTCTAAATTCTAATTGAATGTTTCGCGTTTAGATTATTTATGTCCTGTCATTTTCGTCCACTCCATTTCAGACCTTTTTTTTTTTTTTTGTTTTGTTTTGTTTTTGTTTTTCAGCACCCATTGTGGACTTGTGGTCCTATTGGAGAATTAATGGTCCCTTATGGGTAGAGGCATGAGCAAACGAATTGGGACAACGTGTCTTAGCCAAGGCCTTAACCATTTTATCAAACACTTTGCATTCACCAAAATTACCACCAAGTGAAGTTGAAATGATAATAATGTAAAGTGAATATCTTCAACTATAATTTTGGGCCCTTAAATGTGCCCCAATGTTTGCCACTAGGTGCCCCTAACATGGGATCTTTGAGTTTGAGTGAGTGTTAGAATGGGGAGATGAATTATAGGACTCCCATCTTTTTTATTATAAGATATATGTATGTTTGGCAATAACTATGCAAATTCTGAAAGCCATAAACACAATTGTAACGATTCTTTTACAGCCTGTTCTGTTTACATAATAAAAATGAAACAGACAAAATACAAGAATCCCATCATATATTTTTAATTAAAAGCAAAGAAAAAAGCACTTTCTATAAAGCTATTTTGACTCTTACCATCTTGATAATGGTAAGAATTTTAAGCTCCAACCCACAAACCGAGTATTTGTGGAGGAAAAAAGCCTATTGTTCCCTTCTCTATACAATCCCTGCTGCTTTATTATTTCTTTGGTCCTCCTCTTTTTGTCAGGCTTCTTATCCACCCTTTCCTCACCTTGACTCCATGATCCACTTGACATACATTTCCCTTGTTTGATCTCTTCCACCTCACTAGCTGCAACAAATGCCCAATTCGCTTTCGCCACCTCAGCGACGAGCCGCGCGGCGCCTTTGCATGTTCTATCACACTCTTGTTATTACCGACAAATTCTTTGGTGTTCGTGTTTTGGTTATTATTCCAGTACATGCTGCAATGTTCCAGTGACACCTTGTTTGAGACTGTGTTTGCCTTTTCCCATGAGGCCACCCCATTGTCTTCAAATTTTATTGAGATGAATGAGTCTGCAAAACCAAACCAAATATTATTATCACTACAACACATTAATTTATTTGTTTGTCTTAAATTTGTATGACTATTCCATTATTATTATTTTTTTTTTTCCATTTTCAGGGCTTAATTAATTAATCAGAATATTAACATCTTTGATTGACCTCGAAAACAAAGAGTAATTCACAGATTTAGAGAGAAATCTGCAAATAATTTCATGAACATTGTAAACTTTCCCATTTAACCTGGTAAACTTTCTCTTAAAACTATGAGCTAAATCAACTGAGTTAATGCAAAAGAATCCAAAGAAATACAGAGAATAAAAAGATTCTAAATCTCTGAATAGCCAATCTTTGTCTGAGCAGCTAGCTAAACTTAGACCATTCTTTTGTCAATAATGTTCTGTACATGGCAACAAACACACACGTGAAATTTGATTTGGTTCCTTTATTTTAAATTAAGAGGAAGAACACTTTGAGAAATTAACATGTTAATTCTTTCCAGTAAAACAAGCAAACCATAATTAAAAATAAATAAAGAGAAGAAAAGAAAAGAAAATTACCTTCTTGACTGCTGCTGCTACATGCATCATGGTCATCAGAAATATCAGATTTCCAGTGGCGAAATTCAAAGCGATTAAGAAGCGATCCCAAAGCAAAGATTTTGGGAAGATGAATGGGAGGCTTCTTGTTGTCTGAGACATTTATTTTATTAGTACTGGAATTACGATGATGACTTGTTCTAGCTGAAGAAGAAGAACGGTGGCCTTGCTTTGCGGCCAAAACAAGAAGCTTTTCATTCAAGCAAAGTGGACAAACTCCAACAACAACCTCTTTGGGATGAAAATAACAGCCACAATTGCTCTCTTCTCCATAGCCATGAACGTTATTCATGTTATGGTGAAAGTGGGTGCATGTGTTTAGAAGAAGAGAGTCTGAAGAAATCTTTAAAGAAACATGTGAACTTCAAAATTGGAGAGAGAGAAGAGAAATGAGTTGTTACTTGTTTCAATATAACTATATATATATATATATACACAAATGGGGTGCAAAGCAATTTCTCTTGTAATTCTAGAGAGAATGTAAAAAGATGACCCACCAGTTTAAACATTTCAGTTTGGATGATTCAACAACGGTTGGGTATGGGTATTCTTGTTTTGGATTGCCATTCAGGGACATTTTACTGCTTAAATTCCCATCTCTCTTTTTTTTTTTTTAATCAAAATTTATAATTTAAAACAGAAAAAAGTTGTAACATAAAACGTATATGTAAGTATGTAACAAATATAATACATATATAGCTAGCTTTCATTATAATTTTTGTATGTTTGAGATTTGGTCAAAAAAAAAAAGAAGATGGGTCAGCTGATGTTGATGCCCACATGATGTCCTTTACCTCCTTCATAAATATGCATCCTACCAGAAAATGAGATGTGGGTACATTTTATTTTGGGATTTAAATCAAATTAGGTTAAATGGAGATATTATTAGCACCTCAAATAAGGCAAACATAATGTCCCAAATTAAGAAAGGGAAAGTGTTGGTATTCTCAAAGGGCTGACTAAAAATTTGTGTTTCCAAGTTGATTTGGAATTTTAAGAAAGGGAGGCTTTGGTTTTGGGGCAGTGTTAGGTATGAATCTTGTAAATGTGGGGTTTCAAAAAATAAAAAAAAATTTGTGACTCCCACTGGATTTGGAAATATGAAAAAAAAAAATCACAAGAGTAGGCCATTGATGTAACACAAAGCACAGCAATAATGCTTAGCATCAATCTTGTAGATCTGGGGTTTCCAAACTGCTTCTTGAAGCACGTTTATTATTATTATTTTTGTGCTTCAAAATCAAGGCTCTTGTTAAATTCTCTTTTGTGTCAAGCCATTTTCAAACCATTTTTAAATAACTTCTGATATATATGATTCAAATTAAGGTTTATTTTTCTGTTTTTCAAGACTATTTTTGGGTGGGTTTATAAAATTTATGCAAAAAATTTACTACTCATTTGGGCTATTTTCCTATTAACTCTGTCACCGAATCTGGTTTCGCAAATTGGATTGGATTTTCTTGATCTAGTGCACGTGGATATCCAATTTAAATCCTTTTTCAAATCATTTGAATAGTAATTTTGTTTTTAAAAATTAAAAATCAATCATAAATCTAGTCACTTTTAGGAATTATTTTGAAAATACACACACTACACAACAAATATTCCACTGTTTTTCTTGTTAATTTTTTTCTGTTCAATCCTGTCCTCCACTACTGCACTTTCTCTCTTGGACACATTCAATCTGCTCGTGTGTGTCTAGTGAGAAATACCATTACAATATATTATGATATGAAAAAAGAAAAAAAATTAAAGAAAAAGGTAGAAGAGAAATGCTTTTTTGCAGTGTCAATGGAATTACATATTAAAAAGGTGTAAAGTGATTGAAACAAACAAACTAATGTTCACATGGGAAGAAGAGAAGGTGTTTCCATTTTGGTTGGCTTCAAGTCAAGTTCACATCATGGACCAAAAGTATTGTGTAGCCTTTGTGGGTCTCCATTTTCCCAACCCTTTTTTGTGTAGTCTTCTCCAAGCTCATCTAATCTAACATTTCCATCTTTTTTTTTTTTTTTTTTTTTTTTTTGGGTGACAAGGAACGTCTGGCCAGCTTGTGCGTACCTCAACTAATCATCTGGAGTTCTGAAGTTAACGACCAGATAAGCTCCTTAGTGGCAACCCTTACTAGGACTTGTAAAAATTCGAACTCAGGAGCTCATGAAACCTTCTTTTGCTCTTTTATCATCAAATCACTCTAAACATTTCCTTCTATTCAACTCCATTTTCCCACTTTTTAACTCTGTACTTTTAGAATTTCAGATAAATTGGCACTAGTTTTTTTTGGGGAAAATCAATCACCTAACAAGATAAATCTTAAGGCATTAACAAACAAGGGGTGTTTGACAGGTTTTCCAATTGCGTTTTAGGCTTTCAATGTTGCCTAGAAATTTCTCCTATTAAATTGTGAAGAGTATGTAGTTAGTTAAAATGTCACTAGTTAAAGCAATTAGGTGTCACCTTGGAACGGCTATAATCCTATTTAGGTGCCAGTAAGTCAAGGGAAATTGAATTGAATGACAAGACTTGGGTCTGTTACAATAGTAGGCTTATTTATGGCCATGACATAATTGTTTGACTTATTCTAATTTCAGTAGACAATAAGATAGGGGAATTGCTAATTTACTTGAGAGGTAAAAATAAAATCATGGTTAATAAGATAGAATTTAATGTCTTAACAAAATTTCACCTACTTTCAGATTACCTAAACAAGGTCAAAGTGTAAGCAATCAAAGGAACTTTTGTAGTTTTGTGATGGGAAAAAATAGTATTTACGGCTGTTTTCCTGGGATATGTCTCAAATCAAAACAGAACAGATTGAAACAAACAGTGGCATTCTGTTCTTTTCTAATCCTTGCAGCTCCATAGAGGGGTCCCTATCTGGGTTTCAATTACTTGTCTCATTTGCTAACATTTACTGTCTACAAGCTACTTGATAATTCAGTTCTACCCATCAAGCTAAATTTACCCCTAAGTTTGAATGCGAATCTTGCATTATGCGTTTGCATTATTAAATATTAACTTTTCTTCAAATCAGTGCGGGAGCTAATTTGGTACTGGTAGCAAGTAAAATCAACCTGTTGATTATTTCATTATAATAGTGATAGCAATATCCTTGACTACAATTTCACTTCATTCTATTGATGCCCCTGCTTAATTAAATTAATCATCATTCAAACCATTTTTCAGTTGCCTTCCTGAAAATGGTCAATATGTTCTCTAGTTTCAATGCTGTAAATGAGGACAAAACAGATCGAAGCATGCAAAAATCTGATTATATTTTCTCATATTTTCCTAAATATTATTCCCAACAAGCAAAATAAATAATCATAAACAAAGGAAATATAACTTCAAGAGTACAAGAGCAGGGGAAAAATTTTAAGATAAGTGAATATAAGTAGCACCCAAGACACAGTTTGGCACAAAACCAAGTACTGTCATCAACCATATAATCTTGCAAGGTCGTCGCCAAACGTCTTCCTAATAATCTCTCTTTTAAGCTTGAGAGCTGCAGTGACCAAACCAGATTCAGGAGTCCATGGCTCAGAAAGCAATTTGATCTTTGTGGGGATCTCGAACTTCTCCAAATGTGCATTCTTAGCTGCCTGTAAGTTATGAACGAACCAAAATATCAGAGGTTATTTTATGTGAAGCCCACAATTAATTTCTTTCAGATTATACATTTTGTTCACAAGAGTTGAAGGGAAAGTATTCATAATTGTTCAATAATATGAGCATGGCCACAGCTCAGCAGAGCATTTATACAAAACAACTTAACGTATTCGCCAGAGAAAATCATGGTGGAAGGTCGATTATAAGGCAAGAAAAGTCAAAACTCTCAACATGTTACAAGTGGTTTTAAGTATTTGTGCCATAAATGATGAGAAGAGTTCATAATAAGCACATGAAGACACTTTTAAAAACTTGAAAAATAAGACTCCGCACCCTCATGTTAACTATGAATTCCTTAAAACGTACCTTTACAAGAGATGCATGCACTTCCTTCACTGATTCTTCTTTTTCACACAACGCAGCAAAACCATTATAATTAATCCCTTGCTTGGCAGCCCAAGCTTCCAGAGCATGCTGAGCAGCCACCACAAGAGCAACACAGTAACTATGAAATGGATCGACATACAACATTATGTTGTCTACATACGGGCTCACTATTAGAGCAACCTCAACCTGCACGAAAAATCATATTAGTCCTTGAATGCATCTGATGACAAATATTCTAAAAGCAATATTTTTACCTTTCCTAAGGAAACATATTCTCCATGCTGAAGTTTGACTATGTCTTTCTTACGGTCAATTATCTCAAGGCAACCATCAGCATGGAACTGCCCTATGTCACCTGTATAGAACCACCTCATTCCTCTCTCATCAACCTTCAACCACATAAAAGATTGCCATATTAGAAACTCCCAAATTTCCTTCTTTAGTAGAATGTCAATATATAAAACTATGAAACTCATACCTTGTACACTTCCTTTGTCTTCTCTTCATTTTTGAAATATCCATATGTGACATTTGGGCCACCAATTACTATTTCTCCACGAGGCATGGGCAAATCAGTAGTTAAATAACCACCTTCAGACCAATTTACTAGCTGAAAAAGAAAATCCTTATATGATAATATGACTGATAATATAACCACTGATAATCCATCACAATGAGACAATCAAACTGCAAGTGCACTAAATCATCTTGAAGGAGAAAATCTCATAAAAAGAAGCACTAGATTACTAGTGAGTCTCAAATGAAGAGAATGAATCAAGTTTTACTACAGTACATCAGTATTTAAAGGCTAGAGACAGCAAGGAGAAACTGAAAGGTTCAGCACAAGCAGGTGTATGTACAAACAGGAAAACACATGCAAGGGGGAACATGTGTGCATGTGCATGTGCATGCAAAGGCACATAAAGAGAGGGAGAGGCAAGAAATGAGGAAAGAGGTGGAGAAATCATCTTGAAGGAGAAAATCTCATAAAAAGAAGCACTAGATTACTAGTGAGTCTCATATGAAGAGAATGAATCAAGTTTTACTACAGTACATCAGTATTTAAAGGCTAGAGACAGCAAGGAGAAACTGAAAGGTTCAGCACAAGCAAGTGTATGTACAAACAGGAAAACACATGCAAGGGGGAACATGTGTGCATGTGCATGTGCATGCAAAGGCACATAAAGAGAGGGAGAGGCAAGAAATGAGGAAAGAGGTGGAGCGGTATACTTTGTGCCATGAAATTATCCACACGAAGTTGAAACATTAGCATTGAACAGGAATAAATAAATGAAGTACTCTTAGAAACTGATCATTAGCAAAGTTCCCCAAGAAAAGTGCATCGTGTTTGTCCATTGCTGTCCCTTAAAATGCATGGAGGAAGGATTATCAATCACTTTCTTACCTTAATAAATGAGCAAGAAAGAGGAGCACCGGCACGACCAACAGACATATCATCAACCTCAGAGAAGGTACCACCAGCACAAGTCTCAGTAAGACCATATCCTTGGCATATTGGAGCACTGGAATAAAGCATTGAATTAGTGTTAAGCTTACAAATATAAAAATGAAAATCAAAGAGAAATTATGCTCCAGAAGATATATATTTACTAACTATTACAGCACTGTCTTTAAAATTATCCTAAATTAATAAGCTATCATTATTGAAAGCTGTTGCCTGATTCTATCCAAGTACCACTATGTCCACTTGATCAAGAACTACATCTAATTAGCTTAAATTGAACAGTTATGGACCACAACCAGGTTTGCCAACTTTATGCTATCAGCTCTCACCTTAGCACAGAACCATTTCAAAGTCTTAAGACTCCCGGAATCTGCTCACATTAATCTATTATATAGCAAGGGGGTTACTGATCACAATGGCATCAAACTAATTCTCCATCAAAAACTAAAACTTATACGCCTTTGACCCACTCAAGGAGAGTTGCAAAGATCCATAATATTGGCAAATTAAACCTCATTATCTATGATATACAATAAACCTAAGGGAACAGACTAATGGACCAGCTCCAAGATCAGTAACATTATAGCATAAAAGGAGCAAAGTAGTGGCTGCAGTGTTGTGTCGAGGCACTGTTTTCTATATTAACATCTGAGAGAACCTTCTGCCCCAATGACTATTTACATCAACTTCTTCTAATTTTACAGGTTGATTGAATCAAATAAAGACTTGAACTTAAAACTTCTTTTAGGAGGAACATAAAAAGATTTATAGGGGATTGAGGACCTAAGTGCAACATAAAATCAAGAATAGATATCTGATTAAACTAAAATGAATATCCACAAATATTATATTGTAATGTGTTAAGAGGGCAAAGAACAAACTCAAAATTGCTGACTTGTAAAGAAAAGACTAGTCCTGGAACCTAATCATCATCAGGATCTGTCATATATCATGATTCTAAGAAGCTGAAATGCAACCACCTTATTAGTCTTTAGTTGGTACAAACTAGTATAGCAGCTTCAGTGCTTTTATATCATAGTCATATTTTAAGGATGGCTATGTAAGTTTTAAGTATATAAGCATGGCAAGGTAAAACTCAGTGTTCTCATAACCTTTGTAAAGATCAGCTCAATTATAAGGCACACATACCCAAGACAAACGTTGATGAATCTTTGAGTATCACCAGAAAGCGGAGCACCTCCTGAAAGCACAAACCGCACCCGACCTCCAAGAATTGCTCGAACCTTTCTAAACACAAGAGAGTTCCATAGAAGCCTTTCCAGACCCCAAAATCCTAACCAGCTACCATTTATTGCAGACATCCTACGAGAATATGCCAAGTCAAACAATTTCTTGGCGAGTCCACCTTTTGCGTCTACCTAAAGTGTTTGAAAGATTTCAGCATCAACGGAAGAGACCTTGTTCAGAAATCAGGATAACACAAACAAATATATATAAATCAAGATAGTCACTAACATTCTTCCGCACACCATCTCGAACACGGTCAAGTATTGCCGGGACAGCCGCCATAAGAGTTGGCCTCAATACAGTGGCATCCCCCTTTGTTCCTCTCTTTATTTTGTTTGATGTATCTGTAAGAGTCAAAGGGGTACCATATCCTATGGCACTTCCAACAGCAGAAATTACATTCTGCAATACACACAAAGATTCAAAAAAAGTCTCATAAAGAAATAAAAAACAGATTAATTTTTACAAAAATGAAAATGAATGGAAGAAAAACCAACAAATTGTACTAAATGCTATATACCTCAGCTGCTAATTCAAGGATATGAGCCAGAGGAAGGTATGCCATATAAACATCCTTGTTTGCCAGGTTAGGGACAAGTGACATGACTGCAGAAACTACAGATAGGACATTGGCATGTGTCATCATTACACCCTGCACAAAGTTGATATCATGGATGTGATTGATAATATAGAAATTCAATCTCATTTAACCAAAAAAAAAATATTCATAAAATTCAAACATCTGGCATAAAGAACTGTGCTAGCTGTAGAAAATCCAAAATGACAAAACTATTCCAATATTAATAGATGAAAGATTTATAAGTCAGACATATAACAGAAAAACTATATTTAGCATTTACAATTACTATAAACATATGTCATAACTGAGTGCTACAGTTTTTTTTTTTTTGGGTAATCAATGAATGCTACAGTTTGCACATCAATAACAATGCAGTTCCAAGAATTTGGAGTTCTCAAAGAGAATGGATTAGGAATAAAATGATTTCACAAGCTGGAGATTGGATTGAAGCAGCAAAACCAAATTAGTCTATTGGATCTAGAATTCAATTAAAATTCAATTCCAAGCCCTAAGCTTATGAGNGAGGCACTGTTTTCTATATTAACATCTGAGAGAACCTTCTGCCCCAATGACTATTTACATCAACTTCTTCTAATTTTACAGGTTGATTGAATCAAATATAGACTTGAACTTAAAACTTCTTTTAGGAGGAACATAAAAAGATTTATAGGGGATTGAGGACCTAAGTGCAACATAAAATCAAGAACAGATATCTGATTAAACTAAAATGAATATCCACAAATATTATATTGTAATGTGTTAAGAGGGCAAAGAACAAACCCAAAATTGCTAACTTGTAAAGAAAAGACTAGTCCTGGAACCTAATCATCATCAGGATCTGTCATATATCATGATTCTAAGAAGCTGAAATGCAACCGCCTTATTAGTCTTTAGTTGGTACAAACTAGTATAGCAGCTTCAGTGCTTTTATATCATAGTCATATTTTAAGGATGGCTATGTAAGTTTTAAGTATATAAGCATGGCAAGGTAAAACTCAGTGTTCTCATAACCTTTGTAAAGATCAGCTCAATTATAAGGCACACATACCCAAGACAAACGTTGATGAATCTTTGAGTATCACCAGAAAGCGGAGCACCTCCTGAAAGCACAAACCGCACCCGACCTCCAAGAATTGCTCGAACCTTTCTAAACACAAGAGAGTTCCATAGAAGCCTTTCCAGACCCCAAAATCCTAACCAGCTACCATTTATTGCAGACATCCTACGAGAATATGCCAAGTCAAACAATTTCTTGGCGAGTCCACCTTTTGCGTCTACCTAAAGTGTTTGAAAGATTTCAGCATCAACGGAAGAGACCTTGTTCAGAAATCAGGATAACACAAACAAATATATATAAATCAAGATAGTCACTAACATTCTTCCGCACACCATCTCGAACACGGTCAAGTATTGCCGGGACAGCCGCCATAAGAGTTGGCCTCAATACAGTGGCATCCCCCTTTGTTCCTCTCTTTATTTTGTTTGATGTATCTGTAAGAGTCAAAGGGGTACCATATCCTATGGCACTTCCAACAGCAGAAATTACATTCTGCAATACACACAAAGATTCAAAAAAAGTCTCATAAAGAAATAAAAAACAGATTAATTTTTACAAAAATGAAAATGAATGGAAGAAAAACCAACAAATTGTACTAAATGCTATATACCTCAGCTGCTAATTCAAGGATATGAGCCAGAGGAAGGTATGCCATATAAACATCCTTGTTTGCCAGGTTAGGGACAAGTGACATGACTGCAGAAACTACAGATAGGACATTGGCATGTGTCATCATCACACCCTGCACAAAGTTGATATCATGGATGTGATTGATAATATAGAAATTCAATCTCATTTAACCAAAAAAAAAATATTCATAAAATTGAAACATCTTGCATAAAGAACAGTGCTAGCTGTAGAAAATCCAAAATGAAAAAACTATTCCAATATTAATAGATGAAAGATTTATAAGTCAGACATATAACAGAAAAACTATATTTAGCATTTACAATTACTATAAACATATGTCATAACTGAGTGCTACAGTTTTTTTTTTGGGTAATCAATGAATGCTACAGTTTGCACATCAATAACAATGCAGTTCCAAGAATTTGGAGTTCTCAAAGAGAATGGATTAGGAATAAAATGATTTCACAAGCTGGAGATTGGATTGAAGCAGCAAAACCAAATTAGTCTATTGGATCTAGAATTCAATTAAAATTCAATTCCAAGCCCTAAGCTTATGAGTAAGTACGAGATTCATAATATTTTAAGTTGCTTAACCTTAGGCAATCCAGTACTCCCACTTGTATACATTATAACTGCAATATCAGCCGAAGCAGGTAACTCAGCATCGATAGGATTTTCTCTACCAAGACTCTGTACATCAGCAAATGAAATGATCTTCCACTGACCGCTTTGCTCAACTGATGAGGCATTAGATGGGATGTCAACATCCATACATATCACACGCTTCACAGTGTCAAGTTGTCCACTTATATCTACAAGTTTTCTCAGTTCTTTGCTCCCACAAATAACAGTTGTAACCTCTGTCTAAAGAAAAAGAATGAAAAGTAAAATTAGACATTGGATAGCAGTAAAACAAATAATAGCCTCCATGCTAAATCCAGTAGTCTATAAGACAAGTTTCGTTCCATTTTCATTCAAGTAAATATCCCAACAAGTAGGACAAAATATTTTGAATGATAACTTTTAAAGATGGCCCTAATACATATTCTATGATATAAGATTTTGTTTAAGGGATCAGCCTCAAATTCCCATAATCTGTTTAAATAAGATTGTGTCACTAAAATAACCAGCAAGAAGGAAATAAGGTAAAGAAATCTGAATAAACCATGCTGTAGTTGTTCAAAGTAGTGAGTCAGGCTCAGTTGCTAACACAAAATACATGTAAGTATGCAAAGAACAAAGATACAAATCTGTTCCCTCAGATTATAACTAACAGTTTGAAAATGTATACAAGCAGTGATTTGAACATTCACTTCTATTGAACAACATTTTATACAAATAGAGCAAGAGATAGAGAGAGAACCTCATTCAATGAATGGCACAAAGCCTCCTCTCCCAAAGATGCATAAATAGTCACCACAGTGACATTGCGTCTAAAGCAACCCTAATACAAGAAACCACATCAGTTATATCATATAATCACAGCAAGCAAATAAGACAATAAGTTGTATCACTGTAGAACTAATGATTGATAAATTCTCAAAAAGTTTCTGCAACTTATGGTATTCAATGATAAATATACCTGCAATGCAAGAAACCATTCTTCTCTTGTATCAGCAAAAATTGCGACTCTTTCCTCCTTTCTGTGCCCAAGTTGAGCTAAGCCAGAAGCAAAGTTGCACACAGTTTCAAATGCTTTACCATAGGTTAGCCACTCATACTCTCCCAAATGAAGCTTCTCAAAGGATCTTCCATCTTCAGTGACTTCATTCTCCGTTGAAATTAATTTCCGAGTTCCAAGAAAGCGTTTATTATGATGCTGCTTGCATGAAAGCTCAAAACGTTCCGCAAGAGTATAAATGCCTTCCCAAGCAGTGATTACGGGGGAAGGAAACTGAGAGTTTCTTATTGCAAAACCAGGTTCTCCACCAACATCAATGGGAACCCCTCGTTTCTTTGGATTCTTGGAACTCCGAAACAGAAATGTGAAAACTAGAGGAAAAAGGACTCCAACAACATAGGGAGTCATCTTTCAAGGATTGTATGGCCTCGGAAAAATATACCAATTTAAATCCTAAAAACAGAATCACATTCAGTCATTTTAATCAAAATATGATCAGCAAAAATGGTAAGTGAGTCTAGCAAAGATAATATTAGATGAAACCAAAATGTCAACTGGTATTTTAAGCTTTATCGGGGAGATGAAGCTGGCAAAATTAAAATTGAGATAAAATGGCTAGGTCGTAAGTCTTTTTATTTTATTTTTTAATCTTTTACTAAAAAACAATAACCATTGTTTTTTACTATGAAACATAAGTAAAATTTAAAATTGATGACCAAAAATCAAATATAACATAAACCAGTCGCTACAATATAGACAATCAGATTTCAATAAGTAAAATATAATTACGCATATTGAGTGTAAAACCCGTGTAAATGTCAGAAACTCATAGCCATGCAGATCATCTTTTCGACAAGAAATTCATTATTTCATCAGTCAGTAACTGAAAGAAGAAGAAGAAGAAATTGCAAGACATAACTTTCTCTCAATCAAACATCTGTCTAAAGAAATGCAGCATATTTCACTCAGTAAGTAATTATAAGAAGAAGAAAAGGTTGAAAAACATAACTTTCACTCAATCAAACATTTTCACAGTAATAAGACCAATCTCCGCGACTCTTTATTCCTTCACCGCATCATTAAAGCAGCATAAAAAGGAGAATTCATTCTCAAGACACTTCAATTTTACTTAAAGTCTGAAGCACAAACATGAACGATGACGGAAGTCAACTAAGGAGTGACTTTCTTCAAGCCATCCTATATTCAAGAAATCAACATCATTCAAAACTTAACAAACAATTCTTTTTACACCACATCAATCCCCAAAACTCACTATTCATGTAATGCAAGAACAGCCAATAGTCATCACTCAAGTAAAAGAAGAGCACAAAAACCAAACAAGCTTGACCAAAATGCTGACACGAACCACACATAAATCCCACACAGAAAAAAGAAGAAACTTTGCTTTATTTGCTCTAATACAAAAACTTGAACAGTCTCACACATTACCAAAAGATCCACAACCAACATAATAAACAAAAACAAAAGAAAAATCCCATCTCAAGAAAAAAAAAAAAAAAAAGTGAAGTGAGAGAAAAAATACCAGCAAAAATGAACCCAGATCAGCAAGCAATGCCCTGAAGAGAAACAAAAGCAAATTCAACTCATGAGCATTACAAGCAGAAGAAAGAAGTGATGGAAGAATAAGAAAGGTAAAGAGTTGATGAGTTGAGAGAGTAGTTTACGATTGAAACGAGAGAGGTTTTAAAAGTTAGGCGGAAAGATCGAGAGTGGAGAGATTTGGAGTTACAGCCTTACAGGTAACAGGTACTAGTTCTGACTTCTGAGCAGACTTGTTTTCAGTTGTTTTATATATTTTCAGCGTTTTATTTGTTTTTGTTTAATGCAAGAGTGGCCCAATGGCAATGGGATAGGTAATAAAAACAACTGCATTTGTATAAACCACAAACGTAGACTATTTGAGTTTTCAAGTCTTAATCCGGACCGTACATTCGTGTGTTGAAAAGGGTGGATGTGGTGCACGCGGCCCAAATCTCATGCAACGTGGCCCCTTGTCCTGTGGATCATGCCATTACTACAACAAAATTTCCGGCCAAATCAATAAATAACATATTGGTTGTGTTTGGTTTATTATTTTAGATAAAATTTTAAAATAGTATTAGATAGTTGAATAGGAGAGTATTATAAGATAAAATTTAAAAATTTATAAAAAAACCTCCAAAGTTTGCTAATTTAATAAACACTCTAATATATTAAAATATTATAAAATGACAAAAACACCCCTATCACCCGCAGTGTCAGATTCAGGCTATTACCGTCAAAATCTGGCCAAAAAATTACGTTATGACACAAACCAGTCGGATCTGTATCGTAACACGTGGTTGTCTGAATCTGACAAGTATTGGTGGGTGGGGGGGTTTTTGTTAGTTGTTAAACTTTTTTTTTTTTGGTGTATTTAATGAAATTAATAAACATCTGGGGTCTAAAAGTAATTAAAAAAATAAACTAATATTTTGGGAATAATGTGTCAAACAACATTTGAAGAATAGGATTGGGAATATGGATAAAAACAATAAGCCAAACGCACCCATTATTATTAATTGTTTAATTTGGAGAACTTTTTGCTAAATTCCTGCAAATATATGTATTATCCTCATACCCTAATTTCCTTTATTTTTAATAACTGAAGTGTTGAGACTAGTTCTGATTAATCTTCACGGGGGCTATCCATAGTAAAACCTCGTACTCATTCTCGGAAAACCCAAATTAGTTTTTGTCAAAATAGAAAAAATGTTTAAAGAAAAATAAATAATACGATGAAATTAGGCAAATATATATTATGCCAACCTCATTTTCCAAGCATTGACTTGGTACAATATCTCTTAAAACAAAGGAATTGAAATAAAAATTCAGAAAGTGCAACATCACACTCTTTAATTAAACATAATCTAACAAAAATAATGTGAATCAAGTAAATATAATCATGTCAAACTATATCACGTGATGAACGATAAGGTTTTTCAAATTTTCAATACGTAGCTGAGACCAAAATAGAAAGAAGTGAATGAAAGTTGTGATAAATATTTAATAAGTGATTAGTTATTATAAATTTAAAAGGTGATGATTAGATTAGAATGCGCAAAATGTAATAAATGACAAAAATGCTAAGGCACAAGTTACTTACTTTGAAAATGTCCACGCTTATCTCTATTTCCTTAGTCGGCCTTTTGACAACAATAAAGTCCCATAGCGAAGGTTGTCTCAGCTGTCAAAGAGGCAGGGCTTAAGGGGTAGGCAGGTGAGCTATAACAAATCCCATATTGGAAGTATATTGGAGAGGTCTTGGGCTTATAAATGGGAGGAGTCCCTCCACCTAATAGGTTAGCATTTTGAGTGTGAAACTCCTAACCCGTGACAAGTGATATCAAAGCAAACCCAATCCGTCTTTTGATGTCCCGCCAAGCACCCACATAGGAGCGTCTACATGTGATTATGGGTCCACACGAGAGTGAGGTGGACGGGTAGGCAGGGGGCCCCACCTGTGACAAGGGCGTCACAGGATTGGGTGGCGGAGAATGTAACAAATCCCACATTGGAAGCGTATTGGGGAGGTCTTGGGCTTATAAATGGGGGGAGTCCCTCCACCTAATAGGTTAGCCTTTTGGGTGTGTAACTCTTAGCCCGTGATACTAGGGCCCCAAAAAATGGGGGCCCAAATTTTTTATAAATTTTTTTTTTGAATATCTTACAAAAATGAAAATGGTTTATAATTTCTTATCTAAGTCAAGGGCCCCAAAAAAAAGCCATAAAAACCTAAATTTATTATAAACTTTTTATATATATTCCCACCCAAAGTTTAATAAAATAGCAAGTTTGTACCTCTAGTTTTATATAGTCTAGTTTATACCCCTAAATTAACACATTGAATCTCTTTTAACAATAGAAGACTAAAATAGTCATTTATATATCTCAAATTACTCACCCCCAATTCAATCCCAAAATTTGACATTCACATAAATCATCTCCAACCCTATTCTGCCGCCAGTGGTTTGGAGTTGATTTTGGTCAATTTTGGTTCCAGTCGATTTTCTCACCAAAATCGACCGGAATCATCATTTTATCATTTCCTAACCTTGATAGCCCTCGATTTGACTAATTTTTTATGAATCTCGCAACCCAACTCCACTACAAGACAACCATTTCCAGCCTTTTTGGCATGTACCCGACATTGTTGGCCTTCCCCGACACCACAATCTTCCTCCCCTCAGTCCTCTCACCAAAACCCCTATCATACCTTATCCGTTTGCTCTGTTTTAAAAATCGGATCCGACTGGACCAGGACCAGAAAGCTTCTCTGGTCCAGTTCAGGTCTTAGGGGAAGTTTTGTAATATTTTAAAATTATAAGGGTTAATTTGTAATTTTATAAGAGTGTTTTGGAGATATGTCAAAAGTTTAAAGATTAACTGATAATTTTTTGGGGGTATTTTTGAAACAAATAAAAATTTTAAGGACTAATAACTTTTTCAGGAAGTTTTTTGTGATATATTAAAATTTAAGGATTAATATGTAATTTTTTAAAAATAAAATTGTCTCTACACCATCACTCCAACCAGTTGACCCGTGACCCGAGCAACAAAATAGGTTACCCTCCGGTCCGGGTTTTAAAACAATGCTTGAAATACTCTTTAACCAAACACTGTATCAGCACCCATAAAACACAAAATAATTTAACATAGCCGAAAAAAAAATCATGGGCAAAAGATCCAATATATTACAATTTCTGTTCTTGTTTACGGTTGATGATCATCTGTGACCGCACAAATATTGAAAAATTTTCGAAACAAAACCCTCGCTAGCCAGGTGGAAGTACAAGGTTGTAAATTATTTTAGTTTGTTGGTGTTCTTCCATTTGTGGTATCAGTATCTTGAGGATTTCCAGGGGCTGGTGCTCCTGAAAACATTTCCATCATTGATCTCAATGCCCCTGTTACCTCCTCAGGCACATTTTCTCCAAAATTCAAATTGATGTTCCCACCAAGTCTTATGCCAGGCTCATCAGTTCCACCGATATTACTATCTTCTTCTTGTCTGTTCTGAGAAGGCTGCCCCTGCTGCATATTTGTAGCCATGTTCATAAGCATGCTTGCAAAATCACCGGGTAGAGCATTAGCATTAAAAGGCATTGTAAAGGAAGATGATGTTCCGTGACTTCTGAACCCTCCTGTTGACTGGTTCGGTTCTTGATTATTACGACTAGAACTGGTATTCTGTATGGGGAGAGAAACAATAAGTTTTATTATTATTCGTATATTGGGATAAGGCTGAATATTTAGGTTGAAGAAAGAAATAAGGCTCAACATTTTATTCTTCATTTAAAAGAAGAACAAAGATGAAAAGTTTGAACCTCCTACAACGTAAAAGCACAAATATTTTAAAGTTGAAGAAATCATGAACAATTGAAAGCAACATTTTGGGAAAAAAATAAAGAAGTAATGTGAACGGGTAATGCTACAGTCACCGAAGTAGTGCACTGAATGACGTAGCAAAATCCTGACCGTTTATTAATTTCAACTTAATATTAATCGACAGTCAGGATTTTGTCACGTCATTCGGTGCATAAATTCGGTGTATAACCTTCGGTGGCTGTATCCTTTCCGAATGTGAAAACCAAGTTGAAAGTATATCAGTATTATGATTAGATTACCTTCTTCAGTGGCAGAGCTAAGACGGGGGCCTAGGGACAGACCCCACAGAGTTATAAGAAGAACATCTATATGTATTTTAGACCTCAAATTATGATTTTTCATAATTTGCATTTGTTTTTTTGTTATAAAATATGCCCCCCTTTTGAAACAAATATTCTCATTCTTATATAAAAGCTAGTGACTAGTATTACCTGATCCAGCCCTGTCTGTTGCATCTCTTCTCTCAATTTCTGTGTAGCCACCTATGTTCCAAATGACAATTTAATCATAAAATGACAATAGATAAACATAATATCAACAACAACAGCAGTAACAATAAAGCAGCACCAACCTGAATATTCTCTTTGACAGATTCATTATTTGGATCCAATAGCAAGGCTACAAAATAAAATCTCAAATATTAGAGATAAGCTTGTATACTAAAATAATTTGTCATAGATAATGCCCACCTTATTGCATCCAGCAAAGGATACTGTTAAAATAGCCTATGTATGCATAAATGGAGCAAAAAGATTGAGAGATTAAATGCAGGTTTCAGTTCACTGGCAATAATACATTCATGTTAATTTCCACACAAACCTTTCTTAAATCCTTTTTCAATAGCATCACTGTAGTTCCCTTGTGCATAATATGCTAAACCCAAGCGACTGTATGCCTTACTATAATTAGGGTCAATTTCAATGGACTTGAGACAGTCTCTGATTGCTTCAGTGTATTTGTGGATCTGTGTGTAAGCAGCTGCCCTGATAACCGTCATCATACAGAAAAATTAAAGTTTGCAAATTCATGAAAATGAATATCCAAAAAGGATGATATCAACAAAACCAGAAAGAAGGAATAAAAACGAAAAATTACTAGCAAAAAATCACAAATTATTTGCAACAACAGCCTTTCCTTAAAAATTTTAGATGACAATTTGTAACCAATATTATAGGGAAAACAAAAACTATAATCAATGTTTCCCCAGCTGATTTATATGAAATATCAGGAGTTCATGAGACAGGGTTTCCCCCTTCTTTGCATCACAATTTTTGAAAGAAGAAATCAAATGCAAAATTCATTAGCAATTGCTTAATTTAAACTTCCGAAATACCTGTGGTCCAGTGTATTACTTATTACAAATAAACAAGCAATCATAACAATTGAAAAGATCTTTCAGATAACTAGTAATCAACACATAATGCAGTAAACACAAAGCCTAGTCTATAAAGGTCAAAGCCAAATTACTTGTTGGGATGTTAGTGAAACAATGCTGAAACAGTACATGGGAATGTGATAAAAGAATGGAAAACAGAATTTAAAAAAAAAAAAAGAAAAAAAAAAAAAAAAAGATCTCTCACAACTATATTTGCAAAGTACACATTTAAAGCACCCACTGTGCTGTTTTTTCTTCTCAACTTTAGTAAGAGTCTCAGTCATTCAACTGAAATCAATCATAACTCATCTAATTAGCCTACACACATTTAAAGCACCCACTGCTGTTTTTTCTTCTTAACTTTAGTAAGAATCTGAGTCATTCAACTGAAATCAATCATAACTAATCTAATTAGCCCATACAGCATACAATAAATATGTAGAAAGTCAGTACTAGTGCACTACACCTGTTACAGTAATAAACCGCATTATTTTCACAAAGTGCAATAGCGAATGAATAAAACTCAATTGCATCGGAGTATTGCTTTGACTGCATGGCCTTGTTACCTATAAGAGAAGAAGATAATTACACGGCAGAAATAGCTTGTATATCAAACAAAAAGCCAAATCAGAATATTACATATTGTATAGATGCTCTACTAGCCATGACTTCATGAGTATGAAGGAATCTATGCCCGTTTCATAAATAAGATCTAGATGCTTCTAGCCACAGTGATCCATTCTGTTCTATTATTATTAAGGCAATATGATATCTCAAGTCAAAATTTTAGTAGAGAAGAATTCATAGCAGAAAGCATGATAAAGGACATAAAAACACATAAACCATAAAAAACATTTCCCATACTTTCAAAAATCTATACATGTGCATAAAACATATAGTTTAGGAGCATTAACTTCCAACCAATTAAAGGCACTAAGGTTATACCTTGACCCTTGAAGGTCTCAGCCAAGTTCTTCTGGTTGTATACCTGAGATCCAGATCTTTCCATCTCCTGATATTATTCAGCATATTAACCTTTTACTTGTCAACAAAGGTTCTTAATGATACATAAATAGCAAGAACTCAGTAGTAACATAAAATCCACATACAACCCTCACATTAATAAAATATAGCAACAACATCTTCCATGTTGCACTTGCAAGTATTAGACAAAACCAATAAGAAAAAATCAAACAATAAAGAGAACAGAAAAGGTTGAAAGGCAAGATCAATTACAACAATGTTCTAGTAGCTCTACAATGTTCTATGAACAGGACAAGGTACAAGAAAACAGGACAATAACAAGTGCTGGTCCTATAATAAAGGAAAATATACAGAGATTGGAAACAACAGCTAAATCCACCATTCAGCAAAATATCTAAGCAGCTAATCTCAGAAGAACCATAAGGATGTAATAAAATTCTAAAGCATGCTCTAATCCATCCACTTCAAGAGAAACGCTCAGAAAGAACACCAGCCCAAGACTTTCTCTTTCTCAGTTCTTCAATCCTTACATTACTTCAGGCTTCAAAGCCATAACTCAACTAACTTTATCTCAAAGCAAAAAGTTTGCACCACTTTTTCAAGAGTGCTTATTTTATAACAGAAAATATCCAACTAATACAGTTTCCCAGCCTTTCATTCTTTAGAAAGAGAGTTCTTCTTGTACCACCGAAGTTCTTAAAAATTCTAAAAGAGAGCGGTTTCATAGCTCTGACCGCTTATCCTATTTCATTCAGCTATACAATTTTCTAGCATTTTGAATAGTAGTTTCATGGAAAATAGATAACAATACATTAAAACCCAAAAGTACAGAAGGGCAAATGATAATGATATTTTTATAATTATTCATGCAATTAAAGCTACGTGAACTAAAAATTCATGACGAAAATTAAAAATTGTAAATAAGAAAAACAATAAATCGTACACTTAGAGCATCATGAAATAAATGTGATGCTTTATCCAGTTGGGAAGGGTCATCATTCCCATCAGGCATGGTCTTAAAAAAGTGAATTTTCTCAAGTGCACCAAAGAATTGCCCAAAGAGTTCATCTTTAGAGACCCCTGCAAATAACAGGGCCATTGATAAATAATTAAGATGCAGATAACCTAGAAAATTAAAATGTCTATAAACAATTTCAAACACTTAAAAGTTGCGTAAACATCTGCAATCCAACAACATTACAAAGTGGAAGTCCACAGATTTTGATGCCTACTGATTAATATATCACTACTAACTCTTCAAGAAAATTTGAGAAGATAACTTCTAAACAATTTCAGTAAGTTATTGAAAACTAGAAAAAGAAAAGACCATTATATGCATGTCCTTTACTCAACAAAATGGCATATTCTCAATAAAAGAGGCTAACAAAATAGTAAAACAATCTATTAAAAAAAAGGAATATAGATGCAGCCCTTGAGATCATTAAATGGGATGATTGTAAAAGATAACAATACTCGCTAAATATAAATGTGAGAAATAGTAATTTTCTTGGACCATTCCACCAGCTAGAAAGAAAAAAAATCAATAAGCATGATATCCAGGAACAACTAGCTGAACAGAAACCTACCTGTAGAGCAAGGTTCTTTAGTCCAGTCCTCATCCTGATCAAGTACAACAACAAGAACTGAAGTCAAAACTTAAAATCGACATACATATCACAAAAACAGTGGTTTTTCAAAAAATGGAGTTCGGAGTTAATAACCATAGATTTCGAAGCATCCGGAAACTTGGAATCATCGACATTGTGGACAGAGGATGAACTGGGAGCATCAACAGGCGCTACCCTGTCGCTATGATCATTATCTTGCAAAGAATTGAAAATATGAATCAACGACTCGGGTTTTGATTGAGCTTCAACAGGATGAGAATGAAGCTTAAACACCTCAGTCAAACATTCCTTAACAACTTCAAGACCTTCAGTATCAACCCCGGGAGCAGGTTCAACTATCAAGCACCAAATAAAAAACAAGAAGTTAAAATCTTAGTAATCAAATCAAAATCAAAATCAATCCCTAGTCAATCCAGAGCACATCAATTGATTAGAATCAGAAACAAAGATATATGAGAACGAGAAGATGAAGACAATATAATTGACGAATTATAATAATAAAAGAAAGAGAAAGAGAAAGAGGGAGAGAGCGGGACCAGAGTCGAGGAAGTGGAGGAAGGAGCGAACGATACGGCGAGCGAGAGGGGAATCGGAGTTCAAGTTTGAGTTAGCCATTTGAAGGAGAGTTATTTAGTTGAAGCTGTGCATATTACAACTTTAAAGAGATTGAAGAGCAACGGCGTATCTCAGACTCAGAGACGAGACAAGACAAGAGACGGTTTTGTGTTGTGTTTGTGTTCCTTTCTTCTTTTCTTTCTCAGTCAGCAAAGTCTTGTTCTTGTTTAGACTCTTTAGAGCTGGTGTTTGGTTAAACGGTTAGTATTTGTATTTTTTATATATATATTTATAGGTGAAGTGAAAATTATCTAATTAAATCGAATATTAAAATAATTTTCTCATTTTTTATTTAATTATATTATAAAATCTTCAACTAATTAAATTTACTTTTCATAAAAATATTGTCAATTATTATGTAAAATCTATAGAAGTATTATAGCAATCAAAATAAGATTAACATAACACAAAATATGAATAATTACTGTCCCTGATTTTAAACACATTTATTTCAGACTTATGGCAAACGATATATATGAAAATACATAACTACTTCATATTTCATTAACTGCTATAAAGTACCCTGATCTCTATCTATTGAATTGAATACTTTCCAGACTGCTCCACCAATAGATTAATTAGAATTAACGGATCACCAAAACTAAAAATAAAAACCATGGATAAATCACAGTATAATGAAACCTTTTTTTTCATATATTTCTGTAATGAAAGAAAACAGTCATATTAGTACCATTACATAGAATTTGAACAAACTGTAAAGAGACTGGATAGATTCCAACATGCTATATAATAACTCCAATGAGAAAGTGGAAACTTAATAATAATCAATGTTGCCCAGATACAATGTTCCCTTCTACAAATGAAAACATGAAGTGACTGTACAAGAAGTAAATTTAGAGAAAGGATTTACAGAAGCTGAAAAAGAAAAAAAGAAAAGAAAAAATATAGGCGGGATTTGTGGAACCTATCTACTCCGACGACAGCCAAGAGTCAACAAACTTGACTTCTCAGCTAGTTATAATCCTAACTTAAAACAATTTTTCTGTTTCCCAATAACCAGAGGTAGTTTTCTTGACAGAAGGAAAACTATATTATACGGCAGCTGCTTTAGTTTTCTGTCTCCGACTTCTTCTGAGACCCTGAAGTGAGTGAAACATTTTTTATTTTGATAAGAAACTAAAAAAATAATTATCATAAAAGGGTTATTATCATGGAAGTGGGAAAGGGTTAAGATTCAGCCACGAGAATATACCAATAAAACACCTAAAGTTACTGCTGATTCACATTGTAAATTGTAAGAGAGGGTTCTCAAGTATGAAGGATACTAACATGCACCACTGAACTTCCATTGAATATTATTGGCATATTGAGAAATTTCACTAATTTGTCTAAGCATCATATCTGTCCGTATATCATAAACTAACATGTTTCCTTTAACTTTTACCCATACAACCAGAACCAGAGTAATTCGCTATATAAAAAGGTCAGCAATTTGTGAGCATCTCAACATAAAAGGAGAGAACTACAATTAATTCAAAATAATAAGTTTAATATTGCAAATCACAAGGTTTTAATTAGGGATTGACTTTACAAATCCAGCCTCTTTGATTGATTTCCTCAAAGCATATGAAACGTAAATAAAAAAGAAGAGTAAGGCTTACAGCATCGTCATTTAAAAGGATGACTTCTGAGACCGACATCTCCTCCAAATTTTTTCGTCCCCTCTTTCCCTTTGCTGCAGAAGTTAACCAATTACAAAAAATTCAAGCATCATCATCAACTTAAAAGTGGGATGATATACAGATAATGTGGAATGGTATCTTTAGAAGAATTAAGACATGCGACTGATCCAGAGAAGAAACAGAAGCAATTGAACACCGCAGAACATTTGGAAGCCAATACAAAAATAAGTTATAAACAAAAATAAGTTTCACAAAGTGTGCATAATTTACTCTTGGAAAGTAAAGCATAACAAACTGGATTATGTTTCCATGATTAAAAGGAACCACTATCAGTTTCTATAATAGGTGCAAGCGCAATGTTGAGGAAAACTATCACAGTAACCACTAAAAGGCCAATGTTATGGCTTCAAAGGATCCATCCAAACATGTTCTAATAATTTGGCTAGCAAACCAGAGTAAGATATTCATAAATATAAAAATTGAAGAAAAAAAAATGCTCATAAAGGATTCTGAGTGAAAAAACCTATTATTATCAATGGTGCCTAACAATTGGGTTTGTGTTCTACAGAGGTTCTTAGGTATATCAACCATCCCAGGAAGTATTGAGGCAATGTGCTATCATCCCACAGAAGAGTTGCGAAGTGGCTTATGCATTAGACTGAGGTCCACAGCAATAAAACTTCCCACAAAACCAAATTTTTTGTTGCAATAAAAATAAAACCAAATGTATGAGATGTAACAACCACTATAATATGTTGGCATAGCTTTAAAATAAAGATGAATAAAACAATAGATATAGATTTTGAATCCTTTTTTATACCTCCTTATGACGAAAGAAAAATTTATATGATAATAGCACGTCCATATCAAAAAATAAAAAAAAAATTACCATACAAGAAGCAACCTACTTTTGCCAAAGACAACAGGAAATTTGAGGATACATAAATAAATGAACAAATTATTACCAGCCAAAGTGACTGTTCTGCTAGAAAACTTTCCACACTCTCGTTTTGATGAAGTTTTTTGCTCTTGGGCAGCAGCATCCCCAAATGTATCAACCGATTTGTTCAGATTACTGAGAGATGAATGTGACACACAATCACTGGAACTGATATACCTGAGCTTATAGACAACCAAGTACAATGAATGATACATAAAAATGATAAAAATGCCTTTAATGATGAAGGTGTAAGGTTCCTAGTAATGCAAACCCACAAAGATCAAACTAATGTCCTTAGGTAATAATCTCAGGTCATATATGTTCAAAGTTTCCAATGTGGTTAAAGAGGAAGGATTCTCTAAAACTGAGAGATTATTATTACAAAAAGCAGCAAGAACTATTTGGTGCTTACTTGGGCACAGGGGAAGAGATGGTAAATTAACATAACTATGAGAATGGCGAGTTATGACAAAATAGAACTTACAGGGAAAATTAAAAAAAAATGAAAAATCTCTCCTTTTAACTGGGAGGAAGAGATAAATATGACAGAAATTACAAGAATAATACACATATATATACACACACGCACTTGCATATATATATATATATATATAGAGAGAGAGAGAGAGAGAGATTCCCATCCCATTATGTGACAGAAAAGGGTTACTGAGATCCCATCCCATTAACATGCCTGTAAAATTCAAGTGAGAGATTATTAAGAACTCACCCATGCCGTAAATGAATGGTATTTGAATCCTCTTCCAACAAAGCGTCCTTACAATAGAGAGAAAACAGAGAATCAAATAACAAGTGAAATCGATAAAACACTTGACTGCAATATACAAATCATTGATTAAAAAACAAACATAGCCTTATCGAGATTGAAATTGATGAAACAATCAAAAATCAGAAAATAAATTGAATAATAATTTAAAATTAAGAATTAGGATTTTATAAATTCCACAAAAGATCCAGTTTCTCTGAATCCCAGGCAGCTATATTAAAAATTCACAGTTGCAAACCAATTAAGAAGTCTTGATGTTTTTACTCTTACCCTTTCTGACAAGGAGTCACCACCATTAGTCACACAGTCCTCACTGTCCAAGCATAATAAGTTAACCTCCCAACCATCATATGTGGTCTGCAAATTCGGAAATGCAATATTAACTGTGAATCAGAGCCAAATACAGAGAGAGAAGGAAAGTCTAAAAATGCATGTCTCTCATTCGATCCTACTATGCAATCATTTTCACATTTCATGTAAAATGACCTGTTAGACTAAAAATATTAATGTTGAACCCTCACCCCATAGCTTAAACTTTTGGGTCAAGTGGTTTCTTAATATATATAAAGCACTATTTCTGTTCAAATAAAACAGCAACACAAAATGTTTATACTTGTCTGTCAAATGATGATTCACTTTCACAAATTCAGAAGATAGATATTCATAATCAGGAACAAATTCTGGGATGGAAGATTGCTGAAGTAGAATTTCATGCCCCCTGATCCATTATTTAACTCATTAAATCATACCTTTGAACTGCAAGGATCCTTGAACTTGGCCGTGGAGTATTTTGAAGGTTCAGCAGTAAAACTACTAACCAGCGCAATATTCTCTTTCAAAGAATCAGCACTTTTTTCATTATTCTGAGATAAAACTTGTGATTCAGTAATACTTTCCATAGCTACAGAATCGCAGGAAGAAAGTAGCCCTTTCTCCAGAAATGATGCAGAACTTTTAATTGCATCATTTTTGCGCTCCTCTGCAGTAAAACACTTATTGAGCAATCCACTCGTTACATGTGCAGTAAAGGAATGAGCCACTTTCTGTTTACATCTTGTACTGGTTTCCTTCTCAACATATTTGTTTTTAGGCTCCATTGCACATGTTGGCAAATCATGTTGCTTGCCCACCACCATGTCCAATTCGCTGTGAGTGATAGCTGGCTTTCTGCTACCTACTTGACGCCTTTGACTACGTTTAGGAAAATGATTCCTCAAAGTCTGAAATATAGCAGAAACAATTTTCACCAAAAAGAATGTTCAGAAAATGATTCAGAATGATAAGCATATGATCAACACAGTGAAAGGCAGCTTTTGCTAGCATACCAGAGAAAAATGAGATTTGAAAATATGAACTACTCGCTCAACAAAACTTTGTCCGGAACTGCGCTGAGAAATATGTTTTAAACTAGCCTGCACATAACAACTAAATAAGAACATATTATAATGATTCACGTTTCACAATTTTATCAATTTGAGAGCTTGCCTCTTCACTCTTCCTAGCAACACTAATTTGATATAATGATGACGGCAAAAGAATCAGTCCAGGGGCACGTGAGGAAGGCATGCCATTATGATTTAATTCATTCACAATGGAGATTCCAATGTCCGCTAGAATGTGCAAATTCTGCATTGTACAAGAACCTCACAATCAAACATAAGATAAAGCAAAAAATCATGAGGGAAAAAGACATCTGAGGAAACACAATGCTTACAGGAGTTTTCTGAGCATCAACAGCATCCTCGGCTTTTTTAATAGCACGAAAGATACAAAGCAAATATAAGATAGCATCTTTAACAAGATCCGTGTCACCGTCAACAATACTAGCATTGACTAATGCCTTCAGTATTGAAAAAAGTGGACTGCAGATAGAAATAATTCCAAGTAGCATCACCTTATTAGTAATTACATTCACATGACGAACTAGGTAATCCATCCTCCAAAATAGAAAAACTGTCTGCAGAAGTAAACTTACCAAAAAAACTTAGCAATCTTCCCTTCATCTTGAAAGTCTTCAAGTAAGAAGTTCTTATCGTGTGCAAGAACATGGATCAAGAATACCACTACATATGCTGGGTAATCAGTAATTGATACCCCTTGCACTGCAGAATTCTGGCGAATTCGAGCTTCTCTAATGTATTGATTGATGAATTTGTCCATATAATTGGACTGAAAGAAAGAAGTCAGAATACAAATCTAATAGAAGCAACAGCAGGAATAACTAAGCATAATATAATATATTTGCATAGATAATAGATATAAACATACAACATCATCTTGCATATCCTTCGGACAATCAGAGCTGGCAAATGCAAAAGCACATGCATATCTACTGGGTAGAAGATGTGCCTTTAGCCACTTGTACGTTTTATGAAGAAATGATTTGCAAGCAGATGCAGACAGGTCCTGGAACATGGCAGGAATGAACAGAATGATAAATTATATTATGAGAGAGAGAGAGAGAGAGAGAACTGAATAAAAAAGTTATACACGAAAAGCCAAGTAGAAAAGAAAATCAAAGGCAATCAATGCAAATTTCTAGCAAGAGGTAATAGTCTTGTAGTAAGTTAACCTGATTTACAATGGTTTTCTTAAACACATTCATAAAAATTACTTTGAGATATACAGATGTTTTGAGCCCTTCTGCAGAGACACATTTTCTTAGATCAAGAATTTGTGCTACCTCAACATTTGGCTTACATGTACTGCCACAGACATCAGCAATCAACTTTAAGGAATAAACTACAAAACGACAAAGATTAGAAGATGAAACTTTTGAAAGAAAATAAAATAACAACCAAAAAAAAGCTAAGTATCAAACCTCCATTACTGCTGCCTGAACATAGTCCTATTGGAATGTTTTTCTCTTACCTTTTATCTACCAATCTATATTGGAAAACATTTAGTTGTTGTGAAGTGTTCACCATATAGACTATAAATTTAAAAATCCATATGCAACAGTCAATCTGAGATAAACTTCCTACTAGTATTAAAAAGGCTTATCACAACTAAGCTAAAGCCAATAAAACTGAAGCTTCATAAAAATATTTACAACTGTTCTTTAGCCTGCTGATCTATTCATGCACAAATAAACATGCTTACCTTGACCACTGAAATTGTAGAAGAGAAAATCTCTGGCGAAATATGCAAGTCCCATCTTCTTGAAAGCCGGAGGACAGATTTTGCAGCAGCTAATCTTAAACTTTCACTGCATAACCCATTATAATTACAAGCATAAGCAGAAAATAAGTCTACTAATATATTGAAAAGCAAGCTGTCAAGAACCTAAGCCATGATACTAACAACATTAAAAAATGCAACATAATTTTGGAAAGTGAGGCATCCTTAGAAGTGCAATTCCTTATTTATGCTGAAAATTTCCTTTTCTTTTCTCATAAGCAGCTAAATGCTTTTAATTATAGTAAATAATTCAATTAATCACAATTGAGAAGCCAAGGATCAGATATTGTTCACCATCTTTTCCCATAAAAAGCTATGTCTAAGGAGTTCAGAATCATGCATCATTGAAAGTAAATATTACATCCTCCTTTAATACTTTTATCAACTCAAAATTCATGAATATCAAATATTTAATTACGTTATAAATGTGTAATATCAAACACCCAGGCATAAAAACTTCTCATGACATAGAATTGCATATAACCAAACTCTATTCCAGCATTGACATGACATTTGGCTTAGTTTGAAACACCAAGCCATAAAAAAATGAATGAGACTCAAAAATAGCCAGTCCACTTTGATATTAAGGGAAAAGAATGGATCCCAACAACAAATAAAGCCAATATCCTTCCAATATTTAACAAAAAAGAAATTATGACATCCTATGAGATCCTAGTAAGAATCCAAACACAACACTGCTATGACTCATTTCCCAGTTTCGCACAACTATAACAGCAAATGAAAGCACTAAACATTCATGAATCGCAATTAATCATTAAAACCTACTGATTTCTACCAAACCCAATATATCCTCATATGTGCAATTTGAAAAAAACAAGATTCATGCAGACTAGAGCATACTTGTTTTCTCAGAAGAATTAACTCTAGTGTTCAAACATCAAAATATGAATAGAACTCCAGCTATAACTTGTAATGAAAATTAAGATCCAGTAAATACTAAGTTAAAAGTGTTCGAAAGAAAGGCTCTGTCAGCAAAAGTCAAGGTGACTAAAACCCCCAAAGATTTAAAAAATCATACCATAAAAGGAGAGCATCAGAAGTGTCAGCCCTTAGGAGCATCTTTGACAAAACATGTAGCAATTCATCAATCTTCCTTTTGACATGAGATCCTCGATGTGGCAAAAAACTCTTGACAAGGGTTTTGAGCCCAAAAATCTGCCAAACACATGAAACAAAACTGAAATAACCATGCAGAGAGATATCTATGGCTCTACTACTAGTTAACACCTAAAAACTGTTCCTTTTTGTACTGATTGTTGTTTAGCTTTCATAATGAATCAATGTTTTTCCATCTATGAACAAATTTTAACTTGCTTGAATATCATATGCTAACAACTTTTAACTTGCTTGAATATCATATGCTGACAAATTTTTAAGTTGCTTGAATATCATATGTCCCATGTTCATTCACTTTGTCATGTTTTATTAGATTATGTCCAACCATACGCATGATAGTCCAGGCGTTGATAGGTATAATACTCTCCAGATTAAAAAAAAAAATCATCATATTTTAACAATACACATAAAATTAATAATTTAGAATTTAGCTTCCATGGTCCAAAACTGACCTTCAAATCACAATAAGCGTCAGACTGGCAAGTCTCATTGAATAAAGCTAGATCATCTAAGAGTTCCACCTGCACAGATAAAATTCACACTGTTCAGCACACAACTATTAACAAGCATATGAAACACACGTGAAAATCTGCAAGAATCTCTCCATCCACAGATCTATAGCAAAGTAGAAAACATAGAAGCGGAAATGTATTACAGTTGACATATCTTACTTACTTGAATAATGTTTTTATATATGTATGGTGTGATGTCTTCTTCTTGAGTTTCAAAAGTTGAGAAAGAATATTGTGCAATGCAACCCAATGATTGCAAGACAGTTGGAATTTTCTGCCCCCTATGTAGAGACTCCACAAGTCTCTGAAGAGATAGACAGAAATGAAGTGAGATTATTGTTTCAAACAAGCATATTCTATGAGCTTGCAAAATCAGCAAAAATAATTAAATAAATCGCTGGGCATTTGAAACACACAAGAACAGAAAAAACATTTTGACAAGTTCCATATAAAACTATAGTGGAATGGTGTTAGCAAAAGGCCAGAAAGAGAGCTGCACCCTTAGAAGTTTTCTGTAACCTACTTATATTAAAAAATGTAAAGAAAGTTTGCTTCTTTGAGGAGGAGCATCTAATCAATGCACATTGAACAATACATGACTCATATAGGAACAAATTACAGAATTAAAGGAAAGCATGCTATCATTCTGATTGAAGAGTAAGTAACGGAGTGTAAACAACAAACATATAGAGGAAATTATAAAGGAAAGTGGGTTCCCTAAAGAAGGATATAGTTGAAAAAGAATTGTCATTCATCTTCCTTTACTTTCTTCGAAAATCAAATAAGAAATACATGATACAGATCACCAACAGCTTGCCCAAACCCCAAAAACTGCCACCAACTAAAACTTGCCATCAAAAGGAAGCAAATCTCAGGATTTTTTAGTAGCATAAGAGATGACATGTAACCACATAAGAAATATTTCATAAGAATCACGCCACCATTCAAAAATATCAAGAAAAGTACATTCAAGAGGTAGTAGCAATTTAGACAATGGTACAGCCAGATCAACACTAAGCAAAATATATAAAATAGGAATAAGTGTAATGCAGCAAGATTTTAAGAGAGGAAAATATATAGATAAAATAACATCCAATAGCAATTAATTCAAACAAGTTGAGAATAGTACACCTTGCATAAGTTTGTGAAAATAAGTTGCCCAGAAGTGCCACTTAATGAAGCAATTGCAGAAACAGCAGATTTGGACTGAGCACGAGTTCCCTCAAGACACAACCCCTCCAACAAAGGGTAAATGTCACTACACAGAAACAAAATAGATATACAATCATACAGTAAATAAGAGCCTTTAAGAAAATAAAACCAAACCCAAAATGAGCTTTAAACTCAATGAAGCAAAATGTGAAAAAGGTTCCCCAAAAAGAAACATAATAAAAATATATGTGATCATTCAAAACTTTGCCTATACCTTTGAGGTTAAAAGACTGTATTCTTAAGAAGTGTTTAATGTTATTATCAGCATTGAGTAGCTCTATTCTTTAAAGCCCAGCTAGCTTATCTGTTAAAATTTCTTAATGTCATATCAAGGAGGTAAGATTGAATCCTGCCTTCACAGTAGGAATTCAAGGGATGCAGAGGGTTAAGCTGAAAAAGTACCTCTGAAACCTAATCCCCAACAATTTTGGTTGCTCAAAAATGAACCAAGAAGAAAAATAGTAGTATGATAAACCCTTATTACAAATAAAAAAGATAAATACTTCTCAGAAGATGAAAAAATAAACAACTAAAATGTTTCATCCAACAGTGTGAGCATCATAAACCATTCAAGCCTTGGCTTAAACAAAAATATATAGAAGAAAAAGCATAAACAACTAACTTCCTTCATAGTCATACTTCTCCGTGTACCATTCTAACAAAAAAAAACACCACAACCAATATAAAGAAGACTCCAGAAGTTTACCTAAATTTGACAGAAATATGAGGGCCGGCTTTTGCCAAGACTTCAATCAGCTTATCATTAATCATGTCATTCCCTTTTAGCAACTTTTGGAACTTCTCTTCCGAACCTCTCAGAAGCAAAGGAAACACACTGACAATAGCCTACATCAGGTAAAATAACAGCAGCAGTTAGCAATCAAGTCAAATTTATAATACTTATTCAGGAGTAACCTTCATACGGAGTATACTTGAAATTTGTTGAAATACCATTACACCCCCTGAAAATCATGCTGCCTCACATGACTTGCTTCATTCAAACTCGATGTTCTGTTCTACACTCTTCTCTTAAGTAAAATATTTAAGATTACATTTTTGTCAAAAATCAGTCTTGTTCTTCTTATTGATGTTCAAAAGAATTTTAAATATTTTGCCCTCTTCCAATATATAACCTACACTGAAAGTTATAACAATTGGCAGCAGAGGAAATGCACATTGTATAACTAAGTTGATGCAGCAAGCAACAACTAATTGCGCCATTATTTTCACAAAGCAAAATGGTATATGCTCTGACTCACATTTTTATGCAATCAAAGGCCCAAATCCCAAGGTCAGAGACCCATTAACTAAAAACTGCATGCCCATAGATTCATACTATGCAAAAGACACATAACTCTTGTGCAAGCCCAACAAGAACAGCTCCATAGTTTTCCTCTCAATCTAGCAAGTTCATTTCTGTTTACAACTTTTACCAGATTCAGGCTCTAAAACTAGTTGAGTATCTTGCAGCAACAACAAAACTATATGCATCTGGAGTGTCTACAACTATTCCAATGATACTGGCTTCAAATTAGAGTTGCAACATTCATTGTTATTAACTTATTATGAAATGATCACAAATGATGATATCCCTCATACAGTTGGTTATCAATATCTGAACCTTTTTTCCAAAAAGAATCTTGAAAAAAAAAATTATATCTAACAAAAGGATTACAAAATTAAAGAATGAGTGATCGACTCAGGATCCACACACCTAGTTTGCTATCAATATCAAGGCACTCAAACTTAGTTTATTTTATTTCTCACTCTCCATGAATTTATCACTTTCTGACGATCCTTGATCAGTGCATAAAATGCAGATTATTTGGTTAGGTTTTGAATTCAGTACTTAGCATAACTGTTGGATCCCAAGCTAAGTGTAAACTTTGATGCTGTTTAGAAAACTGAAAGGAAGAACCTGATTAGATCCACCAAGCAGTTGTTCTTACCAGAAGAAGATTAAGAGCAGCCTCCAACTGATTATCTCTGAATCTGTTGCTGGAAAGACCATCCACAATACAGTGAACATGATCCGAATCAAAAATATACAAGCATCTTGAGGAGAGCAGTTGCAAAAATTCAAAATCCGGATGTTTATCTCCTATCAATTTTAGAAGTTTATCCTGAAAGAGAAGCACCATGAAATTAAAGTACAGAATAAAGCAGATTTGAGTGAAATGGAAAAACATGGGGGATGACATATTACAAATGTTCATAAGAACTTTAAAGTTCATCAATTTCAAAACACCATCCTCTTAGTGAGAATCCAAACAATTTTTCACTTTAAATAAAATTTTGCTTTCTGGCAAATATCAAATATAGGCCTGACAGATATTCAGGAAAGCAATAAGATATAAGTCAAATAGGATATTCTTGTTCTGTATATTACTTGGACCACTCTATCTAATGACAAAAAATGCAAAATGAAAAGAATTTAAAGCATGTAATAAGACAATATGGAAAATTTAATGTGCTCTGCCGGTGATGAGAAAAATATCTGAAAGACCATGTGGGAAGTACATGAAATTATTTGATTAAACTAAAGAAGGGAACAAGTAGATAACGCACTCTAGCAGTCTTGGCATTTTCAATTGTCAGTTCATCCAATAATTCATCCAGAGCATTGAAAATGTTATTATCTTTCAACTTGTTTAACCTCTGAAAGCACTCTTCTGCTTTAGAAGGATCCATAAAGGAAGCCGACATTTTCATAAATAAACTGTTAATTCTCTTCTGTGTTTCTTCTGGAGATTTCTCCTGCAACATATATATGATGCTTCATTAATCAAAACAACCAAGAACAAACTAAAACCCAAAAAGCTGCAGACCTCAAAACTATTAGAGCATAACCGATTAACACTAATTATTTGTTTTACAATATCATTGGAAAAAAAATGGAAATCCAAATGCATATCACAAAGAATAAATCTCCAAAAAGCCCAAATATTTACCAAGAAAGAAAATTTTGGTGGGTGAAAAAGCAAACTCTTGCAGGTAACATTAATTTAATTGCTTAGGCATATGGCTTTATAGACATAAACATCACTATAAAGTTAAGTGTTTGCCAACAGCTGTTAATAGTGCAAGGGCTAAAATGCAATTATAATATGAAGTAAGAATATTGTCCTCTCATTACTTTTAAACATTCAAAACTATACCTTCTCTTTCTTTCGTAAAGACAAATAACATCGCATTTCAGTTCGTAACCTGAAAACATTAGAACTTGTAAGAAATCAAACACTTTTCAGCCAGATCATACCAATAACCATATACCAATACCTCTGTTTCTGAGATAAAATAGAGTTCAATGCCTTCATGTGAAGTGGCTCAAAAAGAGAAAATAAATGAACCCAGTGCCTTGTCCTCTCCTCAATTTCAAGAACGGGAAATAAATCCTCCAGAAGAACTCGCTCAATGTTTTGGGACCTGCATGTGTGAATATTAACTACATTAGACATTATAAACACTGGTTTTGGTCAGCCAGAGGCTGCACATGAGCATACCTGAACTCCTTGCAATCTTTATCATAGCAAAGCATCAGGATTTTACATGGAATTTCTTCATAATGATCACAAATTGTCATGCGGCCTTCATAACACTTTCTGCAATAATCTCGATATACTTCCAGCAACTTTTGCAAGACCTTTTTTCTAACAGCTATCTTCATTTAAAAATAAAAATAAAATAATGAAAAACCATAAAAGAATGTCAGAAAGCTTCAGCATTTTAGTGAAATCATAAACTTTCCACAGCGTAGTTACCTTCTTATCCCGAAGTCTCTCAGTAGCATTAAATATTAGGTCAGGTGGAAATTTCAGGTTAGACTTGGCAAGATCACAAGCAACAATCACTGCCTCTGTTCTCACTCTGTCATCAAAGTCTAACAGTCGACTTTCAAGGGCAGCTGCTAATAAAGTTATAAATATAGATGTATAATCAAATTTTCAAGACTCTAGAATCAGGAAACTGGACTCAAAAATATATAGGCATCCTGAATGGCTTACTGAGAACTTCATGAGATTCTGCCCCAAATGGATTGGCCAAGTAGTAGGCTTTAGCACATTGCAGAGCTCTTATCCTAACTTCAGGAGATTTGTCAGAGAACCTTTTCAAGAACTCTACAAAAAGGTCACGATGTCTTTCTGCAACACCATTTTTTGGTAGGGCAAAGAGTTTTCCAATTAAATTAAGCGCTTTTATCCGGACATCAACCTGATCAATCTACATGAAAATTCAAAGATTTAGTAAACACACAAACAAGGACACAATTCTTAGTATGAGAAAGAAGAGCACAAAAAGCAGTAGTTTGAAAAGAAGTGCATGAGACCCACAATGCTCAATCCATGCTAAGTAATAGACAAGACAAAAAGTTGAAAACAGAAAAGAGGGAAGCCATACAGATAATTCTTGAATCAAGTTTGGGATGACAGCAACAAGCATCTGAGGAGCACATTGAAAAATTTTAAACATAATTTCATGATACAATTCTCTGAGTTCACTCCATGTGGCATCTCTGTCCAGAAAACAAGATGTTAAGAACCCACAAACAAAGGGCTGCAGTTTTTCTGCACAACATTGAATGACAGAAACAGCAAGCTGTGAAGCAGCAGAAGGTGCACCCTGTGATGGAGGGAAACAACAAAAAGAATGTATTAACAATTTTCAACCAACAAAAAGAAATTTCATGCTATTTGCATAAAATACTCTCACTAACAGGAATCAACAAGATTCAACAGTTATCATAATCATGTCATTCCCTTTTAGCAACTTTTGAATTCTCTTCGAACCTCTCAGAAGCAAAGGAAACACACTGACAATAGCCTACATCAGGTAAAATAACAGCAGCAGTTAGCAATCAAGTCAAATTTATAATACTTATTCAGGAGTAACCTTCATACGGAGTATACTTGAATTTGTTGAAATACCATTACACCCCTGAAAATCATGTGCCTCACATGACTGTTGCTTCATTCAAACTCGATGTTCTGTTCTACACTCTTCTCTAAGTAAAATATTTAAGATTACATTTTTGTCAAAAATCAGTCTTGTTCTTCTTATTGATGTTCAAAAGAATTTTAAATATTTGCCCTCTTCCAATATATAACTACAATGAAAGTTATAACAATTGGCAGCAGAGGAAATGCACATTGATAACTAAGTTGATGCAGCAAGCAACAACTAATTGCGCATTATTTTCACAAAGCAAAATGGTATATGCCGACTACATTTTTAGCAACAAAGGCCCAAATCCCAAGGTCAGAGACCCATTAACTAAAAACTGCATGCATAGATTCATACTATGCAAAAGACACATAACTCTTGTGCAAGCCAACAAGAACAGCTCCATAGTTTCCTCTCAATCTAGCAAGTTCATTTCTGTTTACAACTTTCACCAGATTCAGGCTCTAAAACTACTTGAGTATCTTGCAGCCACAACAAAACTATATGCATGGAGTGTCTACAACTATTCCAATGATACTGGCTTCAAATTAGAGTTGCACATTCATTGTTATTAACTTATTATGAATGATCACAAATGATGATATCCCTCATACAGTTGGTTATCAATATCTGAACCTTTTTTCCAAAGAATCTTGAAAAAAAAAAATTATATCTAACAAAAGGATTACAAAATTAAAGAATGAGTGATCCACTCAGGATCCACACACCTAGTTTGCTATCAATATCAAGGCACTCAAACTTAGTTTATTTTATTTCTCACTCTCCATGAATTTATCACTTTCTGACGATCCTTGATCAGTGCATAAAATGAGATTATTTGGTTAGGTTTGAATTCAGTACTTAGCATAAATGTTGGATCCCAAGCTAAGTGTAAACTTTGATGCTGTTTAGAAAACTGAAAGAAGAACCTGATTAGATCCACCAAGCAGTTGTTCTTACCAGAAGAAGATTAAGAGCAGCCCAATGATTATCTCTGAATCGGTTGCTGGAAAGACCATCCAATACAGGGAACATGATCCGAATCAAAAATATACAAGCATCTTGAGGAGAGCAGTTGCCAAAATTCAAAATCCGGATGTTTATCTCCTATCAATTTTAGAAGTTTATCCTGAAAGAGAAGCACCATGAAATTAAAGACAGAAATAAGCAAGATTTGAGTGAAATGGAAAAACATGGAGGGATGACATATTACAAATGTTCATAAGAACTTAAAGTTCAATGTGGCAAAAAACTCTTGACAAGGGTTTTGAGCCCAAAAATCTGCCAAACACATGAAACAAAACTGAAATAACCATGCAGAGAGATATCTATGGCTCTACTACTAGTTAACACCTAAAAACTGTTCCTTTTTGTACTGATTGTTGTTTAGCTTTCATAATGAATCAATGTTTTTCCATCTATGAACAAATTTTAACTTGCTTGAATATCATATGCTAACAACTTTTAACTTGCTTGAATATCATATGCTGACAAATTTTTAAGTTGCTTGAATATCATATGTCCCATGTTCATTCACTTTGTCATGTTTTATTAGATTATGTCCAACCATACGCATGATAGTCCAGGCGTTGATAGGTATAATACTCTCCAGATTAAAAAAAAAAATCATCATATTTTAACAATACACATAAAATTAATAATTTAGAATTTAGCTTCCATGGTCCAAAACTGACCTTCAAATCACAAGAAGCATCAGACTGGCAAGTCTCATTGAATAAAGCTAGATCATCTAAGAGTTCCACCTGCACAGATAAAATTCACACTGTTCAGCACACAACTATTAACAAGCATATGAAACACACGTGAAAATCTGCAACAATCTCTCCATCCACTGATCTATAGCAAAGTAGAAAACATAGAAGCGGAAATGTATTACAGTTGACATATCTTACTTACTTGAATAATGTTTTTATATATGTATGGTGTGATGTCTTCTTCTTGAGTTTCAAAAGTTGAGAAAGAATATTGTGCAATGCAACCCAATGATTGCAAGACAGTTGGAATTTTCTGCCCCCTATGTAGAGACTCCACAAGTCTCTGAAGAGATAGACAGAAATGAAGTGAGATTATTGTTTCAAACAAGCATATTCTATGAGCTTGCAAAATCAGCAAAAATAATTAAATAAATCGCTGGGCATTTGAAACACACAAGAACAGAAAAAACATTTTGACAAGTTCCATATAAAACTATAGTGGAATGGTGTTAGCAAAAGGCCAGAAAGAGAGCTGCACCCTTAGAAGTTTTCTGTAACCTACTTATATTAAAAAATGTAAAGAAAGTTTGCTTCTTTGAGGAGGAGCATCTAATCAATGCACATTGAACAATACATGACTCATATAGGAACAAATTACAGAATTAAAGGAAAGCATGCTATCATTCTGATTGAAGAGTAAGTAACGGAGTGTAAACAACAAACATATAGAGGAAATTATAAAGGAAAGTGGGTTCCCTAAAGAAGGATATAGTTGAAAAAGAATTGTCATTCATCTTCCTTTACTTTCTTCGAAAATCAAGTAAGAAATACATGATACAGATCACCAACAGCTTGCCCAAACCCCAAAAACTGCCACCAACTAAAACTTGCCATCAAAAGGAAGCAAATCTCAGGATTTTTTAGTAGCATAAGAGATGACATGTAACCACATAAGAAATATTTCATAAGAATCGCAACACCATTCAAAAATATCAAGAAAAGTACATTCAAGAGGTAGTAGCAATTTAGACAATGGTACAGCCAGATCAACACTAAGCAAAATATATAAAATAGGAATAAGTGTAATGCAGCAAGATTTTAGGAGTGGAAAATATATAGATAAAATAACATCCAATAGCAATTAATTCAAAGAAGTTGAGAATAGTACACCTTGCATAAGTTTGTGAAAATAAGTTGCCCAGAAGTGCCACTTAATGAAGCAATTGCAGAAACAGCAGATTTGGACTGAGCACGAGTTCCCTCAAGACACAACCCCTCCAACAAAGGGTAAATGTCACTACACAGAAACAAAATAGATATACAATCATACAGTAAATAAGAGCCTTTAAGAAAATAAAACCAAACCCAAAATGAGCTTTAAACTCAATGAAGCAAAATGTGAAAAAGGTTCCCCAAAAAGAAACATAATAAAAATATATGTGATCATTCATAACCTTGCCTATACCTTTGAGGTTAAAAGACTATATTCTTAAGAAGTGTTTAATGTTATTATCAGCATTGATTAGCTCTATTCTTTAAAGCCCAGCTAGCTTATCTGTTAAAATTTCTTAATGTCATATCAAGGAGGTAAGATTGAATCCTGCCTTCACAGTAGGAATTCAAGGGATGGGAGAGGGTTAAGCTGAAAAAGTACCTCTGAAACCTATTCCCCAACAATTTTGGTTGCTCAAAAATGAACCAAGAAGAAAAATAGTAGTATGATAAACCCTTATTACAAATAAAAAAGATAAATACTTCTCAGAAGATGAAAAAATAAACAACTAAAATGTTTCATCCAACAGTGTGAGCATCATAAACCATTCAAGCCTTGGCTTAAACAAAAATATATAGAAGAAAAAGCATAAACAACTAACTTCCTTCATAGTCATACTTCTCCGTGTACCATTCTAACAAAAAAAAACACCACAACCAATATAAAGAAGACTCCAGAAGTTTACCTAAATTTGACAGAAATATGAGGGCCGGCTTTTGCCAAGACTTCAATCAGCTTATCATTAATCATGTCATTCCCTTTTAGCAACTTTTGGAACTTCTCTTCTGAACCTCTCAGAAGCAAAGGAAACACACTGACAATAGCCTACATCAGGTAAAATAACAGCAGCAGTTAGCAATCAAGTCAAATTTATAATACTTATTCAGGAGTAACCTTCATACAGAGTATACTTGAAATTTGTTGAAATACCATTACACCCCCTGAAAATCATGCTGCCTCACATGACTTGCTTCATTCAAACTCGATGTTCTGTTCTACACTCTTCTCTTAAGTAAAATATTTAAGATTACATTTTTGTCAAAAATCAGTCCTGTTCTTCTTATTGATGTTCAAAAGAATTTTAAATATTTTGCCCTCTTCCAATATATAACCTACACTGTGAAAGTTATAACAATTGGCAGCAGAGGAAATGCACATTGTATAACTAAGTTGATGCAGCAAGCAACAACTAATTGCGCCATTATTTTCACAAAGCAAAATGGTTTATGCTCTGACTCACATTTTTATGCAACCAAAGGCCCAAATCCCAAGGTCAGAGACCCATTAACTAAAAACTGCATGCCCATAGATTCATACTATGCAAAAGACACATAACTCTTGTGCAAGCCCAACAAGAACAGCTCCATAGTTTTCCTCTCAATCTAGCAAGTTCATTTCTGTTTACAACTTTTACCAGATTCAGGCTCTAAAACTAGTTGAGTATCTTGCAGCAACAACAAAACTATATGCATCTGGAGTGTCTACAACTATTCCAATGATACTGGCTTCAAATTAGAGTTGCAACATTCATTGTTATTAACTTATTATGAAATGATCACAAATGATGATATCCCTCATACAGTTGGTTATCAATATCTGAACCTTTTTTCCAAAAAGAATCTTGAAAAAAAAAATTATATCTAACAAAAGGATTACAAAATTAAAGAATGAGTGATCGACTCAGGATCCACACACCTAGTTTGCTATCAATATCAAGGCACTCAAACTTAGTTTATTTTATTTCTCACTCTCCATGAATTTATCACTTTCTGACGATCCTTGATCAGTGCATAAAATGCAGATTATTTGGTTAGGTTTTGAATTCAGTACTTAGCATAACTGTTGGATCCCAAGCTAAGTGTAAACTTTGATGCTGTTTAGAAAACTGAAAGGAAGAACCTGATTAGATCCACCAAGCAGTTGTTCTTACCAGAAGAAGATTAAGAGCAGCCTCCAACTGATTATCTCTGAATCTGTTGCTGGAAAGACCATCCACAATACAGTGAACATGATCCGAATCAAAAATATACAAGCATCTTGAGGAGAGCAGTTGCAAAAATTCAAAATCCGGATGTTTATCTCCTATCAATTTTAGAAGTTTATCCTGAAAGAGAAGCACCATGAAATTAAAGTACAGAATAAAGCAGATTTGAGTGAAATGGAAAAACATGGGGGATGACATATTACAAATGTTCATAAGAACTTTAAAGTTCATCAATTTCAAAACACCATCCTCTTAGTGAGAATCCAAACAATTTTTCACTTTAAATAAAATTTTGCTTTCTGGCAAATATCAAATATAGGCCTGACAGATATTCAGGAAAGCAATAAGATATAAGTCAAATAGGATATTCTTGTTCTGTATATTACTTGGACCACTCTATCTAATGACAAAAAATGCAAAATGAAAAGAATTTAAAGCATGTAATAAGACAATATGGAAAATTTAATGTGCTCTGCCGGTGATGAGAAAAATATCTGAAAGACCATGTGGGAAGTACATGAAATTATTTGATTAAACTAAAGAAGGGAACAAGTAGATAACGCACTCTAGCAGTCTTGGCATTTTCAATTGTCAGTTCATCCAATAATTCATCCAGAGCATTGAAAATGTTATTATCTTTCAACTTGTTTAACCTCTGAAAGCACTCTTCTGCTTTAGAAGGATCCATAAAGGAAGCCGACATTTTCATAAATAAACTGTTAATTCTCTTCTGTGTTTCTTCTGGAGATTTCTCCTGCAACATATATATGATGCTTCATTAATCAAAACAACCAAGAACAAACTAAAACCCAAAAAGCTGCAGACCTCAAAACTATTAGAGCATAACCGATTAACACTAATTATTTGTTTTACAATATCATTGGAAAAAAAATGGAAATCCAAATGCATATCACAAAGAATAAATCTCCAAAAAGCCCAAATATTTACCAAGAAAGAAAATTTTGGTGGGTGAAAAAGCAAACTCTTGCAGGTAACATTAATTTAATTGCTTAGGCATATGGCTTTATAGACATAAACATCACTATAAAGTTAAGTGTTTGCCAACAGCTGTTAATAGTGCAAGGGCTAAAATGCAATTATAATATGAAGTAAGAATATTGTCCTCTCATTACTTTTAAACATTCAAAACTATACCTTCTCTTTCTTTCGTAAAGACAAATAACATCGCATTTCAGTTCGTAACCTGAAAACATTAGAACTTGTAAGAAATCAAACACTTTTCAGCCAGATCATACCAATAACCATATACCAATACCTCTGTTTCTGAGATAAAATAGAGTTCAATGCCTTCATGTGAAGTGGCTCAAAAAGAGAAAATAAATGAACCCAGTGCCTTGTCCTCTCCTCAATTTCAAGAACGGGAAATAAATCCTCCAGAAGAACTCGCTCAATGTTTTGGGACCTGCATGTGTGAATATTAACTACATTAGACATTATAAACACTGGTTTTGGTCAGCCAGAGGCTGCACATGAGCATACCTGAACTCCTTGCAATCTTTATCATAGCAAAGCATCAGGATTTTACATGGAATTTCTTCATAATGATCACAAATTGTCATGCGGCCTTCATAACACTTTCTGCAATAATCTCGATATACTTCCAGCAACTTTTGCAAGACCTTTTTTCTAACAGCTATCTTCATTTAAAAATAAAAATAAAATAATGAAAAACCATAAAAGAATGTCAGAAAGCTTCAGCATTTTAGTGAAATCATAAACTTTCCACAGCGTAGTTACCTTCTTATCCCGAAGTCTCTCAGTAGCATTAAATATTAGGTCAGGTGGAAATTTCAGGTTAGACTTGGCAAGATCACAAGCAACAATCACTGCCTCTGTTCTCACTCTGTCATCAAAGTCTAACAGTCGACTTTCAAGGGCAGCTGCTAATAAAGTTATAAATATAGATGTATAATCAAATTTTCAAGACTCTAGAATCAGGAAACTGGACTCAAAAATATATAGGCATCCTGAATGGCTTACTGAGAACTTCATGAGATTCTGCCCCAAATGGATTGGCCAAGTAGTAGGCTTTAGCACATTGCAGAGCTCTTATCCTAACTTCAGGAGATTTGTCAGAGAACCTTTTCAAGAACTCTACAAAAAGGTCACGATGTCTTTCTGCAACACCATTTTTTGGTAGGGCAAAGAGTTTTCCAATTAAATTAAGCGCTTTTATCCGGACATCAACCTGATCAATCTACATGAAAATTCAAAGATTTAGTAAACACACAAACAAGGACACAATTCTTAGTATGAGAAAGAAGAGCACAAAAAGCAGTAGTTTGAAAAGAAGTGCATGAGACCCACAATGCTCAATCCATGCTAAGTAATAGACAAGACAAAAAGTTGAAAACAGAAAAGAGGGAAGCCATACAGATAATTCTTGAATCAAGTTTGGGATGACAGCAACAAGCATCTGAGGAGCACATTGAAAAATTTTAAACATAATTTCATGATACAATTCTCTGAGTTCACTCCATGTGGCATCTCTGTCCAGAAAACAAGATGTTAAGAACCCACAAACAAAGGGCTGCAGTTTTTCTGCACAACATTGAATGACAGAAACAGCAAGCTGTGAAGCAGCAGAAGGTGCACCCTGTGATGGAGGGAAACAACAAAAAGAATGTATTAACAATTTTCAACCAACAAAAAGAAATTTCATGCTATTTGCATAAAATACTCTCACTAACAGGAATCAACAAGATAAAACAAGGAGGACAAAAATATATATGTGTGTGTGTGTGTGTGTGTGTGTGTTAAACATGTCCATAAAATTGGAACAAAGCAAAGTTTATGTTGGTCCTGCACCCCAAGGGACAGTGTAAACAGACACTTTTACCTTTTCCTGCTTTACAAGATTTTGCAAAACTACTTCCAGAAGCGGCAGAGAAGGTTCCTCATTCAAAATATGCATCATTATAGACAAGATATCATTAACCAAACATGGTTGATGATGTTCACTGCAGGGGATGAAACATAAGGCAATCATTATTGTTTTAAAATGAAAATGACAAGGAAACTATTTAAGTACAAATTAAACTGCAACAAAGCTACAGAGGATACCCGTGGTACACGAAATGCAACAGCAAAATAAAAAGATTAAAATTTAAGCCAATATTATGAAATTTGTATGATCAAAGCTTTATCCTAAAATATTTCTCTAACTGTAAATCTTGAACAAATTCAGTGAAGGCTATTATCAGATAAAAGCAACTTATTAAGAAATCAAGGAATTAATACAATTAAGCTGGTTCTAAATGTCAAATTCTGGGTACGCCCAAGTCTAATGCATCAAGATGAAAGAGACCAAGTGAATAAAATGAACAGCAGTAACAAATGGTCAACTGATAAAGCAAGGATCAAAATTTAAACAAAGGTGAGTTCAGTAATTGAAGTAAAGAGAGAGAAAAGAAACCGACCTCACAATTGAGAAAAAGTTGTTAAACATTTCCAGAACTAAATCACTGCAGTCAATATCCAGCATTATCACAAAACATTTACATCGAGCAACAGTCTCTAATATTTTAACCCTCCTCGAAAAAAAGGGGCACGCAGTATCACCCAGCTCCTTAAAAGTTCCAACAACAACTTCAAAAAATCCCTGAAATTTAAATTAAAAATACAAAAATCAAGTTGCAGAAAGCAGAGGAGGATAAACAATAATTCTGCCACTTAGGTAGAGGAAAGCAAACTAAACACACTCGTGCTTAAAAACTTTTACCCTAAGATATTTATCTTCAAAGGGTGGTTCAGGTGCCAAGATCCGAAAAATTTCACTGACACATATGACCACAAAGAGTCTAACTTCTTTATCATTTTTTCGAATCAGGCCATGCTTAAGGATAGATTTCCTCAGAGGCTTTGTGGCAATTTCTAGCTCCTTTAGAGCCTTTTGCTTTTTGGAAGCTTCCAGTGTTACAGGCTGTTCAATTTCTGACAAAACACTGACAGCTTGCTGCAAAAGAAAATTCTATAAGCATAGATAACTAGAAAAATAATTACATCACAAGTTGCTACCAAAAGAATTTCAACTCACCTTATAGACATCATAAAAACATCTCTATCAAGAATACCCATTAGTAATGTGCAGCATGAAAACTAAACTCCTAAAAACAATATATGGTTACAAATTCATTACATTCAGCTTAAAGGAATACTGAATCCCAGTCCACTCCAAGCGCAATAACTGATTACATATACACATACCACATCTATTTTCATCGTCTATCAAACCAACACCATTACAATACATAGGCGGTAGAAATTAATTGAATCTATTTATGGCTTACATGATAAGCGGTAGCCACCAAAGATTGTCACTCCACTCATTTAATCAGCGAGTCTATAGCATTTTCACAATTGTAAACCGCATGTGAGGAAAAAATTGGATTGAATTTTTTTTTTTTTTTTTCTGTATTTGCACGGTAACAACTACTTCGGATTAAACCACTCTAAATTTATTAACCCGCAACTACAAATTAACAAGTCACGAAGCTTAGTTACTCCAAAATTATAACAAAACTGAATTGAATTTTACGCATGTTTTATGTACATATAAAAATACACAATAACCAATATGAGGAAGAATGGCTCACTTTGAGCAATTTGAGAAATACGCTCTTGTTGAAGCGAGTAAGTTGAACTAGTTCGGTACCGATTTCGGAGATGAGTTGCAACGGTGACTCGGCCATTCGATTCTTTTGCAATGAAGAAACGAAGAAACCCTATTTTAAATTTAAGGTTAGTGGTTAAGCATTTACTGATTTCAGTGGAGAGTGAGGGGGTTCTGGGAGTGGTTTGTCGTGTTGTGTTTGAAATTTGCAAGGAAAGTGTGAGAGCAGAGAAATGAGTGAAGGGAGATTTGAGAAAGAGAGAAAGTGCTTTAAGCGGGCAGGATCCCGCCTTTTGTGCGCGTGTTCACGCGCCTGATGAGGTTGGGGTGCTTAAAAGTTTAAAATACACGCCATCCTCAAGTGATGGTTACATTTAATCCAACAGTTTTAGGATGGTGACGTTTACTTCCTTACCGTCTAAATCTGTTAGAATCATGTCAAAATACTGAAATACCCTTAATCATCTTTTTATCCTATTATTACAATAAAAATAATAATAAAACAAAAAATAAAAGATTAATCGTAAATTATTGCTCTTAGTTCGGCACCATACCTAACTTTCAGAGATTGGTGAAATGAAGAAGATGAAAGGTAAATGAGTTGATGTTTATATGTGGCACTTATTCATTAACAATCAACTTTATCTTTCACTAATTAGTTTTTATTTAAAAATTTGAGGTCAAATTCACTTTCATTGGTCCTCAAGAATTAAAATGTTCATAACTCGATGCTTTAATATGTTGTTTGCTAAAGTCCATTCTTCAAATGATTCAAATACCATAATGTAAAGATGGTGGTCTATAATATGTTAATTTATGGTTTTTGTTCACCAAGGCTTCAATCGTCAACTTTTTTATTGTCTCAGGTCATGAACTTCTGTGACCTTCGAACATTAGACAAGATTTAACTCTTTCTTTTTTTTTTTTTTTTTTTGGTGGTAATTGAGGTATTTAGGCCAACTTACGCGTATTTCAACTAATCTTTAAAATTCATTTAACACCTTATAAGCCCCAAGGATCAAGTAAGTCACAATGTTATTATGGTTGATGATCTCAATGTTTGAAGCCAATAACTCAAGGAAGAGAGAAAACATCCTTGACCTTCAGACCAACCCTTTAGGGTTGTCTTATCACTTTGCATATTCCTATATTTGATAAACAGATGATTAAATATAATTATTACAACCCGTTTTATTCAAAGGCACCCCTTCTCCCAAAGTGATGGGGTTATTTTACTAAGTTTCCTAAAAAGAGGCGTCGCATCCTCTTAAGTATTCTCTACATATATGATAGAGTCAAAGAGCTTGTAGAACGTCAGCTCAGAAGACTAAGGAAGAAACCCAAAGCATTGGAAGACTATGTGTAGTCTCAACTAAAGAGAAATAAGATATTAGAACTAAGTTGAGTTTGTTAACCATAGTTCAAACAAATTACCTATATTCAGTTAGAGATAACTGAAGTTAGTTTTGATATGGATATATAACTGATTGTAATTGTAATAAGAGGGGAATAAAAAAGATAACTAGTTTGTCTTTCAATTTTTCTCTTCTCTCTACTCATCTTCTTGGAGACTGACTATCTCGAACCAAGTCAACACCTTTTGTCTATCAATTTGGTGCTTTCGTTGATTTAATGGCGGACGAAACTAGAGCAACTCGTGTCGCCAGATTGGAAGATGTCGTTGCGACTTTACGACGTGATTTTGGAGTTCACAATGACCTTCAAGATCAACGCATAACGCAGATTGCGAATCAGACTCAACTTATCGCAGAGTTACAGGAAACTCTTCAGGATATTGCCAAAAGAATTACTGAAATTGAAGAGAGCTTCAGACACAAAGAAACACCAGTTCGTCATCATGAGCATCAATTTCATAATTCGAGTCACGGACAACAGGATACCCAACCTCGGATGCGATCGATCAGGGTGGAGGTTCCAAGATTCAATGGGGCAAATGCTTCAGGATGGTTGATGAAAATTCAGAATTTCTTCGACTTTCACCACACTCCAGTACATCAAAGATTGTCTATTGCTTCTTTTCATTTAGAAGGAGAGGCATTAGAACATTATCAATGGTTGCATAAAAATCATCTACTAAGGGATTGGCAAGATTTTATGAAGTCAATTGAGCACAGATTTGGGGATTCTCAGTATGAAGATGCTTTTGGCAAATTGACCAAGCTAACACAGACTGGGACGGTAAGGGAATATCGTAGTCAGTTTGAGAAACTCACTACAAAAGTAGAGGGTGTACCAAAGATAGCCTTAATTAGCTGTTGGGTGGTTGGGTTAAAAACACACATAAAGACTGAGGTACAGATCCAAGTTCCTTATTCCTTGGTCCAAGCCATGCATTTGGCTAGGATGCAAGAGGAGAAGTTTGAAGAACAGAGAGTGGCGTACAAATCTTGGAATGAGAAAGCCTCAACTTACAGGAGTAATACTTTTGGGAATAGGAATTTGCCACCACTACTTCCATCACCCAGTACTAAAGTAGCCCCTGATGATGCTTCAAAATCCTCTTCTTTTCCTGTCAAAAGACTAACTCCAAGTGAGATTTTGGTAAAAAGGGAAAAAGGGCTTTGCTATAATTGTGATGAAAAATTTCATAAGGGTCATAGGTGCAAGGGAAGAGTGTTTTTGTTGTTATTAACTGATGAGGAAGATAAAGACTCTATGTCTAGGGACGAAGAAATCACTACTGGAGAATTAGCTATTACAGAGGAGGTTATTGATATTCCAGCCATTAGTCTACATGCATTGGCGGGTCAACACTATCCAAGAACTTTGAGAATGATTGGGGTTATACAAGGCATGAATGTACAAGTCTTGATCGATGGTGGAAGTACTCATAACTTCATCCAAGAAAGGGTAGCAAGGTACTTGAATATTCCTATCATGCCTTCTAAGCACTTCAAGGTCTTGATTGGCAATGGTGATACCTTAGAGTGTGAAGGTTATTGTCCTCAATTATCGCTGAAGTTAAATAATCAAGAATTCCTAGTTGACTTCTATGTTCTGAATTTGGGAGGTGCGGATGCTGTTTTGGGGGTCCAATGGCTTGAGCTTCTTGGAAGAGTCATCATGGACTACAAGGAATTGTGCATGGAGTTTCAATGGCATGGGAAGACTGTGAAGTTACAAGGAGAACCCCTACTGCAATGTCAGCCGATTCAAATGTCCCAGTTGAGGAAACTAACCCAGACTGATGGAGTGGCAAGTTATTTTCATCTCTGTGCTTTACCTCCTCCGATTCAAGAAACCAATGTAAGTACTCTTAATAAAGATCTTTCTAAACTCTTGGATGATTTTGCTGTGGTTTTTTCAGAACCAAAAGAATTACCCCCATTTAGAGAAATTGACCATCACATACACTTAGCCCCATCAACTAAACCCATTAATGTGAAACCATATCGTTACCCTTACTTTCAAAAAACAGAGATTGAAAAGCTAGTTTCAGAAATGTTACGCACTGGTGTAATTAGGCCGAGTCAGAGTTCATATTCATCTCCAGTTCTTTTAGTTAAGAAAAAGGATGGGACTTGGCGCTTTTGTGTGGACTATAGGGCTTTGAACCAAGCTACAATAAAAGATAAATTCCCCATACCCACTGTTGATGAGTTATTAGATGAGCTCCAAGGAGCTATTGTGTTTTCCAAACTAGATTTAAGGGCTGGTTATCACCAAATTCGTGTGAACCCCAATGATGTCCATAAAACTGCTTTCAGGACACATGATGGACACAGAGAGAAACATCCTTGACCTTCAGACCAACCCTTTAGGGTGTCTTATCACTTTGCTATTCCTATATTTGATAAACAGATGATTATATAATTATTACAACCGTTTTATTCAAAGGCACCCTTCTCCAAAGTGATGGGGTTATTTTACTAAGTTTCCAACTTATTAAGAAATCAAGGAATTAATACAATTAAGCTGGTTCTAAATGTCAAATTCTGGGTACGCCCAAGTCTAATGCATCAAGATGAAAGAGACCAAGTGAATAAAATGAACAGCAGTAACAAATGGTCAACTGATAAAGCAAGGATCAAAATTTAAACAAAGGTGAGTTCAGTAATTGAAGAAAAGAGAGAGAAAAGAAACCGACCTCACAATTGAGAAAAAGTTGTTAAACATTTCCAGAACTAAATCACTGCAGTCAATATCCAGCATTATCACAAAACATTTACATCGAGCAACAGTCTCTAATATTTTAACCCTCCTCGAAAAAAAGGGGCACGCAGTATCACCCAGCTCCTTAAAAGTTCCAACAACAACTTCAAAAAATCCCTGAAATTTAAATTAAAAATACAAAAATCAAGTTGCAGAAAGCAGAGGAGGATAAACAATAATTCTGCCACTTAGGTAGAGGAAAGCAAACTAAACACACTCGTGCTTAAAAACTTTTACCCTAAGATATTTATCTTCAAAGGGTGGTTCAGGTGCCAAGATCCGAAAAATTTCACTGACACATATGACCACAAAGAGTCTAACTTCTTTATCATTTTTTCGAATCAGGCCATGCTTAAGGATAGATTTCCTCAGAGGCTTTGTGGCAATTTCTAGCTCCTTTAGAGCCTTTTGCTTTTTGGAAGCTTCCAGTGTTACAGGCTGTTCAATTTCTGACAAAACACTGACAGCTTGCTGCAAAAGAAAATTCTATAAGCATAGATAACTAGAAAAATAATTACATCACAAGTTGCTACCAAAAGAATTTCAACTCACCTTATAGACATCATAAAAACATCTCTATCAAGAATACCCATTAGTAATGTGCAGCATGAAAACTAAACTCCTAAAAACAATATATGGTTACAAATTCATTACATTCAGCTTAAAGGAATACTGAATCCCAGTCCACTCCAAGCGCAATAACTGATTACATATACACATACCACATCTATTTTCATCGTCTATCAAACCAACACCATTACAATACATAGGCGGTAGAAATTAATTGAATCTATTTATGGCTTACATGATAAGCGGTAGCCACCAAAGATTGTCACTCCACTCATTTAATCAGCGAGTCTATAGCATTTTCACAATTGTAAACCGCATGTGAGGAAAAAATTGGATTGAATTTTTTTTTTTTTTTTTCTGTATTTGCACGGTAACAACTACTTCGGATTAAACCACTCTAAATTTATTAACCCGCAACTACAAATTAACAAGTCACGAAGCTTAGTTACTCCAAAATTATAACAAAACTGAATTGAATTTTACGCATGTTTTATGTACATATAAAAATACACAATAACCAATATGAGGAAGAATGGCTCACTTTGAGCAATTTGAGAAATACGCTCTTGTTGAAGCGAGTAAGTTGAACTAGTTCGGTACCGATTTCGGAGATGAGTTGCAACGGTGACTCGGCCATTCGATTCTTTTGCAATGAAGAAACGAAGAAACCCTATTTTAAATTTAAGGTTAGTGGTTAAGCATTTACTGATTTCAGTGGAGAGTGAGGGGGTTCTGGGAGTGGTTTGTCGTGTTGTGTTTGAAATTTGCAAGGAAAGTGTGAGAGCAGAGAAATGAGTGAAGGGAGATTTGAGAAAGAGAGAAAGTGCTTTAAGCGGGCAGGATCCCGCCTTTTGTGCGCGTGTTCACGCGCCTGATGAGGTTGGGGTGCTTAAAAGTTTAAAATACACGCCATCCTCAAGTGATGGTTACATTTAATCCAACAGTTTTAGGATGGTGACGTTTACTTCCTTACCGTCTAAATCTGTTAGAATCATGTCAAAATACTGAAATACCCTTAATCATCTTTTTATCCTATTATTACAATAAAAATAATAATAAAACAAAAAATAAAAGATTAATCGTAAATTATTGCTCTTAGTTCGGCACCATACCTAACTTTCAGAAATTGGTGAAATGAAGAAGATGAAAGGTAAATGAGTTGATGTTTATATGTGGCACTTATTCATTAACAGTCAACTTTATCTTTCACTAATTAGTTTTTATTTAAAAATTGGAGGACAAATTCACTTTCATTGGTCCTCAAGAATTAAAATGTTCATAACTCAATGCTTTAATATGTTGTTTGCTAAAGTCCATTCTTCAAATGATTCAAATACCATAATGTAAAGAGGGTGATCTATAATATGTTAATTTATGGTTTTCGTTCACCAAGGCTTCAATCGTCAACTTTTTTATCGTCTTGGGTCATGAACTTCCGTGACCTTCGAACATTAGACAAGATTTAACTCTTATGTATTTGTATTTTTTTTTTTTTTTTTGTGGTAATTGGGGTGTTTAGATCAATTTGCGCATACCTCAACTAATGCCCAAAATTCATTTAACACTTTACAAGCTTATAAGATCAAATAAGTTACAATGTTATTATGATTGATGGTCCCAATATTTGAAGTCAATAACTCAAGGAGGAAAGAAAATATCCTTCATTGTCAAACCAACCCTTTAGGGTTGTCTTATCACTTTACATATTTGTATATTCGATAAACAGACGCTTAAATCTAACTATTACAATCTGTTTTGTTCAAAGGCACCCCTTCTCTAAAAGTGATGGAGTTATTTTACTAAGTTTCATAAAAAGAGGCATCGCATCCTCTAAGTATTCTCTACATATATTTCAGGATTTGATGTACATTAAATCATATTTTATACATAGAGATTGGTCCTCCACGAAACTGCTTACTTTTTAAAACAAACTTCTAAAAATATCGATATGGTTATTATAATTTTGAGGCGATCACAAAATAATAAGTTGCCGTAACTAATATGTATTCAGTATTTACTATTCAGTAACTGCATTAATGAAATTTTGTAATATGTATTTAGTATTTACATTTTAATGTTTTATAGTAATGGATCGGTGAAATTGAAGACAATTGCTTAACTAGGCCAACTCGTGAGAAATTGGGCTCCAAGCCCATGATCCATCCCCATCTCTTCACCTTCAGCAAAACAAATGCTCTTCTTCTTCCAAAAACCCCTTCACAAAGCCGAAGCCTCCAACCCTGAAGAATGGAGTTTGCAAACAAACTAGCAAATGCAGCGATCAAAGCCGTAAACAGCAACGCAGTAGTTAACACATGCCTGGGTGCGTCGTTCGCGGCCTTAACCGTGAGATCGATGTATCAGCAAAAAGACATAGAAGCTCTGGAATCGGAAAAGGAGTCACTGGTGAAGGCCAACAAAGCCATGAAAAAGACCATGTGGGATTGGAAACAAACACTCTTCGCCGAAGCCGCCTCCGAATCCGCTTTGATTCCACTTGAAAGACTCAAATCCATCTACGGCGAAGCCCCAGCACCCTCACCTGGTAATCTCTAATATAAATCTTGTAACTTGTTTATATTATGTTTGCATTTGTTAATTAATATTTATATGCAAAACTAGTAATGATTTTAGTAACGAAATTTGAATTCCAACACAAGATTACCGTAAGTAAAATGTTATTATTTTCACAATGTAATTGTTCAGGTAACATTATCAAACTATTACTCGATATAACATTTATGAATGTATCGAATCTGCAATTGAGCAGTATATAGTTTCTTTGATGGTTAACCACTGGCTGCCCTGTATCAGAAATAGCTGTGTTTAAATTCTTCTCTGGAAATGCTATGTATAGATTTTTATTAGGTGAAGAAAGCTTAATAACATATAACTAGTTTGCTTCCAGTAGGCTTAATGGGTGATGTGATTATTTGGTTCTGTGATTGTTGATCCTTTCGTGGCTTGTTTTCACTGTAATTCATTTGAATCTCTTTTGTTGTGCCAGGAGGAGGTTTGAATGAAGATGCAAAATCTTCTGCAACCGAATTTGTGGTCTGAAGTTATGTTACTAATTTTTGTGAAGGGACATTGGAGCTGTCCCTCCAAAGCTGAGAGGAAATAGAATAGATCATCTTTAAGGAAGAAATGTAAGATTTTTTTACCTAAGAATTCTTAATGTTACAACAAATGTTAAACCAATGCCAATTAATTTCTTGGTGATATAGTAATGTGATTGTTTTATCCTTCTCTAGCTTCAGTGCGAATGCCAAATAATGAAATAGATTGATACAGCGTTTATGATGGTAATATTGTGTACAACAGGGGAAACTTTGACAGTTGACTCTGTGGGCATTTGCATTCACCGTTTTAGACTTGTTCATTGAGTTATGCACCTTCTAAATTAAAAGCGTGTTGACTGTTGATAGTTGAGAGTCTAAATGGATGGCACCATCTTTGCTTGACTCTACCCAACATGACTAGTCAACTTCAATTAGACCTTCATTAGATTCAACCTTTTTAATCTGTGTTCAATATGGCAATTTTAAAAAGTTAATTATGCAAACATTTATACTGGAATGTAACCAATATAAATCCCTGTAAATGCTGATTTGATATGCGGTTAATATGTAACTCTTTGTTTTCAAACTAGAACTTTTAAATCAAGTATAAAGATAACAAAACCAAAAATCGTTTTTGTTATTTTTTGGTGAGATTATATTATGTATGGACTTCAACCTATTCTAGACAGCCCTCATGGGCTGTTCTCTAGTTTATAATGAATGGCTGGTTGAATATGTTTAATTGCTAGATTCATTTCTTTCTTCATATTGAGCTATTTCAAAAGAAAAATGCTTGAACACCGACGTTTTACACCGAATTTTTAAACTAAACAACGTATCTATTGAATCAGATGAGCTACGTATCACGTTAACAAATATTTAACGAATGAATAGTATTGTTATTGGATAGTTGTTCATTTGAAATGGACTCTCGTTCATATTATATGAACTGTCGTTCACCTAGAATGGGTGCCCTTCATAATTTAAAATTTTTTAATTTATTTAATGCATTAATTGTGATTAGTTAGTGTTGAATAAGGGCAAGCAAAGCAGGACTAGAGCATTAATTGTATCACTTTGACCTATTGAGTTAACATTGAATAAGAGCGGGCACAAGTAGGACTGGAGCTGAATATTGTGGTAATAGTGTAATATAAAATTAAAAACTGTATTGAATTGAGGAAGAGGACAAATAAAAATAGATTATTGAATGGAGCAAGAGGATAAATAAAGATGGACGTCTGTCTATAGTAAATGAACAACTGTTCATATAATATGAGCAGAAGTCCATTAAATATAAGTAGGTGTCCATAAATATTGGATGACATCATTCACGAAAGACTCTAGTGTAGTCACGTCTGATTGGTTGTCATGTCCTTCGATACAAAAATTCGATGTAAAACTTCAGTGTCCCATTACTCATTTCAAAATCTAAATAGCCATGATTTATATCTGCTGCTTTGAGTTGACAAAATGACTGTTAATTCAAGTTCACGTTCTAATATACCCATCTTCCATTGTCATATCAACATTGCATTGAAAGAGTAGTAGAAAATTGAACAAGTTGTTTTCATTTTTAGTTTAGATGTTGAATTCAAGATTAATGTCCCCCAATTTTTTTTATGTCTGGTCATTTTCCACTCTAGATCATCTATTGAAAATTTCACTTGGATTTTTAGTGCTATATTTCATGCCACATTCTCTTAAATATGAGTTCAACAAAGAATAACATTTTAAAAAACAAAAAAAGTGCTTTTCACTCTATGCTTTGTGTATTATTTACTTGTATAAAATAACCCAAAAGTGCCTAAGTTGATTTTAGTCTTGCAAGCAATAAGTTTTTGTTTGGGTGAGTAAGACAAAGTGACCCATAAAATGAACAAGTTGCTTTCATTACCTGTTTATAAATCAATGGTGCAGGCACATGGATTGCGATGTGATGTACTGTGTAGTGTTTGGCTGTAATCCATGTGTACCCGACCTTCTTTCGATTATCCAATGTGCCATAATATATAGATAGAAAGAGGGAAATTAAATTATGGAGTTATCTACCATTACCAAATAAACTATGTGGCCAGTGGGTAATGAAATTTAAAATCCAACCAATGCTTTTGTTGTCACCCCGTACTTGGTCTGTAAAATGTTCATTGCCTTTTGGGATTGTTATTTTTTAGTTCATAATATAAAAATGCCCTACTATGACCTTTTTTTTTTTCTTTATGACCGACGGTGTTCGGACCAGTTTACGTATAACTATCAATCGGATAAGAGCTCCAATAGTTATTCCTATTAACAACCAATGAGAGATTCAGACTTAGAAATTTTTAAGTAATACACTCAAAAGTTTTTATCAAACTATTCTACCATCCAAAGTTAGTTCCCTATCATGACTTTCAGTCCAATGATAGTACGTATGATTGTTGGTAAAATATACTTCAATAAAAAAGAAAAAAAGTAATGGTAGATCAATGGACTTAGACTATACCTTATAATTTTCGTATAATTGTAGTAATACACTAATGTAATTATAATATTATTCCCAAATTAGATCATTATTATTGCAGTTGTGGAAATCATATGGTATCTCGTATGGGGCATTTAACAAATGGCATTAAAGATCCCATCATTAATGTGGAATCAAAGTTAGTTTTTGAATTTTTTGTGACGGTAAACCTAACAGAGACCAATTTCAAATGAAATTAGGCATCAATTTTAGTATTACTAACGTGGGCAGCTATTAATGCCACAAATTTGGGATTGGATCAATGGTTTCATACTAGTATTTGTATCCAATGGCACATTTTTTAATTTTTAGGGCATTTATTAATATTTTTAATTATTTATCAAATTTTAAAACAAAATTGAGGTTTAATATCAAAATCAATCAATCATCTCATCTCTAGTCGGAGTGCATTTTACAAGTGTTTTCTTACAAAAAATGATTTACAGTGAAAGCATAATTTATGACAACAACGTTTTTCAAGCTTGTCCAGGAAATAGTATACGTATCAAATTATTAAAGTATTCTTTTGATTTAAAATTGTCTTATCTTAACTAATAATTTATTTATATGGGTAATCTGAGCACGAGTAAAGTATTATTTTTATTTAAAATGGTCTTATCTTAACTAATAATTTATTTATATGGGTAATCTGAGCATGAGGAGAATCCCCACGAGTTAGGAAAAAAGCACATCTATTTTTCAATGGTTTAGCAGCTACCCCATGTGCCCTGTTTGTCCCAACACATGAAATAGTCTAAAATAACCTATGGCTTCTGCACCACTCTTTCACCTTTTTTTTTTTTTTTTTTTAATCGGAGTGTTCGGATCAGTTTACGCATACCTCGATTAATTTGTAGAGTTCATTAAATACTTGAGGAACCTAATATTTCAGGTAAGTCACATATTATATTTGTGGTAGGTGACTCCAATGTTCACAAACTTTTTTAACTGTCACACCAATCCCTAGGGGCGGATCCAGCCCATGGCCCACCCTAAATTTATTTTTTTTAAATATTAATATACATAATTTTTAGATTTCGGCCCACTCTAACAAAAATATTAATATGTAATTAGTTTTTATTTTGGTCTATCCTACAAAATTTGTTTGGATCCGCCGCTGCCTATCCCTGTAGGATTAACAGTTTTATCATTTTAAGCTTAACTTACTGCGTACATTATCATATCAGATGTTTACTGCATATTTTTTTATTTTATTTTTTTGCTTCAATTCAGTGTCATGCATTCTACGTTTTGATTTATGGAAGGAAGGTTACGCAAGAAAAAATATTTATATACGTGAGAGGCACAAAAGTCTATGTTAATTATATTATGGAAAACATTGATTTAAAACTGATTTATCAAAAACAAATAATTCTTTTATCTTAATGGAAAATACCTTCTTCAATTATTAAGAAAAAAGTCAAAAAACAGTTTCAACAATCATGCTCCACATATATTAACATAAAACGTTTTTATTTCTTTTTAAAAATTATATTATAAGCCTATCCTTTAAATTGCAACTACTGAATTGATTTAAATTTCTCTAAACAGTTTATTTTTTTGTGTAAATAAATGTTAAAAGGTTTTGTCTTTAAGTGCATCAGTGGGAAAAGCATATTTTTGGCATATTATTTTGTGCTAAATGGGAGACTAAACTGTACATAGCTTCTTCCAAGAAGCTTCAGAGTAATTGTACTAAAAATGATTACTCTTTCTATACTGTTAATTACTTTAACGCACAGTTAAATATTTTTTGATTTTAAAAAAAAAAAAAAAGGCTTCAAAAGCAACCCTTCATTCACGGTTTACCTAACTCTTTCTTAATAGAGAGTTGAAAAGTCATCTTAATATCATTCATCTATTTAAATAGACCATTAAGGACACTATTTAAACCCTTCACCAAATATAACTACATACATTTAATTTTATATATTATCATCATCTCTAATAAACCCAACTAATAAAACCTATACAAAATCTCTACTTTAATGGGGAGAAGATAAAACATAACTGATGACACCAATAAAAAAAACCTTCCGATTCCGATTCTGAATCTGGCTACCATGATACATGGTACAGACAGAACTAACGCTCACAGCGATGAGTTTTGTACACTCTTATAAAATTAGGCCGGTCCATACTGACCTTTCCCAGCCATCGGATTTGTAGAAAATTCTAGTCAACGATCAATGTTATAAAATTGCTACATTCATGAATGGCTGCGATTTATCTGACCCCATCCTTCCCAAATACCTCGGAGAAGCAGAATTTTCCTCTCCTCTTCAGGGGTCCCATTTAATTATTTATGCACCCAATTAAAAATAAAAATAAAAATTTGTTAACGTCCTTGGGTTAAACTATAAACATTTCTGGTTGCCCTTTCAATCCATGATATATGTCTTCAATCTAATAAATTTAATATGAGTGGAATTATAATAATAATAAGATTAAAATTATTTATAGGAAAGAAATGCTTTTGGAAACGTTTCTAACGATGTAAAGTCTTAATCCGGCCCAAGCCAAGCGCGGCCTTGATTTGATTTAACTCACAAACAAAAAGCTACTGTTTGTTAAACGTAATTGTCCAAAACACAGAGACAGAGGGGGACTTTTGGATTTGGAATTGAGGGGAGACTAACAACAAACAAATACAAATCACGTGGAAGAAGGCGGTTTGCCTAAACCGTTACAGTGGAGCCAGCCCCTCTTTAATTCTTCTTTGCGTATTTAATTAGGGTTTCTAATTTTTTTTCGTAAATAGAAATCAGTGTCAATTATTCTAATTAAGTTAAATTAATTAATTAAAATTCACCTTCGTTTAATATCTATTTATATATTCGTCTCTCTATTTACACAATTGTTCACTCTTCTGTCTCCCTCTTGCTTATTAAGTTATTATTGGCAGCAGCTTTGCCTGTAGCTGCTCCTACTTACATTTACCCTGATATTTTGATTTCTGGGTTGATCTGGTTTCTGCGTTTTGAGTTTGAGAGAGGTATGGAGGAGGGTTTGTGTCAGTGGAGTATGTTCAGATCTCTGTCGGCCATTCTTCAATGGTGGGCTTTCAACGTTACCGTGATTATCATGAACAAGTGGATCTTTCAGGTTTGTTTTTCCGTCTCTCTATGTGTAATTTTGTGTGAGTTCTTTTAAATTGGGAGGCGCCGGCTCAACCGAGTCGGTTTAATTTTCTTCAGGTGTGGAGTTTGCTTCGTGCGTCAGATTGATTTTGCTGTAATTCTCAATTCCCAAGTTTTATCTTGTTATTGTACGGTGATCTTGATTTTTTTTTTAGGGGTTAGCTTAATTTTTGGTGTGTGTTGATCATCATGTTTGAGTTCCTTTTTTTGTTGGCTTTGATTTCTAAGTTTGGTAATTGATCTAAGGTTGTGTTTGGCTGCACGGAATTTGAATTCATTGGGATTGGCTGTTATGATTCTCTTGTTTTTTTTTTTTTTTTGTTTTTTTTATTTTAAATGAGGGATGGCGTTTCCATTTCCTCTCAATTTATGACGCCAAAGCATTAACTGCATGCGACCAAACACAGTCTGTCTGTTTGGATCCATAGAGGAAAATATTGTTTCCTTTCTATTGCTGCTTTGAGTTCTTGTAGGTATGTTATCAAAGCTCATTAATCTACTGAAAAACCATGAAACATCAGTTGATCCGTTTGTAGTTAATTTTTTTTTTTTTTTTTTTTTATTGTTGAATTTCTTTCACATTTGCACATGGGATCTTCTCCCGAAAATCACTTTTCTGTATATGGAAGATAACAGCTTATGGATAGGCTGTTTATTTTGTTCGCTTATGAGCAATTTATCTTCGAGAGAATTTCAGATCTAAACTATAGCTTAAAAATGTTGATAGTTAGGGAAGGGGATTGCTTATTATGTGTAAAATTTGTTGGACCTGCGTTAATTTGACGATATCTTTTTTCTCCATTTGGTTCTTTTACAGAAATTGGACTTCAAATTTCCTCTAACAGTGTCATGTGTTCACTTCATATGCTCGTCCATTGGAGCATATACAGTAATCAAGGTGCTGAAACTTAAACCCTTGATAACAGTTGACCCTGAAGATAGATGGAGAAGGATATTTCCCATGTCATTTGTGTTTTGTATCAACATTGTGCTTGGGAATGTGAGTTTACGCTACATTCCGGTTTCTTTTATGCAGACAATTAAGTCGTTCACTCCGGCAACTACAGGTCTGATTCTAAAATTGGTATCATGAGTTATTATCTTTCTTCTATGCATTCTAGTAAATTTCATGTGATTGCTTAGTAATAGTTCCTTATCTGTTGGATTTTGCAGTTGTTTTGCAGTGGATGGTTTGGAGAAAGTACTTTGACTGGCGAATCTGGGCTTCTTTGGTACCCATAGTTGGAGGAATACTTCTCACATCCGTCACAGAGCTGAGTTTTAATATGTTTGGATTTTGTGCTGCATTATTTGGATGTTTGGCTACATCTACAAAGACTATCCTTGCAGAGTCTCTGCTTCATGGATACAAGTTTGACAGGTAGTGCCTTTATCTTCTGCTTTCATAAAAGTTTGTTCCTTTTCATTCTTCTATTTTCTTTGCTGCCTGGGAGAAGCCTCCCTTGAATTTTTTCATTTTGTTTAGATCAAGTTTTTCTAGCCCCTATTATTTTTATCAGACTGTATTATTGTTTGTGTGATCGTGGACTGTATCATCTGCCGAATATTCACTATTAAATATAGGTACACTTAGGAGTAAGTTTAATGAAGATGAGGGAAGCCAATTTTAATCTGGAGGAAATTTAAAATAGGTAGAATTAGGAGGAAGTATAATGAAATAAAGAATTTTTAAAATATAGCCTTATTTGTGTAGAAATCATACATCTTTGTTTCCGGTGCTTGCTTAGATTCTGTTTGATACTTAAGACAGCTATGCAATTGCCGATTATTGGAAATGGTTATCTGAGATCATTCTATTTTGGAATTGTGCTTGCGTAAAGCTCTCTGTCATGTTTATCATTGAACAATTTATACTGATTTCTTTTATTCCTTCTCTTTTTTTTGAACCACTTAAGCATAAACACAGTGTACTACATGGCACCATTTGCTACTATGATCTTGGGAATTCCAGCATTGTTACTTGAAGGTAATGGGGTTTTGGATTGGCTTAACGCCCACCCAGCACCTTGGTCTTCTCTCCTCATAATTTTCAGCTCTGGGGTGTTGGCATTCTGTCTTAATTTCTCCATCTTTTACGTGATTCACTCCACAACTGCCGTCACATTTAATGTTGCCGGAAATCTTAAGGTGAGATGAATGGGAAGGATGTGATCCTTCATAGTTTTTGATTTACTGATTCATTGCTTAATAAGTATAACCTCTCAGTAATTGTGGGGTAGCGTTTCTGATTACTTTAGTTCTAAAAAATTATCCTACCCCGTAGGTAGGCATACATATAAATCACCATTAATAAGTTTCATTTCCCAAACTTGCTTATATTCCTTGTTTACCTGCAGAATTCTTTAATCTTTCAGCATGTTTCTAACTATTCTTCACATTGCATTGACTTTCTTGCTTTCTTTATTTCCCTACATTATTCTATTGAAACCTATAAGTTGTGGGATAGCATTAAGTACATGTGCAGATGTGCTTGTAGTATGATGCAAACAAGATTTAATGTTGTGATAGCTGATTATGATGTTTCACACTGAGTATTTCTTAATTCTGTAATGCTTATTTCTGTACAGGTTGCAGTTGCCGTCTTGATTTCCTGGTTGATATTCAGGAATCCGATATCAGGTTTGAATGCTGTTGGATGTGCTATTACGCTTGTTGGATGTACGTTCTATGGATATGTGAGACACTTGATTGCTCAGCAGCCACCACCCGGAACACCACGTACACCCCGAACGCCAAGGAATAGGATGGAACTACTTCCCCTTGTAAATGATAAATTAGATGATAAGGTCTAGTTTTAAGAGGGCATACATGAGGTTCTCAGCTGATGGAAATGGGGTATTACATGACACAGAAAATTCAGAAAACCAAACACCACAGCTTTGTATGTTTGACCATACACCAGATCACCTGAGAATTTTTACTATATATTTTTTTCTTGCTCAGAAATAGAAAAAAAAAAAAAAAATGAGGTTCTTGAGATTTAATGTGCAAGAACTTCGCATTTGCCATTGCCGCCTCCAATTTTTCCGATGTCGTGAAAGTAGCAGGCTAATATTTTTATAACATAAGCTCAAGTTCAACCTCTCTATCAAATTGCAGCACCTGAAGGCCTAATGTCCAAGTTAAAGGAGAAAAGCTGAGGGCTGTTTCACTAAATGTGATGAATATGTGGAGCCTTGAGTTTTATTTGGTAGGAAGATAATAAATTGATTTCAATGTACTTTTTTTGCTTTTCTTAAATTATAAAAGAAAATTTAAATAATGATACATTTATTACAATTAACCAAAATAAAAACTAAGCATGAGATTATTGTGGTCTATAACAGGTTACTTTTTTTTATAGTTGATAAAATAATAAAATAAATTAATTATAGCCTTAATTAAGACTTACAAAAGGGAACAGAAATAAGAGAGGCAGAAAGTTTAGAAATAAATTTGAGCAAAAACAGTAAGTTCCAGAATAAGCATTTCTTGTCTGCATTTACACTAAATATTTAAGTATGAACACAATCCACTATGGATGGCAATGCGGCAGTTCGGGGCGGGGAGGCTCCTCCATTCTCCACCCTGTTTCCCAAATTATTTAAGCCGGGCGGGAATAAGGAATCCCCACATGGGACGGGAGCACGTTCCCCAAACCCACTCCATTCTCCAATTTATTTATATATAAATTATACAAATAATCTCTTAAAAATAAGTAGCATTATAATTAAGTAAATCGTTAGTATATAGTATTAGTGTTCTAAATAAAGATAAACATAACTTATTGTAGCAATATTACAAAGTAAGAATTTAAATAAATCATAACCAAAAAAATTACGAAAAAAAAAAAATTTCTAATGTGTCATGGCATTGTTTATTTTTCCGCTTCTTCTTGATTTCTCTTCCTCAGGAATCAGTAACTCTTCATTCCTATAAAATATTAAACAAAATAATATAAAATGCTGTCAATTTATTATAAAATTACATTTCTATGATAAAAAAATATTTTATATTTAATTTTGTAATGGAGAATGGAGAATGGAGCGGGTTCGAGGTGGGGAGTACTAAACTCATCCCCTATCCATTTTAACATGAGGAATTAATTTTCTCCTCAAACCCATCCCATCCCCGTGTAAACTCTCCCACCTCCGCCCCATTAGAAACGGTTCCTCACGGGTACCAAAACCCGTGGCCGTGGGGCATTTTGCCATCCCTGCCTTAAAAATGTTAGTTTCTATCTCAGTATCAAACCTTACTTAAAAAGCAATTTAAAAGAAAAAAAATATTATGTACTATTTTTTTTTTCCTAGAAAAAAAGTGCTTTTGTGCTTTTTAAAACATTTAAAATGGTGTTACTCAAACAACTCCTAACAATCTTAAATGCAATGCACGACAAAACCGCCTCGTTTTGAAGTATTAGTGTGTTAAACGATTTCCTTAACATTTTTCTTATCGAGTGATGCATTTCCTTCTGCCAACTCTTGTGGCTGAATTTAAAATGATACAGAAGACAAAAACTTCAATGTCAGTCCAAATCCTGAGATCATAACAGATTACTAAAATAAATTATAACTTGACACAACAAGATGCTGAGTTGGTTCCAATTTCTGAACTTAATAAATTATTGCTCTAACACTTTCAAAACAACATCGCAAGAAAGACAAATACTTAAGCATTAATTCTCTCCGACAGTCCCCTCTGTTGATGAAACATAGCCTTAATGTAAATATAAAGCAGTTTCCGCCATTTTACAATATTCGACTACTGTTACGCAAGCTTTCTCCAACACTCTATAATATCTCCTTTACCTATATCAATGGCCATCTAATTCAAATTCAAGTAATCGGTTTGCAGTTCAATGGAATAAATTTAATCTGGAGTACCTTTTCTCCTTCCTGTTTGAATGATTGCCAGTAACCAAAAGAAAATTAATAAATAAAAGCATAGTTCAAGACCATGCTTCAACATGGTATCTACCAGCCCTTTGCAAAGACTTAAGCCAGATTGCAGCAGAGTCCTTTGGAGCGCCACTTTCTTCCGATACTATTTCCTCAAAGGCTGACCAAACATCTGCGGGCATTTTGGTTGACGAGCCTGCAACATATATAGATGCCCCCTTGAGAAGCAAATTCCAAATCCTCTGACTATGTTCCAGCATCTTGTGCTGCACATAAACTTTCTTTGGTTGGTCTCTTGAGAAGGCAACATAAAACCCTCCATCCACTGCTTCTGAAAGTACCCCATTGCTTTGTGAATGAGACAACCAAAAATCTCTGTATAAGAAGTCATTCTTCTCGTTTCGGCAACCAAAGAAGAAGATAATTGGAGCAGTTGCACCAGTCAAAGTTTGAATGGCTCTTTCTTCCACAAATCCACGAAAGGGTGCACATCCAGTTCCAGGTCCAACAAGAATGAGGGGAACTGATGGTGCTGGACGTGGAAGACAACCCTTATGAAACCATGCTGGAATATATGTGCCTGTTTACAGCAGAATAAATTTTTGCACATCCATAGATAAGATGAATATTTGATTCACTGAAATAATCTTTAGATAAGATCAATTATTTTACTGTATCCATACCTTGTTGAGGATCAAGACCTGCAAGCCACGTTGAGCAGAGACCCACCCGCTTCCTCTTATAAGGTGTCATCCATGACACAACACTGACAGTCAAGTGCACTTGATTGGGGTGTGCCAAAAGGGAAGAAGAAATGGAGAAAGCCCTTGTTTTTAATGGAGGAACCAACTGCACCAGCCAATCAAATGGCATTTGCACTGACGGAAAATCCTCTAGTACCTACATTACAAGGAAAGGAACTCAAATACTGAAAAGGAGAAAGCATGCTGTCTGCAAAAGAAAAGAAAAACAACAATTCATAGGATTCTTTAGAGCATTCAGCAATACTAGAATAAGCTTAAATGTTCCATGTGAAGGATTTCCTCTGAAGCATTTAACAAAGGATCAACAAAACAACATTTGAAAAATCAATTTTCTATTTATCATGGAGAAGACTATCGGCACAGCAATTAATAATGCAAGGCAAGGCACAAAATGAAAAGTAGATACAAATCCTACAGCTTCAAAATCATTCAAAATAATTTTCTTCGTAATTCCTGCAATGATTGCTCACACTACATTACAACAAATTACACAAAAAGTCTTCATATCTGTGAAGAATCAGAACAAAAGATGCTTATAGATGAAAAAAAAAAAGGCAGGGAACAGCTAAAAGCATCAACTACATTCTCGACTTTACCTCCAAAACAGTTCTTCTTTCCTTCTGGTTGTATTTGTACAGATCATCTCTTCCTTCAGGTGAGGCAAAGTATTGAAGTCTTTCCTTTTCATGTTCAGCTGTTGCAAAAAAACTCATAACCTAGAAAAGAAATTCCTAGTATGCAAAATCAGTAGATGCAAACAGGCATTCAAAAGGCATGAATGAGAACAAATACATTTAGAATGAAGTCCAAAATATCAAGGATTCTTGCCTCAAAGAAATAGCGTCGAGGGGAAGCTGATGCAACATCCATAGTCAATTCCACAAAAGTTCTTAATTTTATTGGGATCTCTGTAGTAGGAAGATTATTATTTATCTCTCTATAATGAACCTGAAATAAGCATATGTCAAAATAAACAGGTTAGCACAGTGCAAAGCAACTTCACTCATTTTCTTTATACACATGACATCCAGAATACCACAAAGTTAGTCCATTAAGGAGGCAAAAGAGATATATAATCAAACTAGATGTGTATATACAGCCACATAGAGGGTGTATATGCTTGTCAATGTGCGAACAAATGCACTCATGTACATATACGAGTTTTGGCCATGCAATCGGACTGGTCACACACATGCATGCACATACATTTACAAGTATATATATTAGATTTGTAATGCACTGACTCTGTATGTGTAACATATCATGGCCAAGCAAAAATGGAAAAGCATATGCAGATGTTATGTATGTATCTGAAGAAGAAAGACACACAGACATGACAACTTGACAAATCCCACTTAGTTGCTGGAGGCATATAATATACATGTAGACTCTGTACCTGAGTAAACAGTCACTTACTGGCCAAACGACAACATGGAATAATCTCTTAGGGAATTTGCATGCAAACAAGAAAATATGAAGGCTGCTGAATGCATTGTAGATGGATGTCAATGGTAAAGACTTACTTCTACATTGAAGTATGATTAGTACAGTAGAATAGAAGACAGAACTTTTCATTACATGAAAATATGAATGCATGAATGAGATTCAAAATGTCAGGTACTTTTTTGTCCTTCCATAAAACATTTGCATGAAAGTTCATCACAGCAATTGCACGTATAACTGAAGCCAAAAGCTGAAACATGCATTTATACATATGTTGACCTGTCCTCACAAAAAAGAAAAAGAAAGAAAAAGGCACTCAAATAGGAAAGTACTATTTACGGTGATAAATGCTTCTGGATCTAAGTTGCAACACTGTATGAAAGCATTTACTGCAGCAGGATCCTGACAAGGGAGAACCTCAACAACATCACCAACTTCATATTCAATGACCTGAAAATATAGAATGAAGAATCAATTGCAAAGAAGAAACTGACATTTAATTTTATTTGTTCAACATTAAGCAGTATACAAAGGCTTGACCTAAAGGGCAAGCAGTAGGGAAATTAAATTGACCACATGGAAAACAACTGACCTCTGAAACAAATTCAAATTCAAAATGACGCACGTCCTTTCCGCACCCTTCTCTAGTCAATGGTTGATTTTTTACCTAAAGGATCAAAATTAAAGAATTCAAAAAGATATAAGAAAACTAATTTGGTTTGCCGATATTAAGAGAGAAGTGGACAAAGAGAGAGAGAGAGAGAGAGAGAGAGCAAACAGGTTTTAAATATATACATAATTCACACTTTCACATATATACAAAGATGTTCCTAACGCACAAGACTAGGTAATCAAGAAGAATAATACTCAAAATTAAGGTGTTACATAAAATATACCACAAATTCAGCAACAAAAAGCATCACACCATATATCTCACACCATATATCGGCTAACACAATTGAGAGTTGCTGGAATATGACAGCATAATGTTAAATAACCAAAATAGGTCATACTACAATACCATTTTAAGAAAGCAATCAGGCTTATTCTTGTAACTGGAGAATATTCCAGGAGACATGGAACGTGCGCTCTCAAGTTGTGTCTGGATACCTTTAAAATCTGTTATAAACAACAGGAGTTAGAAGTTAATAGTTACTCTTATGTAACTTAGAAATTAAAAAATGAATATAAACATTTTTCAAATCAAACAGCATTGCCCGAATTCAGAAAATAGCTTCACAGATATTGAAGAAAGGCCGTGAAGGAGAAAGTTAACAGTTAATCACAACTCTCCCCAACATAAAGTGGCAGTCATAACATGGTTTGACAGCTAAAGAGTCCAGTCATTTTTTTATTCACTTAAAATTAAAAATAAATGACAATCTGAGTGAAAAAAGGAAGAAGAAAATAAAATAATAAAAAAGAGAGTGACATGCCACAATTTTCAAGAATGTAGATGGATGAAAAATCGACACACAAAATTATGGTGGTAATTTGAATTGCCACCAAAAATAAAATGATGCACAATGCTAAAAAAACACAGCACCTCAAAATGTAATATCTTTTTGCTTTCTTCCAAACAACACATTCAAATAAAGAAACCACAATACTTGTCCTTACATGTGTAATGACTTTAAAACACACATCATTTACCAGAAACAATAAAAGAAACAGCCCACTCTCATAAGAATAGGTGACCAAATTATTATAAACAAGAAACAAATGACATGGTAAATAAAACATGAAGTTGGCAATCACCAAGAAAATCAAAAGATTTTAGTTACCTGAGGCAATAGATAATCGGGAATCTGCGTTACCAATGATATGATATGTGATGTGAACTTTTGGTTGTCCAATTAATTTTGTGTCCGGTATCACAAAATCTGGACCTTGTGGGAAGAATGAAGAATTAATTTGATGCAACCTACTCCACAAAGATTGCATCCACGGATCCAGAGCACCTTCATACCTATGGAAGTAAATAAACTTCTCAATTAATTTTTTTTCATCCCAAGACATTGCACTTAACTTGAGAGAACAATAATCAAAACACATTTTTGTTGCAGCAAATGTTAGAAACAAGAGAAGAACAACTGGAATTTATGACATATCCACTCCCTTTGCAAGTAAAATAATGCCGACCATATTCTAGGGACATGAAAGCTAAATAACAAAATATATATTTGAATTTATAGAGCAGCTTTTATGTCCACAATCATCTGATATCATCACTTCAATTTACATCAAAACATAAAATTCATTTTGATCTCTATTTCAGATAATTTATAAGAAACAATGTAATAGATCATAACCTCTGCATTTCAACTTCTATATGGTTACATTGGAATGCAATAGTGAGAAACAAGAAAATATTACACAGGTCCAAAATTTGCCCAGATCACATAAATGACTATCATCTCATTCAAAATTTAACCATTTTCAGCACAAAATTTAACATTTTATAAGTTTTCTAACACTTAATAGTCAGATATAGTAGTCAATCAAGAAACTATTTGTTGCTTCGTCCTGAAATCAGTCTTCATGTCATCATGTGCACTGTTCTATGCAACTTGAAGGGCATAATCATTACAGCAGAAAGGATAACTTCATGAAAATTGAAACAAATTTTTATATGTCGATAATTAATCATAAAGAGCATCCAATTCCATGCAATTATCATCATTAGGAACACACATAGGTTTCAATTCAATTGACCAATACAAGATGTATTCCCCACGTTCCAAATGACAAATCATATTGTCAAGCATCAGTGCCAGCTAATCATAATCACTCAATCCAAAACATGTAAAGTAAGCAGGAAAAAAAATTGAAAGATGAAAATAGTCATGAACCTTGTCAATATAGCAATATCTTTTTCTTTTAAAATAAATTATACCGTAACCATACCCAGAAGGGTGCTGATCATCTCCTAAACCTCTTTCAACAATAGCCATAGCCCCAAGATCTGAAAGTCTATTATCAAGCTTTTTTGCAACAAACTGCAGCCATCAACAAACAGATTTCTCAAAATTGAAATGTTATGTCAACCAAAGTTTCCAAATTGAATAGTACTATGTATCCCAATTTCTAGATCCCAAGAGATATGTTATTAATTGATTAGTGCCACATAGATGATGAAATAATATGAGAAAGGATATGACAATGATTGACTTGTGCCACATTACTTGGAAAATAAAAGTTGTGATAAAAACTTGGAATGTATAGCATCATAGAAATTTAAAACATTATGATTTATAAATCATAAAATGGAAAGCATAAAATCCAAGTATTTTTCACACAAAGGAAATCCAATTCAACAAACAATTAAACAGATTGAATAAAAAGATAACGAAGAATGTACAAACTATTGGTACAACAATGATTCCTCTCATTATGCAGATAATAGTGTGATATTCAGAAATCAGACATATATAGCCTTTCTTTGTTTCTTTAGGAAAAAGAACCTATTTTTGTATTATAAAATTAAAAAATGAGGAGAAACCAGAAACATATATCTATGCAAGTTTAATTATACGTATTCAAAATCCAACACAGGAAAAATACGGTAATTTCGTAACTATAAAAAGAATTCAAACAATTATTACATTGAATTTCTGGTAGCCAGAATCACCCAATCCAAATACAGCATAATGAACACCTTTAAGCCATTGCTTTTTCAAAGATTTCTGCAGAAGAAACCTCCAAAACACCTACACATATAATGGAAGGCATTGGTAAAGACAAAGGGCTAAACCCAACCATTTGGGTGACATGCAAAGGAAAAGGAAGTATACGAAAGTGGCATTCAGGATATAATTCTATCCAACCTTCATTGAATCCGGAGTATCTCCCTGGCCTGTGGTAGAAACAACAAAGATTGCAGTGTCCACTTGAGGCAAGGATCCCTAAGACAAAAGGAAATGAGTAATGTGTAAATATGAGAATTGATGAACTATCAGGCAATCATTAACCAAAAAGAAAAAGTAAAGTTTAAGGCACTCTGTTAATGGTAATTGTAAGAATCTAACTAGTAGATTATTTTATCATAAGGAACTATTACCTCTAACAACTTCTGTAAAGAGTCCTAAAAATTATGTAATGTGTGATGACGGGTACAAATTTCAATAATTGTTTTATATTAAACAACAATAAAACTTGTATAAAGTAAAAAAGCCTAAATAAATATAAAATATTAATCCCAACCTCTGTAAAATGGAACAATCTCATACCTCTCGAGTTTGATAATAATCTTATAGGACACCGGACATGTCTTTTCAGTAAGACTTGTGTAGAACTATCTCAGTATCATAGTTCTTTTGCTAATGGATGGAAAATTCGGTACATATTGTTGCATGCAGAGTGATTAGTTCAAAAGAGGCCAAAACGAAAACCTAATTCAATGAGCTGTTTAACAAAATATACATTGGACAGGCTTTGCTGTAGCTAAATGAAATGAAATGAAGTGAAGGTTCATGTAACAAAATACAAAAGAAAACTTGCGTTACTAGAGTTCTAGAAACAAAAGAGAAAGTAAAATAATCTTTCCCTAAATTTTTCTCAGCAATACCGAGAAATCTAAATTGAAAAATAGACTTACAGCATCAAAGTCGTCCATGGAACGAATAACAACGGAGCAGCCTCGGCGCTCGGCTTCACGGCCGACACGCTCGGCGGCGTCCAATGCGTTACCGGTTTGCGAGGCGTAGAGTATCAGCAGCTTATTTGACTTCTGATCCTCCATTCTTCGCTCCATAATTGAGGCAAAAATTAAATGCGAGTTAGCATAAGAACCAAAATCAAATTAAGGAGGGTTAATTACATTGTAATCCCTATTTGGTTCCCCATTATATTTACTCGTAAACTCGTCTCTGACAAACGTTAGCGGTTAGCCTAAAATAAACGGAGCGAGTACACATCTGACTTTTATCATTAACTAAAACTTTTTAAAATAGAAAACCGCCAAAAAATTTTAAAATTTACAAGAATAAAAAAAAATGTTTAATAGAAAGAAGAAATAAAAAACCAAGCCCGCAATTACAATATCAAAAAAAGTCTAGCACCGTAACTTCAAAACGAAACCCCTTCGTACCCCTTCAATCGTCAATCGTTGACAATCCAGCACTCTCCAACGTCGAGTCGAAGGCCCAGCCACTTTACAACTTCGCATCATCTCCGTCTGTTGAATAGATGAGTACCCCAAGCATAATTTTTTAAGCGAATCAGATTTTGGATTAAAGAAAATTGGTGAAATGTGTTGAGTTGGATGAAAGGAATGGTGAAAGGCTTCCAAGTTCACAGGCGCAGTAGCGGTTAGAGCATATCGAAAGGTCTCGCGGAATTAGGGGCCCTTTCCGAAGATCCTTCTCTTCCTCTGTGGCAATAGACGGTTGACAGACAAACTTGTTTGGGTAGTTTATACGGTGGTGAAAGTGGCTGTTTTGTGGTTTTAATTTTTGCGAGGAGGGTGGATGGTTTTCTAGGGGTAGTTTAGACTTTATATAAAAATATGTTTTAGATAACGGCTGTTAGTTTTAGAGATTAATTTGTGAGTGAAAAACGAGTCTTAGTCGTAAATTATTGAGGAGCTATATCCAAACTCCAAGGATTACAAAAGGCTTTTTTTTTTTTTTTTTTTTTTTTTTTTTTTTTTTTTTTCAAATAAGGAGGTACATGAAAAATGCGTTCTCATGATTAACATTTAGGAAAACTATCTGCTTCGGTTAGATTAGAGCCATTGGGCTAACGCCTATAGATATAGTTTGTATGGAAAGAATGTATAATAAATGATAAATTTGTAGCTGAAAATAATTCAGTAATACATTATATACAATATATATAAAATTTTTCATACAAAAGAAGATGTTACTGTCCTCTTATATTATTTTAACATCTAGAACTTAAAGACAACGTGATTTCTCTAGTTTTCAAAATGTTGGGAGAGTTTTTGTTGTTGTATAATGCTTAAGGGAGATTAATGTCATTAATTTAAAAAATGAATATAAAATTAATAAAACCATATATTTTTCTATTGTCTTGGCTAGCCTTCCATCCAAACTCATTTTGTATTATATGTTACAAAACTTGATCCTAGCCTTGCCTATCATCCCAAACTCATCTTGGAATGTGTCTTGTATCATTGATAAATAATAGGAATTGAAATTGATGAGATTATAGGCCAAATTAATGCCTTAGTTGTGCAAGAGTTCCTATTGAAAAGCCAAAAAGCTTAGGCTTTGCAAGAAGTGCACAAATAAGCTAATTCCCTCAAGGAAGTCTACAAACTTATCCATGGAGTGCTGAAGGTTCAAGATATTGCTCAAGCTTTTTTTATTGGCCCAAACCGTGAGCTTCATGTGTAGAGGGATCCCTTTGCCCCAAGTCCAATAAATGGGTGTTATTTGATTCAAATTGAGGGAAGTTAGTCAAGTCAATTAGAGGTTAGAGACATATATCTTTAATTTAAGAAAGTGGTTGTCCTTTACCATTAGATGGTCACGGCCTTATGTTTTGAATGTATGGTAGAGAATTAAGCCCTTAATTTTTATTTGTAACAACCTCTAATATCTTGTAAAGGGCAATTCCAATATTTGTAATGCCTGTATAAAGACAAGACTCTCATTTTATAAAGCCATGAATGGACACATGATGAATAACATTTCCATGGAGATTGAAACCTTCTTTGGCTCTTCCTTTATCCAAGTTCGGCCTAGACTTAGTGGTGGATTAATTCAAGCTGGTGGAGTTTCCTTTAAGCTTGAATGATTCTTGGCCATTTATTCTAGTAAGTTACCTAACCGTTGGTCCTTATTTCCCTCTTCTCGGTTTTGGCTTGTGTTTGAATTTCTTGCTTAACTTGTTGAGTTGTCTCGAGTTGGTTGTTCTTTTGGGATTGTTAGCATATTAGATATGTTGATTTTGAAAGAACAACATGCATGCATGAAGAGTGGTGGAAATAGAGAAGAAAGCATGAAAGGATGGATTAAAAAAAAAGGGTTTTTAAACAAAGCATAGAAAATAGATTATACCTACTCCTTTGCTTTGGATTGATGAAGATTAGCCTCAAAGTAATAAGACCTCCACACTTTAACACCACCTTGAGAGATTAGAGAGTGACCTTGGGTTTGAGAGAGAGTTTTAGTTTGTTTTTGAGTGAACAAGTGAAGAATGAACTAAAATGCAACCTTTTGCATTTATATATACTTGGGCAATTTTGCAATTATTTGTTTTTCACTTCCAAGCCCAATAAAATCTTATTTTAAAAGGGACCCCACGAATTTATTATGCTACCCTTTGAATAATCAATATTATTCAAGGGCCCATGTAAACTAAACTAGTTTACATTAACAACCCATAAATTTACCCTTTTACCCTTTAACTATTAAAAGGTTATTTTTGTTCATCTCATTAATCTTAATGTTTAAGATATAATAATTAAATATAATTAATTATTGCTTGACCATTTTAACCCTTAAAATGTCACAAACAATTTTCTATGTAACTATTACCATAGAAATCTCGTCATTACCCTTGGAAGGTGCTAGCCCTCTTTGGATAATCATTTCTCTCTCTCATCCTTCTCTAACTTCTCAAGGCTATTGGTGTGACCTGTAGGTCCACCATGGATTAGCCGTGAGCCAATTCTGGATGAATCCAGAAACCTATTCGGAGGCCCAACGACTATGGTAAACATCTAACAATGTGCCATAGTCCCTAAACCACGATGAAGAAATACTTCATCGAACCCATTTCAGTTCATACGTACCATGCAGGTAAAGTTCCTCCATTGAGATATCCTGATCGAGCACGGATTCATGGAATGTCAAAATCCTAAACTCGATCTTCTACCGAATCATCGATCAATATGTTCGGAACTCGTCATCACAAACTTGCTTTTGTATGACTAATAATAGACTCTGGCCAGAGATTCTGATTTCTGACATTTATCGACGTTCGTCTAACAACTCGAATTCGGATGGAGTCAGCGGTACTCCCGATCCTATATTTCCGAGTTAATGGATCCCCTCTTGACCATCGTTCGTTTTCATATATGAACAACGCATGGCCAAATAGGCTTTATCATTCGAAACATGATTAGTCTCGTACTTATACACCGTATGAACCATATGCATCCGTATCGAATTTGACTACAATGTCTCAGGTCAAAGGACTATATCGTGCACTGATATAACCAAATGATAAATCATTGACTACATGTTTTTCCAAGTGATTTGTCGTTATTCGGTCACGTTCAAAAAACAGTTCACCAACTGCTAATCCATACCAATGCCCCAGTGACATGACTATCATCGTCATCCGTACTTATATCAACTCATGATATCTTTCGGAAGCATTCGATATGCCTACTGTGCAATATAGTTGCCCAAATTATATTGCTTCTGTAGGGAACCCTTTTTGATAATTCATTTACCGATTAAATGAATTATCTGGACAATTCATATACATACTTTATTTTAAATGCATGACTGAACAGAGGAAGTAATTTATATATATGAATTGAAGAACTCTTTCTTCTATTATTTATGATATATAGATACAAGACAAAATGCTCTGAAACCGACAACACAAATGGTTTCTAGGGCATACAATAATATACACTAACAGATTTAAGTTGTTGAAAGGGATTATCTGTGCTTGAGGTTGCCTTGGTCGAATGGTTGCTAGGTGATGCTTGTGTGCTTTAGTGTTAGTTTGTTGTGTTCATGGATGGCATGAGATGAAGTAGGAATTGGTGACTTGATTTCACATCAATTTGGTATCAGAGCTACAGTTGTGGAGTGGAATTTGTGTTGAATGTTGATTGTGGAGATCAAAAGGTTGCTTGAATATGTTGAGTGCATGGTAGAATCGGCTATGACCTAATTTTCCATTTCCATTGCATTAAACTTTCTCTTTCCTCAAACACTTCACCAACTCCTAACTAACTACTTTACACCTCATCCAAACCTAAACAATTCCGTTCAAATCCAACTAAACCAATTCCATTTCAACTAAATTACCATTAAACCTTAACCAAACACTAAACACTTCCCATTTGCCTAATCACCCCTAATCCCAAATACTATTCACTGATTACTATTCACCTAAACTAAAATTACCCAAACTTCCCCTTTTTACCCTTACCACCTCAAATATCACTATTCCATACCCAAAATTTCACTGTTTACTCTTGGAGTTATTGTTCACAGTAGCTAAAAACTCCATTCTTCATGTCAAACAAGAGTGGATCTTCTTCTGCAATGCCCCCTTGCGAGGTTGCTTTTAACAAAACCCAAGAAGACTTTAAAAGACTTGAAGAAAGAGTGAACCAAATTGCCCAAATCATTATGACTCACATAGCCCTTCACACACCACCTACACACACCTCTCAAAACCAACCATCTCCCTATGAAACCAAACTACTTGTCCTTGAACAAGAAATACCTCCAAGAAGAATCACACCCCACATAAGATGTCTAGTCTATCAACCTCATTCCCATGAAGATGAAACTAGTCTTCAAAATGACTCTAATGATTTTGGTGTTGTTGTGAGAAGAAGGCGGATAAATGACAATGATGATAGGGGACTTGAGATTTATATACCCAAATTTGGAGGAAGTCTAGATCCTAATGACTTCAATGATTGGTTGAGTGAGATTGAAAGGGTGTTTGAGTTCAAAGGCTACTTGGATGAAAAGAAACATAAGGTGGCCATTCTAAAATTCAAGGGATATGCTTCCTTATGGTGGGAAAATGTTAGAAAAAAAGAGAGAGAGGGAAAAGTTAGAGTGAGGTCTTGGGACAAGTAGAAGAGAATAATAAAAAAGAGATTCTTGCCCAAGAACTACAAGCAAGATGTCTACTTGAGTTTTTCAATCTCAAGCAAGGAGAAAAGAAAGTAGAGGAGTATATAAGGGCATTTGAAGGCCTTATGATGAGGAGTGATATTCTAGAAGAAAATGAGCAAACTATAACTCGATTTTTGGGAGTTTTGCAAAGAGAAATAACTCACAAGGTGGAGTTACA